AAACGTAAATATTTTGATTCGAACTTTTGTACATTTTATAAGACACATACCGTTATACTAAGCATACGAACAAAAATAAATTATCATAATTTAAAAATATTCTATTTAATTTTACCGTAGATGTCGGTGTTTAATTAGTGTTACTATGCAAGTGTGTTTTTCAGATTTTGTTTGATTTTTCAAATATGAGCCAAGCCGATTCAACAAAATTATGTGGAATATTTAGGTAATTTATGATTGGGAACATATTAGTTTTCTTACCATTTAAAACATTTTATTACCAGAATTTTTCCATATAATCGCAAGGGGTCTAACAACAAATAATTGTTCATGTTTCACAAAACATAATACAATAACAAATAGGTAAGATTTATATCTAAGTAAATGTTACTGAGGTATCGGAATGTTCATATATTCCAAGGGCATGTCTAATAATCAATTAGAGTCATAATTATGCAATCGAACGCCCTGAAATTCTTCCTCGACGTTACTTGTGGCTATCATCAAGTTTTCTGATGGCTGTTTGTTTTTGACCTTACCGCTGGATACAAACAAATTTTAGGAAGATAATGATAACGATTTTTTTCAATTATTCATGAATTCGATCAAGTATTGATGGTTGTTTTATAAGCAACTGAGCTATATCTAACTACGGGAAATAGAATTTTAGCAGTAGTCCCAATTAGTCAAGGAAGAGCAATAGGCCCGCCTTTATTGATAATTGTCACCGCTGAATAAAAGTTCATATCTCAAAACGTATTGATACCCCTTTTGAGAAAAACTAGCATAATTTAAACATTTGTCATTCCAATAAAAAAGTGATTCATTTGTAGTATTTACCTTATTAATACCTGAGAAACAATACAAAACGTCGATACACTGATTACATATTTTTGGGTATTGATAAGAAAAATAACTTCAAACTTATACCTTAGAAACCTAAATCATATATTTAAAGTCATTTTTATTATTTTCTGTTGCATTTCGTACTCCAAATTGTGAAAAATTGGGATTTTATTTTTTGGTGATTTTTTGACCTCTGTTAATGGCAGGCATAATTCAGCCTAAAAGCCGGAAGTATATTGAATGGTTATAATAAAAATTATTAGAGGACAAATGTAGGTATGTTAATGTAAGGTCAAATATCACTGCGCTATAGTGTGCTACCAACTCCTTCATTAGACGTCCTAGAGATTTCATACCATGGACTATAGGTTAATACCATGTCCATATCCCCTATAGTTCTCAAACAATTCTGAATAGGTTAAGATGACTGTTTTATGCAGTTTAAGTACATTTAAACCTGTTTGTTCTTAACATTTTTCAAATCTGATAACCTATGATTTTCCGAAAAACTTCTTTGTATGATAAATTCTTACCTGTCCTGATATAACGTTTACTTTGAACAGGGTTTCTATATGTTTATCAATGATACATGATACATACGGTATACAGTACTAGTGAAACCTATTTATATATATATTTATTTATTTTATAACAATTGAAGATAATGGAGAGTTAGTCTCGTGATATACAGTGTATATTTGGTAGAATATTCTGTGTTCATATGTTTAATTCATTTTCTGTCCAAAATGTTGATTTGCACACAAATAGTTCAGAAGACAACGGAATCGTCTATTTATATTTCTCACTTAAGTTACATAAACGGTATTTCGGAAAACGGTTAAGATATGCACTTTTAATCCCTACCGTTTATGTAACTTTAAAGTGAGGAATTAAATCGACGATTCTGTTGTCTTCTGAGCTATTTTTTCGCAAACATGTATATTTTCTAAAACATATGATACTGATATATGTTTGTGAGAAAAAATGTCTTGGGGATTCTGCCTACGAAGCTTGAAATGAGGAAAAAAAGAAAAATCGTACTTTCGACGTTCCGACATTTTGTTACCAAAACGAACTGTTTCGGTAACCAGCGTAATTGAGCGGATCACCAGTGCAGATAGCTGAGGTGACGTATTAATTTCAAGTGCTGAGAAGCAGTATCGAGACAAGTTGCAGAATCAAGACAAGTTGCAAAGTCAAGACAAAATACAGACAACAAGTTGCGGAGGCAAAACAGGTTCCAGACAGCCGATAGTATGTGGGACAATTTACGATAATTGATATTTTAAAAATCTGTTCTTGTACTAGAGACTGCGACATATATGTTGATTTCATGGACATGCAATGTGTTATTTTTTGTTGACGAGATTTTAAGCAATCATTCCCACAAGGTACCTGTTTGGAATATTGCTTATCTTTTTAAAAAATATCACTTTTACGATGGCTTTTTTGACAATTTAGAAATATTTTATTTTTTCGGCAAATATAAACTCGGATTTCTCGACATAGAATGTATCGATCGCGTTGATATTTTTGGGCATGTTAATAAAATGTATGTGCTACCAACACTTGAAAGCGAGATGTTTGATATGTTTTAGTAACATAATTAAGTATATTTTACTATATGTATACGATTTGTCAAATATCTTTATCCTCCATCACATCGGCCATATTAATATACACTAGTGATGCATTATTTTGCTGAAAGCTATGCCACAAGGTACATTTTGATGACATCTCTTCAATTGCAGACAATGGAGATGAATGATTCAGTGTAGGTATTTCTGTCGTGAATTCAAGTTGTCTAGATGAGGCTGTCCAATATTTTGTATTCTCCAAACATTGGAATATCATCTTTGGGAAAATATTTTTAGATAATTATTTTGAGAAATGAAAGTACTTAATAAAAGTGTTCAGATCATCATTGTTTAATTTTTGAAATATTTGAATTGTCTTTGTAGAACTTTATTAAGCATGTGTTGGAGGATACAAAATGACTTTAAAATTATATGAAATATAAACATACAATCAAAAGTTAGTTGTATTCATTTTTTTATGTTTATATTTAAATTACAGCAAAGAATGAGTCATTGCCAAACCAAGAAACAATATATTTCACTCTCAGTTTCACATGTGATCATGTTATAACTTTGTGGTAATAGCGATGCATGTAACCTTTACATTTCTATTCAACATGCTGTGCTTTCTTTATATTTCCATGACCGACACATAACCATACAACTTTAAATGGTGTTGCATTCTCTCATTGCACACGCTGCGTGTTTTTTCAAGATATTATATTTTGAATGCCGTTTGCCGTTCCCTATGATGAATGTTTGGTCTTTACCCGAAATGATAAATGTTGCTTGCATACCTTATTAGTCATTGTAAGTGCCAGAATACTTGTATATCGATTCCAATGAAAATGATAGCATCCATTGCAATCTTTAATACTTCACATGCAATATGAGCAACATGCCAGTAGCCAGCTTTTTGTAGGGGCGGACCCACCCCCCTGTCCACACATAAATATTGCCCATGCTAAAGCAATACCTTGGACGACCCTGAAAATTCAGAGGGTGGGAGGCGAAAACAAGGTTTTAACATGACAACATGTCACCACCTAGTTGCCCACAATAGTATTAGTTCAATCTTAGGTCAGATTTGAATTTCCGAGAACTTGTAGATGAATTTAAAAATAAAAATTGGTCGATTTGAAGCAAGTTGAAAAAATACCCTTTTTGACCCTGACAAGGTCATTGAAGGTGGAATCTAAAATCCAAAATCGTATTTGAACTTCTGAGAACTTGTAGATGGTTTTGAAAAAAGAATTGATCAATTTGAAGTCGAAAAAGACCTTTTTGACCTTATGAAGGTGAATGGGTCAATTTGAAACAAGTTGAAAAATACATTTTTGACTTGAGAAGGGCAATGAAGGTCGAATCTCAAATCTAAAGTCAGATTTGAACTTCTGATAACTTGTAGATATTTTGAAGAAAAGAATTGGTCAATTTGAAGCAAGTTGAAAAAAGATCTTTTTGACCTTGAAACGGTCACCGAATGTCAAATCTTAAAGGTCAAATAGAAAGCCGTCCAAGAGCACGAGCCCCCCCCCCATCCCCCCACACATACAGCCTGGCTAAGGGCCTGAGTAATATAAAGAAAGACTTCAGACAAAAATGTGCGTGCCGGTGTTTGGAAAAAGAAATTACCTAAGTAACTTAAAATCATGATGTCATTTCGAAAAAGCTCTTTTAGATTAGACGTAATCAAAAGCTACGAAAACCAAATTTTGTCTCCTGTTTAAAAATCCCTATTCTTCACTAAATTGGTTAGAGTCTAGGTTTGCTCTGTAACATATTTCACCTACTAATACGAGAATGACCAATTCTAAAAAATCTTTAAAGATACCGTTCTGGTGGAATGCGCATCGGTTTCTTAACGAAAACTAAGACTTTATTTTATCGTCTAGCTAAGACATATTAGACACATTTTAGATAAAAAAATTTATTCTTCCATTCACTCACTTTTTCAATTTCACTAAGTCGATTTCTATTCTGTTCCTGCGTGGTCGCTAGGCAAAAACCATGGACCTAAATTATATTCGAATGATAACAAGTATTGCATTTATTTTATTACAAAAAAATGAACAGTTTTATCATGCTTGAAATCTGCTTCACTAAGATATGATAAGATTAATCGGAGCCTTGACCTAGCCCACTTGAGTCACACTCATAATTTATCAATTAAAATTCCATAAGAAACACAAGCCTAACATATACAGGGAGTCCCATGTTTCCTTAATCCAATGTTAAGCATATAAATAGAAGGAGTGGATTCGACGACCGAGTCGACCGAGTTTTTTTTAGTTTCCAAAGATTTTACAAATACTCATATGTATTCTGTCAACTAAATTTAGTCTACATGTACAGTCATCGTTGAGCATACTTGAAAGCGGCCTTTGATACGATTAACAACAAACACGAGTCTTAACATAGACAAGGCTAAAAACAAAAAGTATCTGGAAAATAAAAAACATCAATTTTTAGATTATCTCATCACAATACATTTCTTGACAGTAGGAATGACGAGGCGTTAAATCAGGTGACGCTGTGGAGTTCATCTATGAACAAAAGGAGATCCTAGAGGCAAATATGATGCATTTTACAACTAGCGGTGTCGTTAAGGTATGAGTCAAATCACTAAAATAGGAATGGCTGTGTATGGTTGTATTGGGAATTTTGATTTAACGCCCAACACTAACCAACGTAGTTCGTTCCGGACTTGTTTTTCACTGCCATTTGGACTCGATTTATGGAAAATGTAGAGGTAGGTTTGTAAAGGTCAATGTGCAGCTGAGGCCCAGGAATATGTTAAAAATGTTTAAAAAGTCCCCTAGTGTACTGAGTTGGTAATGTGTGGTGTATACATGTATATTAATCTTTTACTATATTACTATATTACTTACATTGAATAAGAATAAGACTGATTTTTTATTAATAAGAATAAGACTGATTTTTTATTAATGACTGTATACCCGGGCCTCAGATAACTTTTTCGTCGCTATTTTTAATTTGCGTTAATTTATTTTAACCGTCATACTGTTAAAATCTACAAGTTTGACTCTGGATTGTTAACAGTTTAATTCACATTTTCAGAGGGTTGAAAAAGTTATTTCATCATGTTTAGGGTCATTCTGACCATGTGCATTGTGAGCCTGGTCCTGTAAACGATATGTGGAACTATTTGAATTGACTGGAGGTCAAAATAGAACTCTGTTATCTTAGTTAATGTCTATAAAACACATGATTTTGTTACTTCCTGTTTTGTCATTTCCTGTACCATGGCACCTTAAAACAAGCCTTATGACATGGTAATTGGCTGTGATACAATGTTTCGGAAGGTCCCTAACATAGCTTTCAGTGGTCTGCAAACAGATATAACCATGTCTTTATTAGTTTTGTAGACATAATGTTATTTGTCTCCCATCCCCTAAGATTTGTTCGTCTCAAAAGTTCATCCCTAGGTCACATTGACCTTTGTTGACCTACTTTTTCTGAAAAACCAATACTTTGCTGAGGAGGTAATCGAGGTTTACAACAATAGCAACATTATTGAAATCAGACAGGTTATAAAAATGCAGAGGGCAGTGGAGTGTTGCGACTTTGTGTTATAAAATGGTTACAGACATTCGTTTTTGAGGTACAGTATATCAGTGAGACATATATACAGCGTGTTCCAAAAGTAACGGGACTGGTGCTGGCATTTTGTTAAATATGCACCAATCGTCTTCAAAATTTTACATAATGTACTTTCATGTATCGTTACTAAGACTGCAAAGTTTCTACAAAATATATGAAACTCGGGTAGAGTTATGGTTGCTATAGTAACATGACATCACAATACCCGGGGCAACATTCCACGCAAAAAGTTACGGAGACATTAAGCATCTTGTACATGCCATATCATTTTGTACATGCCATATCAAAGTCAAAATGCAACAACTGGTGGGAATTACATTTGTTTTACATCATTTGATATTTCTTTGTATCCTCTACTTTGAAAAATAGGCTCCTCTTTGGTCAGTACAAGAGAAGTACTCTGTATCCATGATCCAAACACATGAGTGAACCCATTTGAGGGCATGTCACGCAGGGTTGATTGGACAATTTGGAGAAAGTCATTCTCATCTTTAAAGGTCTTACAGCACTTATTAGCATTCCGTTCTCAATATAAGTAAAAATTAGATATTGCATGATCAGAGGAGTATGGTGCATGGTTTTAGACCTCAAGACCTAGTTCTTCTATAGCTGCATGGTCTTTAATGCCGACCTGCTGGCAGGCGCGCTATCAAGGTAGATGACTGGCTTCAAATTGGGTCTTTTCAAAAACTCAACCGTGAATTGTTCAGACTGTTATACATAGTGATATTCCAGGAAATTGAATAAATGTTATCATCATTATGAAATTATACTTGAATCTGAGTTGTATAGCAACACCTTTACAACAAAGGAACTAATAAAATAAACAAGAAATGTTGTATTATAATAGGTGAATTAGATACTTTCTTCAGTAATACAAAAATGTTAGATATCACATTTTCAGGAAAAAAGTTGCCCCGGGTATTGGAATGTCATGTTACTATAGTAACCATAACTCTAACCGCATTTCATCATTTTTTCTGAAACTTTGTAATTTAAGTTGCAATACTTCAAAGTACAATTTGTTAAAATTTGAAGATACTCAGTGCAAAATTGACGAAATGCCAGCACCAGTCCTGTTACTTTTGGAACACCCTGTATGTTATAGATGGTAATTTATTTTCTAGGTGATATGTTTCCTGTTGTCCATTATGGGATTATCCCAAGCGGAATATGTCGATGCAGTCACGGAATTAGAGTCAAAACGTGTAGCTCTCGAGGCTGCAATTGGTTACAAAGTTGCCATAGTAACATTCAATAATAGCGCTAGAAGGCAATCTGTTAAAATACTTTGGGTGAAACCAACGTCTGTAAGGCAGGTGAGTATAATTTTAGTGGGCAGATTGCAATGAATTTTAGAGTCTAAATGTTTTTAAGTTCGTTCTAATATTGACTCACCACTGAGTTAGGCATTACCAAATTTTAAATTTCTCTTGTCAACTGAATATGATTTTATAAAATGTGTATAGCAATCATCATTAAAGTTTTGAAATAGAGAATACTTGAAAAGGTAGCGGCGAAATTGACAAGTATATGTTTAAGAAAAGGGGGTCCTATGAAACATTGATTTGCGGTTTTCACCATTAAACTTTACATCAGAAAAATAAGTGAATGAACTATGCTCAGTAAATTTTGGTGCATTTTTGAGGAAAAATAAAGGTTTTGCGTTCAGTTAACAATGTTCCTATTTTTGACCACCCTGTAAATACTATTACCAAAGTCATGGATACTTCATCTAACTTAATGTATTAATCTCTAAATCGCAATTTATCCAGTGTATCTAATCAATACATACTGGTTTTTAAGATGTTTAATAACACCCCTATTACTAACTAAACCTTCATTGGATGGTGCATCTAAGTTGCCATTTACGAAAAGTTAATGCTGCTTTGTACCATTCAAGATATGATACAAGTATTGTATAAGATGATTAAAGTAGACTATTCTCAATTTTTATATATTTTGCTTAACCATTTGGTTAATTGATCGGTGATTACTTAATGATCAATTTCTGATAATTATTTCACATTTCATATTTTTAGATAAAACTTCTGGTGCATGGAGCCAAAGATTTAGGGCTTCGAATTCGTGTTGTTGGTGGTGGTCACTCATTTTCTCCCTTATTCCCAGACACCTACCAGATAGGCGTGAGCTTCGGTGACCTTCGTGGCGAAAAATATTGGTTGAACGAGGTAAGTTGGCCAACAGGATCAGTTTTGTGTAGTTTAATAAGATATTGAAATTCTAATCGGACTTTTTTATTAATCTTGAAACCAATTCATGAAATCATGTTATGGCAGGAGAAGACTAAATTGACGGTATTATCGTCTGAACGAATTAAAGATGTTGTAAAGTGGGCAGCTAGAAAAGGAGTAACATTAGGTCCCATTCCTATTGGATGGGAATACACAATTCCCGGTATGACCGCTACGGGTTGCCACGTGAGTATATTATATCTGTTTTATTAATGTAAAATACAAAGTATCAACATTTTACATTAAGCTTGTAGTAACAATCTACGGAAATATAATTAGAAAATAAAAATACTTTTTCGCAGATTGTCATTCCTAACTCCTTTTGAAACAGGGAATCTACTAAGGCAGGTTTTTACAATAAGCATGCAATAAAATGATTTCTATAATACTCAACAATGAGCTGTTGTTATCACCCATTTTTCCGTCAGTCCGTCTGTCTGTCTCTGTCTGTCAACATATTGGTGGATAATTCGAAATATCCTACGACAATAACCCAGATGCGAGTAGAAATAATCTTGATTTACGTCATTAAAAATTCAAAATTCAGTCAAAGTAATATCATATTTGAAATCTACATGTAAAACTACATCTAGAAATGTGGTTTTAAAAAGTGTTTATCAACTTTGAAAAATTAATTTTCTTTGAAAATGTGACTTCTAGCTCGGGGAGATTCCCCATAGACCCCATGCTATAAAATCACAAAAAATGAAATATCTTTTCTTTTAGGGGACAGATAATATTTTGCTTTACTGGACATATTTTCATTAGTATAAGTATCAGACACATAAGGGTTATATGAAAATTGAGCCACTTAAATTGATAATATTCAAGTTCAAGGGAACTTTCTTATATACCTGCCATGTTAATTGACCCGAATCAGCCACCTGGTGGTGAAACTGGTAACTACTTACTCGCATTTGGGTAATTGGAATGATTTCACTTGAAGAACATGTCTACATAAAGTCATCAATTGTTCCATAAGTGGCATCTCAAAAACTCGCCTTGTTTCAAAATGGCGGCCATTTTCATTGGACAAAAATCAGGTTCTTAGCTCTTTTTGGGTCATAACACAAGTTCTCCACCAGGTTGCTGGATATTGTACAGGTACCTTGATTTATACGTTATCAATAATGCCTACACGTTTCGGTAGGTTGCTAAAATTCAAAATGACCCCCACTTTTATTGCGGAGAAATCAGGTTTTAAGCTTGTCTTTGGTCATAACTCCACAGGTATTCCATTAATTTGCTTGAAATTAAACAGGCACCTTTATTGTTAGAATATTAACAATTCCTACATGATCCGGCAGAATAAATCGCAAAGATTCAAAATGGCTGCCACTTTAATTGCAGAAAAATCAGGCTTTCAGCTCATTTTTCATCACTACAAGAATTCCATCAATTTGCTTAAAATTGTACAGGTACCTGAATTAATAATTATGTCTACAAGTTTCAGCTAAATATGTCGCAGATTCAAAATGGCACAATTATTTCATCAGTTTACTTGAAAGTGTACAGGTATCTTAATTTATAGGTTATCAATAGTGCTTACAAGTTAAGGCAAAATGTGTTGCAAATTTCAAAATGGCCACCACTTTTAATGCAGAGAAATCATACATAAAGCTACTTATTAGTTTGCTTGTGAAATTCCTCTGGTCCAAATTCACTATGGAAAATGGTATTTATTGATCCAAGCTAATGTACATGCATGTTTTAATTTCAGCTAGCCAAGTATTTCTCCAAAAGTATTATCAACCTTGCATAATATGCAAACACTGAAATTATTATAAGCTCCTACTGTAAAATATTTAAGATATAAATCTTCCCATGTGCGCGAAATACCCATGGTACTATTTTTTTCATTTTACACCAGTCAGTGTATTTAATTAAGCGTATTACTTTGAAAAATATATTACATTCTTTCTGTAAGAAATATTACTCGTATTAATACTAGTAATTTACTTTTTTATGCCAACATTTTATTAAAAAGAAATGTAAAATATATATCAACCCGATGCTTTGGTTTCATATCATTGAATTTTGAAGTAGTTACAAAGCCATCTCCCATACTTTCTAAACGTAAATTACTAAGCACATTTTATGCTTCCTCGTCTTTACTATATAATGATATCACCCAAATACAAGCATCTCTGACTAACATTTATAATGTCTTTCGAATACTTTGATCTTCATAATCTTGATGTTGGGCAAAAGAATCCTGTCGCAAAGTCCATATAAGGGTATCAAAGACAGAAATGGTTAACCTTGGCCTCACCGATGTACTTTCAGGGATCAAGCACAAAATTTGGCCCATTTGCCAATATGGTTTATGGATATGAGTTGGTAGATGGCAATGGCAATGTCAGGAAGTTTAACGAAGATGATAGCAAGGAGATCATTGATGCATGCAGAGTCCACCTGGGCTTGTGTGGTATCATATATAAAACAACTTTAAAGGTAATAATGATAAAGACAATGTTAGGTTTATGTTGCATAATCTACAAAACCACTCTCAGGTAATATTTGTGATTGAATGGTTTCAGTTTGATATAACATATATAATACTTCCGAATTAACAAATGCATATGTGCAGTATCAGACACAGAGCAATTATTATTTTCGAACATTTTGTGGCGTTTTTGGTTTTATCCACATAGCCGTTTCAACGATAATGGCATTATGGTGTAGGTATACCAGGCTTAAGTTGTTTTTTAATTTTTTATGTTTTTCTTTTGTTGTATTAAGTGGTATTATAATTCTCATAATTCTAAGGTGTATAGGTTTACGAGAATTTTCATTCATAATTGATATTTCAATATTTAGAGGTTATGTCACTATGACGTGAAATAGGCCTGAGTTCTCCCAACATAGGCCAACCTTGGGGCTCTATATTTGGAGATATAACTGATGTATGACATAACTTTATTCCCATGGCTACTATGTTCATATCAAGATTCGATTGATCTTCATAAAATTATAGGAAGCTGTAACACTACTTTGCACATATGGCGTTCGTGACCAACTATGAAACGCTTACCCCCCCCCCCCCCATGGTGCTATATATCAAACTGTACCTGTTCATATAGAGGTTTGATTTATCTAAGGTTCTTAAATGGACAGGTCTTTAAATGGACTATATAGGAATGGACGGCTTTTGGCGGATGGTTATGGAACCTCACACCTTAAAAAATCGGTTACCTGTATTTTACAGGCGACCAGGCGACCCAGGCGGGCGGCTTTTATTTTTTTCATAGGGGTGGTAGGATAAACACATTCCAAAATTATTTTATTGCATGATTATCTTTAGATTCTGTCGTCGTGTAACTATATTGCTAACCACAATTGGAAAAAGTTCCCTACCCGAATTAAAAGTAACCAAATTGTCGTTGAAAATAAGAAATCGTGTTTACTGAAAGCTGCTCTTTGCCCCGAAACGCAATCTTGGGTTGTTTCGGGGGGTGAACTTTATCATTTTGAGCTGAATGAAAGATTATAGAATGATGAACAAATGGGGCAAATCTTGTGTATAAATACTTACGATAAATGCGTCATTTCAAAGATTTTTCATTGAATAGCTTCGATTGGTGACGACCACAGGGGCTTGTCTCGAGGCGTCGGGCAAGCCCTCCGATGAGTGTACTGCTTATTAAGAGTAAAAAGGGAGCTCGATTTTGATGCTACCTGAAATTTGTAGAAAATGATTGTTAGATATATCCAGTAAAAATATATGGAATCCTTTCAATAATCGACATGCTGATTCAAACAACACTACAGAGTAAACTTACCTAAATTAAAATGGTAGCAATCCATCCACTTGTTGCTGAGAAATCTGAAGAATATGTAAAGAAGTGATTACACTGCAAGTACCGAATTTTTTGAAGCCAAATTATTACCTCCAGAGTCGATTTCTTCCCCAAGACACGTCCACTGTTAAAAATTGGTAGTTCCTAGAGTTCTTTGTTTCCTTAGGTTCATTCCCGTATGTTATTTTTAACGAAGGACAGCCTATAACGACTGCTATACGCAAAAAGATGCATGAAATTAAGGTTCGAAACTGAAAGTTGAAAAATGGCGACTTTCCCGAAAAACTGACAATCTACGAAACTCACTTCAAAAAATCAAATGCGAACTGACGGCGTAGTCTACTATGCTGGGATCTAAGATTTTCAGTATAGATAAAGTCTTTTATGATCTTTCGAATGAGGTAAGTCTCTCGTTCGAAGGACAATCATATCAACTTGAACAAAAGTTGAGTTTTGACGAAAAATGTTAACATGCGCAGAGGTCCCATTTTCGTTATATCATATTGACTGTTCCCTTTTACTAGAATAGTAGTACTTGCTAAACATTTTCATTACCTTGCTCTGGTTTTTGTTGTTTCCTCTTTTGAACTTGTATATACATATTAAGCTGAATAAATTAATTGTCCGCATGTAGGTAGTTCCTGATGTGAAACAAAAGTATACGTACGCCACCAACATTCCTATTCAAAAACTTCTGGATGACGACATTCGTCGAAATCTGATTATGAACAACTGGGGGGTCTACATCGTATTCATGATTGACTTTGAATCAGCCAAGGAAGAGAGCAGTTTTGATATATTCAAAACAGAAATAGATATATGGTAAGAAATGCAAATACGATGCACACCAACTAGCGACCTTAGTATTATCGGATGAATTTATTGTATCCTCTATTGAGACAAGTGTCAGTGAGAAGGCATATGTGTATTAACACTAATTTTGGAAAAACGAGTATTGGATGAAAACCTTGTAGTTGTTTAGATATAATATATTCTACTCATTGGATATGTGATATTTTCAAAACGACCCGAAAAAATATGGTGTATCTTATAAATGGTTGAGGTTATATAACACCGATGAATACAAGACGGATAAGGTGGTTATGCAAATATATTTCCTCGATATAGGATGTGGAGCGAAGTTGATCAAAATACACCACTGAGTGAACAGTACAATGACACTCTCACGCTAGCAGATGGCTCTACGTACGAGGCTGTGTCAGTTATAAAACCATACTCGGGAACAGTTAATGCCGAGGCAAATCTTTCACAATGCACACTAGTAAGAACTTCGGTGGGCTTTGCTGCGCCAGAATCTGATGATATGACACAAAGTGGTAAAACATTGAGGGTAAAACATGTTTTTTACATTATTTGGTGAATATAATATACACTCCCTTCCATAAGTTTGGCAACCTAAGTTCCCCCGTTGAACTACGTATTAAAGCCTCCTTACGTTTGAATTTTTATTTACTTAACATGCGATGAAAATATTTATGATATTGACTGAAACGTTACTAGACTCTATTTTCAATACCTCCAAATTTTCTCATTTTTTCCTCAATTACAATATTTTGAAATTGATGATAAATTTGATGAATATTTGAAAATCCACACTCCCATGTTAACCGATGGGAAATGGTACTTTGGCCGCAAGTCATTTGACAGAATATCCATCCATCCGAGTCCTTGCAAAATTACATATTGGGTAGGCAATTGAAGTTGCTAACTTTATTTAACAAAAAATTGATACGTTTTTTCAGGTTCAACAAAGTTATAGGTCTTTAAAGTCAAAATTGTTTTTCAAAAACATTTACCCATTAAAACAACACAAGAGCCGAACAATGATTTTAAAAAATGACTTTGAAGCTCTGTAACTTTAGTATTCATCAGGTAAACTGAACACTAAGTGCGTGCACAGAAAATGTAGCTTATAGACAATTTTAGTTTCTATATAAAAATATATTTGCCGAATCTTTTACTGAATAGATATCCCGATTTCTGATTTGGCCCGAACCTACCATTTCCCATTGGATTACATGGGAATGATGATTTTCAAAAATTCATCAAATTTATCATCAATTTTCGACCTATTGTAATTGAGAAAATAAATTGGAAAAATTGGAGGTATTTGAAATGAAGACAAGTTACTTTTCCATCAATATTGTAAGTATTTTCATCGCAGGTAAAGTAAATTCAAAATAAAGAGGCGTAACACGTAGTTCAATGGGGAGCTCAGGTAGCCAAACTTATGGAGGGGAGTGTATATTACATATCAAAATATAAACATATATAAAAATATTCATAACCTTGATAAATTCTCGATTGACTTTATCAGAAATGTAAGAAAATATTTTATTGTATAATTACATGTGGATATAATTTAATTTACGAGTTTTAGTTTTTATAATTACACAATTTTTTAGATAATAAATACTCTTTATTTTTTAAAATCATAAATAAATTTACATTATTATTCGCGGCGTAATCGCCCAGAAAGGGCATTTCTACTGCCGCTTTAAGTGAATTTAAAGTACAATATTAATATAATGAATTCTTCAGGATCACCTGAACATAGTCAAAGGGATGTTCAAAAACGTAGGATTTAACCCCAAACTTATATCGTGTTTTCGATGGATGAAGCATTTTGATGACTGCCTGCTATGTCCTACAACAGTGAGTAACTTTCTGTAAATCAAAACGGTCGCAGAACATCATCGAATTTACTTAGCCCCCCTCTTCTTTAAAGCTTTTAAAAATCATTGATTAAACACGCAAATGTCTTAAAAATTTCCAGTAAGCTTACATCAAAATTACTTAAAACCATTTATGTAAGTGAAAAAACGAATTATATAATACTTTCCAGGTTGCAGACAAGAACACCGACACTAAGTTGGTAACTTATAGTGAGATATCCCTATTTTATGACAAATGTGAAGAACCAGTTATGAGTGAAGTTAACTCTGCACAACATATATCACTAGAGTCGCAGGTAATAGTGCCCTAAAACAAATTTAGTTATATAAGATTGCCGTAAGAAGGCTCGAGGGACAAAATTCGAATGTTGTATTTTTGAATTAATTCCTTTTAAAGTTTACTTATTTAATTCTAAAAAATCAAGATTTCACCAGAAATGATATGCGACAGCAGTCCATCTCAATGGTGTATCAAATTCCAAACAATATAAATACAATGAACTGTTCTGTTTCCTTAGTTCGGAGTTGGTGTAATGGAGAACAACCAAGAGGTTCTGCCACATTGGGCAAAGTATTATGAATATATACCTGGAATCTCTGATCAAATTAGACGTCAATTTGGAGATGATCTTCTGACCTTCATCAACATGCGCAACAAGTATAACCTGGACAATAACAACTTGTTTGTCAACACTCATTTGAAGGATATATTTAGAGGTGCATTTCGTGAGACTTGTGCAGGATATAATCCTTTTAAATAACTATAAATAGGTCGAGCAAAGACTCAATGTGAATGTGAAAAATGCATTCTGAATAAGATAAAGTGTTATCATATGAAATAATTTGATATTTAGATGATTTAAATTTTTTGGTTAAAATTTTTTAAACATTTTCTCATACGACTTACTTAGGTGAAATAGCCGATAATCTTGTAGGTCTTTTGAATAGTTACGAGTTTATATTGAAAGCTTTGTATTTTTGCCTCACGGGCAGCTTCAAAGGGTAAACTAAAGGTTTATTTCCATTCATGTTCGGAGAAAGTTCGTTGAAATATCGTTTCCCCTTTGGTTCTTTGGAAGGATAATTTTTACCAGTATATTTGTTTTGTGTTGATGTATTTTATATTTATCATACATTCTTTTACTTGACTGCCATTTGTCCTTGAATTTTCATATTTTCATTTCGCAAAAAGCGTTCACCAATTCCTGGGATTGCATTACTCTATGACACCCTAAAAAAATAAACAATGAAACAGTGATCAGCCGTCAGATGATACGCTTGAGCATATTTATTGAGCGTCAATTTTAAAAGAATGTTATAATAAGTTAGGCTTTTATTTGTGTTTCTTGATTTTTTAATGTTGTTGTACACATCTTTCTATAGGAAAGTCTATGTCTATAGTCTATATTGTCTATAGTCAAGAACAAAACAAAATTAAATGTTGTCGTATTGCGGGGAATATACAGGTTTTTGAATGGAAGGTTTTTGATACAGGGGGTATATCTGAGGGAAATACAATATATCAACCCGAGGGACCGTAGGGACAGAGGATTGATACATTATATTTATGAAGGGTTATATACCCTGAATCAAAAATCGAGCATTTAACTGATTTATTCTATACTTAGTAGATTAAGAGGATTTATAGCCAAATCCCCTGACCCAGAATCTAGAATTTGTTACGTCATAGATCTGATCGAGCGGGTGATATTTACAATTTGTACCATGGTCAGAGCAATATCAGGTATTAATAGCAAGTGATAAATCACATATTTGGGAAAGGGACAATATCAGGGATGATATCGGGTTTTGATGGATGATATTAGCGGGATATTGATATCATCCTTGGTAGATTTAAAAAATCACATTTTTCCACAAAAAATTCATGTTTTCTGTATGAATGTACTATTGTAAGTGCTTTATTAAATGACATTAAACAATGGCTCCCTTTAGAGCTCACATCGCTATGTACTAAACAAAATGTATTGATAGGACATGAGAGTATAAATGAAAAAACAATCATCCTAAACAATATGCGATGTATTTCTAAAAGGTATATTTATTTGTGCAAATATTCTATGCTAAAACCAACACTTCAAGGTTTTATAAGACACGTCGCAAAAAGGTGGTAACGTGTGTTTTTAGGGTATTGCATGAATGTAACTTTAATTCTTCGGAATATAAGACATTATTCTATCAAATGTATATATCATTTTAAAGCTACATTAACGAAGTTTTCAAATCAAGTACACTCTTTTCACAATTCTTGCGCGTTCTTTTTAAAAAAGAGTTTTTACCCAAAATCGGGCAAATATCCGCTGTCGACACGTTACATTTTGAACAATTTTTCGTCTTTAAACGCTTATAACTCAAACAATATTGACTATTATACTTTTTTCGTCTTGATAAAAGTAGATGGAAGTGTTATTTCAAAGGATGAATTTTAGTAAGCGTCCCAAATTGTGATGTCATAGAGTTTGAAAAATAGAATCTGTCGACAGTGACCTTTTTGCTCATTTTTGTTACCTTCAACTTTTCAGGTGTACATTAAACCAAAAATACGAGACCAATTTTTAATAAATCATACATGATTATTTTGCTCATAACTCTAGTTGATTAATAAATAGTTGATTTTGTTCGCAAACGTATATGTTTTATGTTGTATGTGGAAAAGTGGAGGACGAAAGGTTTTCAAAAATCATTAAAATAGGGCGAATTTACGCCATTCAGCCATTTTCTAACAACGCAACACATATGATTATTTCACCTAAAATATCAATTGATTCGTGTTTTATGATGCTCCTAACCCATTGTTAATATATATTCGATATTAGAGTAATTCGTCTTAAATATTTTGAAATATAGAGGCAAATGTGGATGACGAAAGGATTTCCATATGTGTACATTTTTCTCAAAAAACGTCACATTCTGTCGTGTTAAAAAGCGAAAATGTGTAGTAATGTGAAGGAATATTTTATTATGGACAAACGAGTTGGCAGAGAGACAGGCTCACCCTGTACAACTATTAGATGAGATTTATAAATTGCAAAGACCTGTCAACTTTTATTGCAATTACTATCATTGAAGTAGACTACCCTTGATACATCATTCCTACATTATCAATATACAAACATTGAAATAGCAGATAGGAATAAATACGATGAAGGTCATGGCAAAATCTTCACACTTCAAGTTGTGAAGACTATTATTATTATCTAAGTGCATTTGTACTAATAAACACCAGCAAGCCCCTTTCTGTCAGAATAATACATTATTATTTACATAAACTAAGTTAAACTATGTTATAACGAAATAAAACAGATTATAAAAAAATTGTACTAAAATGCGATTAAAGATTTGATGGATCTTGAAAATGATAAACTTAAAAAATTACAATGTAACTTGCCATTCATGTTAGTGACTTTTTTATCGAAGCAGTGTAATCTGGATATCTTGATAATTGTGTAATACAGTCTCCGTTTTACTTTTTTCGATCATAAAAACCAGTCTGTAATATATTTTCAATAGTATTGGATAAAAACAAAATACAGAAAAATCTAAACTCAGAAAACATGCATTGTGGTCCATTGTATTGTAATGTATCGTATTGTGTTGTATATTGTAATTTTCGCGTGGTTAAGATAAGCTGTAGTTTTATTCGAATTGTGAAGTATGACTAGTCCCTATCACCGAATAGTTGTATACAAGGTTTTGGATGGTTTGTTTATGGTAGAGTATATTAACTTCCTGTATTTATATGTAGTGTTATCTCCCCGCCATAATGTCCTTATCTCTAGAGGATATTTGAAATTGTCCATTGTCCTCCTGCACTCGCTTCCAATAAACGTCGTATCTTTCACTATATGGATATGATAAGGTTATTGACAATAATCAAAATTATTGCTACAATTTGCATGGAGGTGTGGCACATTGAGTCTGTCAAATCACAATTTTTGAGTTCACACAACAATGGCATGGAAAAATATTATAATTGTAAGCATTGCATTGGTTTTATTAAATGCAGGGGTTTCTTCCGATGACATCGATATTAGGCGACGACGAGGGGATGCTATCGCAAGAGGGAACTTAGAAGCTGATCCAGTGGTGGATATTATAGCTGATTTAGTTGCTCAATTTCTCAAAGACAACCCAGATATCGTGTACGCGCTTGTAGATCTACTCCCAACGATTGAACAAATATCCGACCTTCTAGATGACCCGATAGTACAATACATTGTGAGTGCTCTTCCTGGAATAATCGAAAACGACAATGTTCAAATCATAATCAAGTCCATTGCTGAAGGATTTCAAGATGTGGTTATACCAGCAAACGCAACGGATGAAGAAATACAGGGGATTATATCCAAGGGCCTTGGAAGGGTCAGTATTCTTGGAATACTGGGACAGCTCATTCGGGCTAATTTTGAATCTCCTATGAACGTGACACAACAATGTTTAAGTGACACAACACTTTACATAAATGAACTTACTTCAGCAACATCTTGGGCGGTCAATAGTAAGTAGCTTTTAAGAAGAAGAGATAAGATACACTCCCCTCCGTAAGTTTGGCTACCGGAATGTTTTATTTGATAGCATATCGAAGTCTGACAATGCTTCAATCTTCATGTTTTGTTACATTTTTTCGGAAATTCATGACTTTCACGTGTATCAATGCATAAAATAAATATAACTTTTATGTTACCGCCAAACAATTTTTTTCTTTGTGTTAACACGTTACTTTTTAATAATGGACCCAACGGGAACTTTCCAGTTGCCAAACATATGAAAGGGGAAAGGGGTGTGCATTTATAGACTAACAGCATCAATAACATATTATGTATACGTTGTCTTATTTTGATTGCTGTATCAGCTTGGTTTTAGCTCTAACTTTATTCACATGTATGGTATGGTATGGTATGGTATGGTATGGTATGGTATGGTATGGTATGGTGTGGTATGGTATGGGTTGCCTAACTAGAAATGTAAGTATTAATTATTAAGTATCTTGTAACAAGAATGTTCCAAGGAGAGAAGTAGTTTATATTACATGTTATATTTCAGCTTGCATAGTTTTGCCTTTTAGTGTTTGACGCTTCTGGTAAACCTGAAAGTGGTATCCTTAAAGGAAATATATTCTGGATAGGACAATATGAACAGTGTCTTAGTGTTAAGGCGGAAAGGAATATGACTATAAATAATGCAACGTCTTCGGAAATGGAGCACCTGTTCAATGGGGAATACTGTAAAGTTACAGTTGGTTTGACTCCTCCTGAGGTACTTACATAATCTTAAGTATCTAACTTTAAAACAGTCTAATATAACATTCACAATAGTTTCATTGTATGGAGATAAAGGTACGATGATTTGATGCATTTGTTATTGTTGATAAGGGTTTGTCTAGTCATCTCTTTTCATTCGCAGATTAGTTATGTAGAAACTATTATCATATTTCATTAAGCATACCAATACTTGCACACGGTGCAATTCCTTCATGCGTTTGGTGATTCAAAGAAAAGTTATGATGTCGTAAATTTCCAAACTAATATATTTAAGGAACAACATTAGGATCCAATCTAGACAGCCATTGATGATGCTAAAATGAAAAATACAGGTTACCAAACAAGCATTGCTTCGGCCCTTGCTGTGTTTGTAATTTGTTTTGTTTAAATGATAATAAAAAACTTTAAACCTAAAAACCAAACATATTTGGATTGAATGACTTGTATTAAATGCGCGTATAAAGAACCATTCTATACAATTTCAGGAAGTACCAATTATCACCTCAATCCCTATCCAACTCTCACTGTGCCTACCAAGTAGCTGTTCAGAAGGTGATGTTAAGTTGATGCTGACAACGGGGTCGTTATCAAGTTTAGGATTGCCAATTACTGAAGTGGATTGCGCCTCAAATAAACCAGATATTTCTACTGACTCAAGGGCTATAACTGCAATGTAATAGTTTGAATAATACATTTTGGTATAAAAACATTAGCTTTTGTGATGTCTTTTCTGATAGGTGATGAATGGTTGTCTATTATCAAATTGGTAACTTTAAAACGTATATGTACAATATGCAAAGTAAAAGTATTTGGACCATTTTTGAAAACATTAAAAAGTGAACGTAATACTAACAATATAACTGAAAACGCAATTTTCTATGAAAAGAAGTATTTCTAAAAATGACTCATACATTATAACTACCCTTTTCAAAAGTTTGTAACTGCTTCACCTGCAAATGTACGTTAACACTCAGGCTAGATTGTAATATAGACATAATCTCTTTATTTCAGATCTGTCATCGGAGTTTTTCTGATCATTGTAGTTATATGCACAGTTGTTGATGGGCTCATTATTTACGTTTGCAATGATTCCCTGACGTGTTGCTCTAACGACCAAAAAGATGAAAAGCCATCCATGGGGCAAATGTACGACAACGTTGCATTTACCATTGACGGAACTAAAACAAAGGAAAATGGTGCAGGTAAGGCACCAAAACAAGTGGACACAATTGAGCTCAGGAATATAACATACGTTAAAGGTGATAACCCGAACAGACATGTGGACAGTTGGTATTGGGCTAAGGATGATGTTGAGAAGTTCAAAAATGAGGAGAAATCGCTCAGGAAAGGTTCTTATAGAAGTTTCTAAATCGATTTGAATTGTTCTTTTGTATAAAAACATTGTTTGAAATTTGTTTCATGATAAGTACCGTCAGTTGAATTATCCTTCATACTTTAGGTGGATTTCTACGACTTATCCGTTCATTCTCTGCCTTACACAACTCTAGTTTACTGTTCCACAGTGGAAGTCATGGCAAGAATGATATGGAGGCTATCCATGGTGCCAAAGTGCTTTCCTTATGTTGGATTATTTTAGCTCAAACGTACGTGGTTGGACTCTTAGTTCCACCTTCACCTACTACCTCTAATCTTATAGAAGCAATAGGTTTCATCAGAGACTTGGAATTTCAAGCTGTGTCTAACAGTGCATTTGCCTTGGACTCGTTCTTTTTAATCAGGTGAGGGCTGTTTTTCCATATGTTACATATCGATAAACATCGTACATTATACTATAATGTATTTTAACAGTAACATTACCGAATGAAGGCATGCTATCAGGAAACAAACTGCATTGCAGTCGTGCTATTGAAATAATAAATTTATGAAAACGGTCATCAGCTAGATATAAATGTTCTCACGTCTCTTATACCGTATCAGTTGTACCCCTCTATTTCTAATGCAACTACTGTAGCTTTGATCACTTGATTTCAGTGGACTTTTGACAACTTATTCGCTAATAAACTGGATGGACAAATCCCGAGGCTTACTATCAAACATTGTCGTTGCTCTGCAATTCTACGCTCATCGATGGTTCAGGTAAATATACGGTATATTTTAATTACGTATGTCATTTGACAGTTTTCTTTGTGTCTTGGACCTTTGATCGGGATACTGGTGTTTGTTTTAACTGGTTGTGTTTTCTTGTGTTCTGTTTACTTACTGCATTTTTTTATCATGTATGCAAGTCAGTGTAGTAAAATATTGAAGGCAAGTTTAAAATCTTGACCATTTTTTGTTTTAACTAAAGCAGGTTGAACCTCACGGTCATTCAGTTTCATTTGGTTTAAATGTTTTTATGTAATTGCAGGTTGACGCCTATTTTGATGTTCGTTCTAATGGTGTATACCTGTCTTTATAAATATGTTGGAGACGGGCCCGTTTGGCCAAAAAGTGTAGTCGATCCGACAAACTGCCTCGATACTTGGTGGGGAAATCTGCTATATGTACAGAACTTTGTAAATACAGACAAAACAGTAAGTGTATAATTTATCTAAAATCCACAAAAATAAGATAAGATGTACCATCAACTTCCCAATCAACTTCCATGTTTTATTATCTATGTACTAATTATTATATTTAGACAATACCAACATTTTGTAATTACAGTGCATGACATGGACACTATATTTGGCAAACAACATGCAGTTTTATTGGATAGCACCATTATTTATAGTTCCGCTAGTCTAGTAAGATCTTTACCATTATCAGTAACAATGGGTCGTTCCTGTTGTCATTCTTACTAAAATACTTCTTAACACCCAACTAAGCATGGAAAGTCTCTGTCGAAAGGCAATTTCAAAACATTTATTAGAAATGAGAGTCCCTTCTTCAGTGCAAATACTGTGAATCCTGGAAAATAGAACTCCTTTTCAATTATGATTTAATACAAAAATACCAAATTCATATGAGCACTCATTCTCCGCTTCTAAATAAACACCATATACCATATTTGCATTCTACTTTAGCTCCCCTACTATCGGCCTGATAATACTCGCACTGTTGGTATTTGGTAACATTGCTGCAAATGCTGTTCTTGAATGGAAAAACATCGATGCGCAAATCAAGTAAGGTACTCTGCGTCATAGGTTTTAGGGCAATACAAAGGTGGCAGCAGGGTTAGAATTGTCATTGCCATGCCATCTTTATTTAAAGATGATTGCCTTGCATAGTCATATCGTATAATACCCATTTGGTCATTTGGCTCAATTGAAAATTTAAAAGTAGTAATCGTGCATCAGTCCTTTGAATACTAGACACAGTTGGTAGTTACATTGGTGTTTAACCTTATTTCAGTGGTGAGGACTTCAACTACATCACTGAGGTATACTTTAAACCATATTGTCGTGTTGCTGCGTTTGCATTTGGCGGCTTTGTTGGATTTGTACTGTCAAAACGTCGAAGTGGTTATCATATAAATAAGGTAAAAATCATTTCATGTGCATTACATATCTTTTTTATTGTAAATTCAGCCATCTTTATTTGTCTTGTCACCATCTCGCACAAATTATATTTCAGATTCTGACGTTTGCTTTATGGATTGTATCCATAGCTGGCTGTTTTATATTGGTGTTTGTGAAATATGATGACATTAGAGAATGGGCACCTGGTTGGACTAACGATGGAACAGTAGCCTATCAGACAGTAGCAAGTCCATTGTGGGGTGTCTGTCTAGCATGGATACTCTTTGCATGCTGTACTGGTAATGGAGGTAAATACATCGTTTCTGAAGTGCGACTGATATGATTGTTATAGTCAAGAAGGGTATTTTGTTGATTACATATGCAATGTAGGATAGCAAGTACACATTTGTCAGAAAAATCTTTGCAAAGCATGTGTATGTCTGGCGAGCGATTTAACATATATTTTTGTCAGTCATAAACTTCTTAATAACAATTTTTAATTAAGGAACTATTGATCCTATGGGATGCAAACTTCTGATTGCTAAATTTATGGAGGGGAGTGTATTTTATTGTATGACATTCCAATGCCATCTAATTCTAGGTTTCATCAACAGCATATTGTCATATGGCCTCTGGAAGCCCCTCAGTAGACTCACTTATACCACCTTTCTGGTTCACCCCATCATTATCTTCAGCTATGTCTTCAACAGAAGACAGTTAATTTATATCGACAAAAAGAATCAGGTAAGATCGTCCCTTTGAAACGCGTGTGATTTGTTCCAAGGCCCTTTTCATCATTCTTTCATCATCCGAATGCAGGGCTCCAAAAGTAGTTTCCAAATAGGAATAAACTTAGGGTGAGTTTTCTCATCTTAATGGATATGTAGGCACAAATGCGAAAAGCCTGCATCTTGATTCAGTTGTTTATAACACGCGTTGGAATTCGAAGATGTAATTTCTGAAGATACAAAAGTAGTGAAGAAATCTGGGAAACATTGAGAGAATACAACCTACCATAGGTTGACTCCCCCTACCCAGATATAAGGATTATCAAATTAATTTCAAAATACCGATTTTCGTAGATGACAAATGCTAAATATTACGTTTTGACCTGATGCGGGCAGCTCAAAAACGCAGCCTTAGATTTGAGAATCATCGTTATGTTGTAAATCATTTTATATGCGACTTTAAATTAAAGGACAACATGTAGAAACAGACTCTTAAAAATCAAATCTGTGACATATCATATTGGTTTATTTTTAGATGGTTATGTTCTGTGGTCACGTGATGTATTCGTTTGGATTTGCTTTGCTGCTGCATTTGCTTGTAGAAGCCCCAATAATGAACATTGTCACATGGATTCTCTTCCCAAAGAAGTCAAGAAAGACTTGATGGTTCAGTTGATAATTCTGGAACTTTGTGGTTTGAATAATGTCATGTAATGTTGAAATATTTTTTCTAATTTTGTAAATAAGCAGAATATAACCAAGAAATGATACAGCAATAGACTGTATAAAGGTGTTATGTTGATATTATGTTACACAATTACCCATACATTACGGGGTTTTAACTAATATACAGGTTGGGCCAAAATAGTACTGACTCATATATGAATTTATGATTGTTTGTTCGTACACGTGCATTGTCTATTTAGCTTTGACATGGCGATTCTTCAATCAGAAAAACTTCATGAATCATTTTTTCTCACTTGTGGCAATGGTTTGATATAAATGAGATTATATTTTGTAAGCATGTGATTCCTAATATGGGTTTCAATGAATGTCAATATTTTGAACTGATGTATGACACGCCGGAGTGTTGAACCACGATGATACCGTGAGCACATATGCTTTGAGGATCCACATTGTTTGAACCTACCGCCGAGCTCGCTATTACAGTAAGCCCCGTGACACAGCCAGGGTACTGCTGAGCAAGCCATTGTATCATCGGATCTGCTTTACTCCCGTGTATGACATCCCACAAAATGTTTACTTTCTTTTTTATTTTGTTTTTTTTTCCTGAAAATTATTTTGTACTTCTTTTATGACACTTTTAATAAGATTGGTTTCAGAAAACTTCGGCTTAAATGGCATTTAGCCGGGCCAGTGTATTAATCTTCTGATTAAATTCTATTTTGATATCTATTCTTGAGTTACCCATACTCAAAAATAAGTTTCACTGGAGATGCGAGCACGAAGAGATTCGATCAATGAAGTCAACTAAAAGCATAGAATGATGTTACAGTGGTTATGGACAAAATATAAGGGCTGGACTGATTCTTTAAGGCCCCGTGCAAAGTTTGGAAATATGTTTTATCATTCATTCTCTAACATGAATGATTTAAAATCATTTTTGAGATTTTTGAAAAACACTTTTTTTATTTTGGAAAAAATTTTGTGAGCAGTTGTTATTTCTCAAATACTCAAATTTCCCGCCATTTTTGATTAAAAGGTTCAAACCATCGAATATTCAACTATACAATGCAAAACTGCACATTGCCTCTTTCACACCACTTCGAAGATTGAACAAAGGATACACTCTTTCAATAATAAAATTAACTAAATAATTAATCAACGTTCAATTTTTCCCAACAAAAATATTTTTAAAGATCTGATATAATTATTGAACTCGGAATCCTCGGGTTGTCACTAGTTGAGCTTCCAATAAATGGCCTCCCACTGAATTTATGCCTTGGTTTTCTGTATAAAATCCTTCCCTACCTCACCAGAGTGCCATTTGGCGTTTGGTAAGTGAATCTGGGCTCGATATTTATAATATAGGTCCTAATTCATCTGAGACATGTCAAACTATCCGGAGTGGGAAATCCCATTGCATTGGCGGCGGGGTGCTTTACACCTTGGTGATTTTACCAGAATTTTCTACTATGATCCACACAATGCTACAAACACACTTAACAATGACATTTCAAACCTGTCAAAATGGTGCGACCAGTGGAACATGGGCGTTTCACAACATAAATGCAAGGTCATAGTGTTCTCACCGCCAGGCAAGGCTAGACCTAATGTAGACATCAAATTTAACAACATCTCTCTCAATGTTGTAGAACACACAAAGATACTAGGTGTCATAGTTGATCAGAATCTAAGCTTTGAGGAGCACATACAAGATAGACAGAAAAAAGGCTTTGGAGCATTAAAAACAAGGTAGAGATTAAAAGGTGGATTGGATCGAGTAGATTGGATTCATGTAAAAGGTGGATTGGATCAGGAATCTTCAAAATATAGAATTTCTTTCTTTTGATTTTTTCTGTTAATTTTCCTCTAGCTATTTCCCTCTATAAAATATTGAGTCCCTTTGAGAAATCAGAACAAAGCAAAGACAAACACGTACTCTGATAAGTTGATGAATATTCCTAAGTATTCAACTGCTTTCCCTTGTAAACCTACCTTTGTAGGCTGTAGATAAAAGCTGTCATTCAAATTGATGTGCGAATGTTCTAAAACAATGTCTGCTACATATGTATGTTCTGATTGGTCTGAAAACGGATGATATGGATGTTCAAACCAGTCTGTCTATGATTTATGAAATGTCCTTAAAATTGCACATGGAATAAATAAGATACTGTATCACCCTTCTAGACCACCCAAGCAAAATAATATTACATCTTTTATTTGACATTATGGAAGTGAAAGAGAGGATCTTCTTAGAGGGAGATCAATAGATTTTTTAAGGAAAATCCATATTTTGAAGATTCCCGATCCAATCCACCTTTTACATGAATCCAATCCACTCAATCCAATCCACCTTTTAATCTTTACCAAAAACAATCTCCAATTTTACAAATTCCAATCAGGGATGCTCGCAGACAGTTTTCTGCAACTTATACAAAAGTCTAGTTCAAACAAATCTTGAATATGGATTTGGTGTAATTGCCACATCCACCGACAAAGCTATCTCTGCGTATAGAACAGTGCACAGACAGGCTCTCCTCAGAGCCACAGGTTGCATCCAATCCACAAGCACTGAAACATTAGAAATTCTAACGAACTGCACTCCTATTGACATACTGTTCAAATCCAGACAGGCTCAAGAATTTGCCAGAATTTGTCTGAAAACTGAATCAAGTCCACTTTATAAGGAGTAAAACAGAACAACGAGAGAGAATTACAAACATCCTAGAGAACTGCCCTGCAGACGCAACCATTGTCTTTACAGACGGATCAGCATATGGCAATCCCGGACCTACTGGCTCGGCTGCGATTATATACCTACAAGGTCTTAGAGGGGAACCTATTTGTTTAGAACAAGCAATCTCCAACAGAAGCAATAATTTTGTAGGAGAAGTGAGGGCCATCAACCTTGCACTCACCTTTCTACAAGAAAGTACACTTTGTAACAACATACTATTAGATCTATTCTCTGACTGCCAGCCAGCGCTTATCACAGCCTTTGAAACAAACGTTCCAAAAAATGAGCTTTACACAGTCATAAATATTCGCAACTCATGCAAAACAATCAGGTCTGTCAATCAAATACTATTGGGTTCCAGGACACGTTGATGTCAAAGGCAATGAACTGGCTGACAGTCATGCTAAACGTAGTACTGTCAACCCCTAAAGATTTTCTCGCGGGACAGATTTTTTAGACCCAGTGCCCAAAATTCGCGGGATTTTGCGGGACATCTACTAAATTCGCGGGATTTTGCGGGACATTTAAGGGATTTGCGTAATTGCGCTAATAGGAGATTTTTTTTTATCAAATTCGCGGGATTTCGCGGGACCATTCGAGGGACAAACACCCTAATTGCGGGACAGTTAACAGGTGTACCACCAAAAACTTCATAGAGGGACAGATTTTTTAGACAAAGTGCCCTAAATTTGCGGGATTTCGCGGGACATCCACCTAAATTTGCACGATGTCCCGGGACATTCAAGGGATTTGCGTGATTGGGACTAATGTAAAAGCGTGTAGAAGTACTTAAATCAAACTTTCAGATACTGATTAATCAAATATAATGCACCGTTACATTGTAACTTAAATAAACGTCAACACAATTTCACAAAATACGCATAGGAATATTATTAAACTTTATTGTAATTTATCAAAAACAAAAACTATGCTTCAGGTGTGATTACCGTAATCTAACACGAAATTCAAAAATTCGGAACAATACTTTGCACTTCTGGCGTCGTGACCAACTATGAAACGCTTACCCCCATAATGTTATATATTAAAATGTACCTATTCATATACTGTAGGCATGGGCTTTTAATTGAAAGCCCATGATATAGGGGTTCGATTAATCTACATCAAATTATAGGGAATGAGGTTAATTTTCTAGATAGGGTTTGTATAAAAAACCGGGTACCGGGTAGTAAATCCTCCATGCTGTGTTCAAACTTGGTACCCGGTCGAAAAAAACCAAAAAACGAAATATACGAATACACAACATAATTAGATCATTAGAAAACGTGTAAGATGTTTTGAATTTACAAAAATGTATGTAACTTCCTTCAAAATTGAGCTAGAAGCTTCAAATAAAAAGCATTTTAAGGCTCTTTTCTTCCTCTATCATCTTGGTCATATTTCCATTGGTAATGAAGGGGGGGGGTGAGATCGCACCCCCTCCTGGCTACGCCAATGACATTGTAAGACGATTTGAAAAACAAGACAAATCAATCTTACTCTATTTTCAATGCAACGTGTAAGATTTTGATTATTAATCATAATTTAAGTTATCCCAATTTATGACAAAATGTCCACTGAATTGTAAATTGTTATGTCTTACAATGTCATAGGCGTAGCCAGGAGAGGGTGCGATGGTGCGATCGCACCCCCCCCCCCCCCACCCATAACCAATGAAAATATGGCCATAACGATAGAGGAAGGAAAGTGCCTTAAAATATGCTTTTTATTTGAAGCTTCTAGCTCAATTTTGAATCATGTTACATACATTTTTGCAAATTCAAAACAAATCTTACACGTTTTCTCATAATCTAATTATGTTATATATTCGTATTTTTCGTTTTTTGGGTACACGTTTTTTTGACCGGGTACCGGGTACCAAGTTTGAACCCAGCATGGAGGATTTACTACCCGGTACCCGGTTTTTTATACAAACCCTTTCTAGATATCAGCGTACATTTATTGTAACTCGCGTTTGCTAACATTTCACCCTGGACGAAGTGATAAGGTCAAAACAAGTGGCTCTGATTTAGGAAAAAACGATCTTCCTAAAAATAAACATGGCAGAGCAGGGGTGAGTTTATTTCTTTAAATTATACCCTTTCTTGGCCACCTGACATGTTCAAACTCGGTACATTGATCCAAGACATATCCACCTCTCTATATATAATATTGTAACGATTAATACTAAGAAACGAAATGAATACGAATTGAAATAATATATTTTTGTAAATAACCGCAATATTTTTTTTTGATTATTTTCGAAAAAATGGTAGATACTCTGTTTCAAATGCATTGATATTTGGCGATATGATAGTTTATGAACCAGGGAATGTCATATCACCATTATTTTTCTAATACAAGAAGTAATTTACGTCCCTGAGACGAGATTAGATTTATTTTCTGGAAAAAACGCGGCTCTGATTCTCACAGAATATATGGAAAATACGTGGAATGGATGTCTAATTAATAGGCTACATGTTAAAAGGATTTTAAAGATGAGTTTTAAAATGTGAAATACTTATATTATGTTTGTTTGGGGCACTGTATATGAAATATATACTAGATAGCTCTACATGTTTGACATGTCATAGATAGCAAATTATTTTGTTACCTCTGTTTTTATTAATTTATACTAGGATGAAGAAAATCTAGATTTATACAAGTGATGATTGATGAAGTGAAATATATTTTTGATAATTCATAAATTGCAATTTAAGAAAAGGGTATTCTTATATATATACTTTGTCATGATTCTGGTCATACAATTTTGTAATGCATACCTAATGCATACATGACCTTATTTTTATAATAACTGTTAGTCATAACTATTTGAGTAACAATTTTAATCATATTTTGGAATAATTATTATAGGTAATTATATGATTATTAAAGGTAATTACATTAATATTATAGGTAATTATCAACACAAAAGTGCAAATATCAACACTGTACTGTAGTTATTTGTTTTCTTAATTGTATAGTTCTTTACACAGATATAGATGATAGAATAAAGTTTATTTTTGAAAACTTTATTAATACTATTATTTTTTAAAAAAGTGGAACTTTAACAAATTCATTATATTATTCCTTTGCATTCATTCGACTAAACTGCTTAAAAGAGGGCTTCATCAAAATTAATGAGATTGAATCAAAAATCTAAACAATCACTGTGACTGCTTCTCAGGCTAAACAAAAGATACAGTAAGGCAAATGATTTGTTCTATAGTAAATGTCCAAGACGATTTACTAAAATAGTGGACATAAACATAATTCCCATTCATGTGCCATGGCAGTGTAAATAAAGGGGTTGTTTTGACATCCAGATCTTTGGACTTTGCGTTGACAACGGGCATCGTACGTCTAACAAGCTGCATGTATCTTAGACTCTTATTTCATCCAAAGGCCACTTCCACATGACTTGATGTAATATAAAGAGATTTTCGACGCTTCATAACGTCATAGGACATGACTGGAAAACGTTAAATTAATGAAACTAAATCAGGTATAGAAAGGCTCCGCGTTTTATCACAAATCACCATCGCAAATCAATAACCGCTTATTTTCCTCAAATGTTCGTCGTCGGGAGTAAAACAATAGGCATCACATCAAATAAAAATTACTGTCGATGCTGTAAATGCACATATGAAAAGAAACATACAATCTCGGTGTGCATGAACGTTTATATGCATCATTGATCATCAATGAAAGATATTTTGACAATATAAAATCGTAATTTTTAGCGGGAGATATAATTCTCAACTTTAATTTACACTCCAGCCACTAATGCGCGTTCCATTCAATTTAAAACACACGAACTGAGTAGTTTAAGATGTACCACTTGAACATAATACAAAATTGTATATGATTCTCCTCTTTGTCCACAAGAATTTAACCTTACAAAAATTGGGGTACAAAAATTATTAATTTTTAGGAAGATCGTTTTTTCCTAAATCAGAGCCACTTGTTTTGACCTTATCACTTCGTCCAGGGTGCATTTGCTCAGTTCTGAGATGAAGGCCACACGGGTAGTAAAAAGGCCAACGTTGGAACTATTTGTGACCTACCTGTACATCCCTATTTTCGTAATTAAAATGAAAGTTGAACCCTTCCCCTTTATTTTGATACCAAACAACAGCATGCTAGGTACTTAAAATTAGGTAAACTTTACTCCTCAAAAGTGCAAAAACTTAGCTTCTTATATAAGATAAGATAATCAAAATATAGGGGATTGCAACAATTTCGGAAATTCGCAGAGGTCAAAGCCACATTTTGCGGGACTTCGCGGGACAATGCGGGACACGCGAATTAGCCTAATTTTGATCAAATTCGCGGGATAATCCCGCCATTCGCGGGACACTTGACAGCTCTGTAAACGGGCAGCATTAGTTGCAAAAAGCGGAAAATACGCTGAGGCTAAAACAAACAAACAGCATATATAGGGTGTCTCAAAAAAATGTACCCAAAAGTATAGCAACACCATAGACAAACCAATCAATATTTTCAGACATTTTTTGCATGGTCTTGTAGATAAAAGATGAAAGTTTTTTCCCCTATACACAGTTTTTAATTCAGTTTTGGCTTTTTGATACTTTAACCCGTTACCTTTTACACCACATATTCAATGTAACGTCATATTTCGATGACAGTCTGCATCCTTACTACTACATTGTTCATCACATTTGATATTTCTGGTGTAATGTTTTGATTTCTGTTCGGATACTGGTCTTAAGTTGTTCTAGGTCTCTTAGCTTGGGTTTAGCATAAAAATGGTCATTCAAATAGCCTCAGAGAAAAAAGTATGGGCCGTCAAATATGGTGAATAGGGAGGCCCTCACAATGTCTTATAGTCCCCTTATACAGAGAGGTCAGAGGTTCAAGAAACTGCATTGGTTGGGATTCTAGTGTAGCTTTTGTTGTGTGTATCAATTTGAAAGTACTGTGTTTTCATTTGGATATCATTTGGTCTCCAGGCTAGCCTGCCTAACTCTGGAAGGTAACTCCTGAATCATTTGTCGATAATTGACCTGATTATCTGTGTGTGTTCTGCCATCGTCATCCTCAAACATCTTTCTCTGTGGCTATTTGAAGGAGTGTTTTAATGCTCATTCCAAGCAAAAAGACCTAGAACAACTTAAGGGCAATATCCAAAGAGAAATCCAAAACATTTCACCGGAATTATTATCAAATGTGTTGAACAATGTAGCAGTAAGGATACAGGCTGTCATCAAAATATGAGGTTACATCGCTTTTTGTGGTGTAAAAGGTAAAGGGTTAGAGCATCAAAAAGACAAGACTGAAATAAAAATGGTGTATTGGGGAGAAAACTTTCATGTTTTGGCTACATGACCATGCAAAAAATGTCTGAAAATATTGATTGGTTTATCTGTGCTCTTGATATACTTTTGGGTACATTTTTTTGAGACACCCTGTATACAGCCTGATCAATAAATCTGTCCAGACAAAGTGGCAGAAACAATATAACAATTCCAAAAAAGTTAGCCACATACAGCGATCAATAGAAAAAGTTGGAACCAGAGCTATCCTGGGAGAGAAAAACAGGAAAACATTCTGTATCACAAACCAAATGTTAAGTAGCCATACAAAGCTCAATAGCCACCTAAAGAAAATCAATCCCATACACCCTTCAGACAAGTGCCTCAACTGTGACAGGATTGAGACTATTGATCATTTCATACACCACTGCTCCAAATACAGTGAGACTCGTGAGAGACTATTTTATGAGGCTAATAGTATTCTTCTAGAAAGTGAACATAACCCAGAATTGGACATCAAGACTCTGTCAGGTCTGAACAAAACTCTAAAACCAGACATCAACAAAAGGTTGAACTACGCTTTTACAACCTTCTTAATGAAATCACTGAAACGATTTTAATTGCCTACTCATATAAACTTTAAATGTAAATAAGTTACAAGCTAAGGAACTTTAGTGTTTTTAAGAAAAAACAAAAATAAAAATAAAAAGAATCTACAAAAACACTAGAGAGAGTCACAAGAGGAAAGCACCATTGAAAAAACAGCACCAGAGACTATTAGGTGACATGATAGCACCGTATATATGGACTTAACCAACCAAAGCTGACGATAGATGGTGACGACGGATACTAACCGTTGATAAGTTATAGGGTAAAATGTTATAATGGAAACTCTTCTGAAGTCTTCAACCGAACCTTTCTCTAGACGTTTTATTTTACCGAACAGACTTGTTCGAATATTATGCTTGTTCGCATAATTGATGCAAAAGTTTTATGCGCATCATTCTCGCGCATATAGCAACCTCAGAAAATTTTGAAGTTTCCCGTGGAAGACAAACTCGTGTTTTCTTTCATTTAGCCAATACTTAACGGATACAAATTACAATGACATCATTCAAGGTAAAGAGCGTTAGTTACTCTTTGTATTTTGTATAAATTAATATCAAACTTAAGGCTACTTTTTGGAGAGACCAGGTCCGAAAATCGAATATTTATTTTGCTGTGAATTTTTTTGTTTCAGTTTTTACTTTCATGATTTTCAAAATCAGTGAACATGTTTTTGCTCAGTAAGGTCGAAATTATCCATTGAAATTGCATTTTACCTAAAATATATGGTTTTATTTTATTCATTATTGACTGTTGCCATGTTAGCAAGCATATCTTCTGCTAGTCCAACAGCATTAGACCTAGCCTGGGGCCTCGATTCTTATCTGACATGTCTTATGGCCCTGGCTAGGTCTAACCTTCATCGTTATATGCGCTTATGGCATTAAACCCTGAAAATCTGGTAATTACATAAAGAATGTGATCCAAGCATTCATACATTAATACACACCATCCCGTATCTTCCTAAGACCTAATTGATGCATAATTACGAGAATGTTAGAGACAGGTTTGGAATTAACGAAAATGTCAGTCAGTTCTGGTAACATCGAAATTGCGAATCATATCAGAAATTAACTGTCATTGCAACACTGCATTAACAACAGTAGGTTTGCAATAAATAACTACTTTGCGTGTATACATGCGCTATATAAATCAATCAAAGATACCTGTCATCCTCTAAATCGATCTTATTATCTCTATTTGATAACAATTTCATCCCAAGATAATTCCTAAAAGTTAAAAAAAATGTAATTGAGTTTAATGATGTTGAACTAATCTACAAATATACAATAAGTATTTCAATTTCTCTGGAGCCTCTCATGGTAGGGGGTATCTTTCAGAGTTGGTAAGATTTTGATTTTAAACTGCTTCAACTTTGCTGATGTCCATTTGAAACCCTGGGTGCCATATTGAAGTTCCATATTCCATGTGTGGTTTAACCATTGTGTTATATGAAGTGGGAGATTTGTTCTAGACTAGTGAAAGATCTATTGATAATTCCATGTACTTGATTAGCTTTATTGGTACATTTATTCACATGTTCATTAAATTTAACTCCTATTTAGTTATTTAAAGTTTATTATGAAAACAACTCGATGCAAACGATTCGATACATGCCCTAGATCTAGCAGTAGTCTAATTAAGACTTGGCAGATTTCAGGTAGATTTCGATGAGCATATTCCTCATTATAATTATATACTTAAGATTGGGTTAATTTGGTGCCCTCTTTAATTTGGCAAAATTGAAAAAAACACCAATTTACATCTTCGCCAGAAATTAAAAAGAATCCTCAGAAATTTTCCAGGGAACTTCGTTTGGTGTATTTAAGTCACTTCTGGTTTGGTTTTACAAAATCTGAAATGGATTTAAGCTGGAGGAACATCAATATGATAGAGTATTTCCATGGGGAATTCTTTCAATGATAAATATCTAGCTAGATATATAGTAGTTGAATTGAAGTAATCCATGTAGGAAGCTATGTTGTCAGAGCAATGCTCAAGCCCCAGTGTCCGCCAAATTAAATAGCCGCCGATATGCAAAAAAATGGCGAAATCGCCAAATTAAGTAGCGCCAAATTAACCCAATCTACAATGTAATTATTTCATCAATATGATGCCATTCATCAGGAATGTTTGGTGACCAAAAACCTTCACACCTCAGTTCTTTTGAATGACAAAAATATGTTGAATTTGGTATTAGCTCTTCAAAAGTTTTTTTTATTCGCTTTGTCAATTTTGGGTCTTCTACTTAGTTTATGGGTAAGTTGCTTTGAAAAAACTAATATCAATAATGTTTAAAATAGAGGATCAATATCAATTAATTGAATCTGAGGTGATTTCTAGTGATTATATGTGAGCATTGGGTAATCATGGGATCCCTAGTGTACAATCTCATCAAAATGGAAATCTGCTTTGGACATGTGAAAGCCCAAAGCCAGTGGCAGTGTTTACTGGTGATGATGTCATGTTGTTGAATAATAATATGTATGATAGGGGGACGATTTGGTGTATGACTGTAATGTAGACTATATAAGAGCAATCTATGACTAATGTGTTATGTTTCTATATCTATGATACAGGGGGGGGAGATTTCCCAAAGATGCCCTATCATATTAGCACGTTCGAAAACAAATTTTATAAACAGGCCTCAATTTGCCGTTGAAATGGATCTCCAAATGTTCACTGTAGTTTTATGAGTATTCTCTACAAGTATGGATCGAGTAACTTCAATAGTATTACCGTAGGTTTGAAATGATGATGTTGAACTGATGTTAACGCCATTCCAACGATTTCAAATTTAACTCTGCGCATGCGCAGCACTGAGAGAGCACGTGCTCATGATTGTTCACGTGATCGAATCCTGCAATTTGATTGGAGATGATGCAAGAGATGATGCAATGGGGAATCCCCGAATACGATAGAATATGAAAGAATTATGGGAGCTACTCACTCCTCCTGTCTATGATAGGAGGAGGATATGGTGTATGACTGTAATGTAGACTATATAAGAGCAATCTGTAACTACGGTGTTATTATGTTTGTATATGTTTCTAGGCTGCTGATTCAAAGAGAGAAGAGTTCAGGAAGTACCTGGAGAAGGCTGGGGTGCTTGATGCATTGACTAAGGTAAACTAGAACTAACCACATACAATAATTATGCCACCACTTTTGGTTAATAGTTTCCAACATTTTTGTGGGCAGCGCTCGGTTGATTGCATTCAGCATCTATTACAAATTGCAAGTGGTGACATTTTGTATGCCTTGTACATACCACAGGGTGCAATAAAAGAACATTTACCCTAATATACCAAATAAGCCTTGCCAATGATTATTCACATCGCTTTTGCTCTTTGAAATTGCTTGTACTATTAAGTTACAATTTATGTACTATACCAAATGTTGCCATAGCAACACTGCTGAGTATGCATACCCCCTCCCCTCTACTAGTCATTCAAGGCTTAATAAAAACTGTTGTTTATTGCTAGGTGCTAGTGACATTGTACGAAGAGCCAGAGAAACCCAACAATGCTCTAGACTTCCTTCAGCAACACATGGGCACCACAGGGCCTGAGTCTGCTGATGTAGAAGCATTGAAACTTGAAGTGACTGAACTCAGGCAGAAGGTAGAAGCTCTCTCAGAGGAAAATGGAGAACTAAAAACAAAAGTAAGAAAATACTTGGAATTCTCGATAAATCTGATGAATTAAAACTATGTTCTTGAAAATAGATGTACGTGGAATGTCTTTATTTAAGGGGGGGGGGTGTTTATTATGAGGAAAAAAGCTTTCGCAAGTCAGTGAATGTTTATTTCGAGTGATAAAGTCACACATTAGTACCATGAACACAGGCATGAATGTTGCCCAGTATGTGACCTTTTGTAATATTTTTGCTACATTATGTCAAGTTAACCCCAATACTCTGTTCTGTTTCCCACTTCTGTTTTTTCCCAGGCTGTTCAAAGTTCGAGGGTATATAGAAAAGTCGTCCATCTGTTCAAAGGACCTTATACACCCGCCATTGGGATCTCCCCATGGGAAAAAAATAATTCATCTGATTTTTCAAAATGAGTATTCTGCTTCAATTATTACATTTATATGCACACTAGTATCTTGTTGACCTATATTCATCACTGTATTGATGTATAGGCCACTTATTAGGGTCATAATTCAATCATGAAGTGTAGAGGCATAGATTCCAAACCAGTAAGTATTTTTGTGTCTGTCAAAATCCATTTACATCCTACGCATCCCTGCATCTTATCCAAATATGTTACTACATAATGAAATATAATAGTATAATCTTTGGTTTTACAAACTTGTATGATATTTGATAAGTGTAAAAGTAGTTTTTGGAGCATTTTTCTATAGCCATTTTGTAGGGAAAAAAATGATGAAAAAATGTACAATCTTTTAATTTTAAGTATGACCTGAATCGATTGCAAACTTCATATTTGCACATTTGATGAGATAAACCATTTGTGTCGTATTGTGAAATCATTAAGTTTGCAATCGATTCAGGTCATAGTGTATTTCTGGTATTTCTGTGATAATCAATTGAAACCAATGGCCTCTATTGGGATCTGCTGATATCCTCATACTAAGTCAATAGTGCACAGCCTCATGTAAGTCAATACAACCTTACTGAACGAAATGATCCCTATCTCAGCTTATGTGTGTCCGAGCACTTTAATATTTTCCAAAGTATTATATGACATTTTATTCTTCATGTTACACCTACGAATGATTCATTTTGACCATAGGGATATTTGCCAATAATTGCACCTTGTCCTTTTATAGGTTTATGCCTTATGGGTGTAGGACCTCTGCTCGAGAAGGAATTTCCAATATAGCTGCTCAGTTCAAAATGGCGGCCATTTTTATAAAAAATATAATCTTTGATAACTCATATACTAGATGATCGATTTGGTTCAAATTTTATATGCTGTTGCTTAGGGACAAAGCAGCTGTGCACAAGAAGACATTTTCAAGATGGCCACTAATTTCAAAATGGCCATCATTTTTGTAAGAATGTAGTTGACGGATTTGGATCAATTTTGATATGCTGATGCCTAGGGACATAGGAGCTCTGCTCATGAAGAAATTTTAAAGGTGGCAGCTGAATTTCAAAATGGCCACCATGTTTCATAAAAACATAATCTTTGATAACTCAAATACCAGTGGATGGATTTGGTTCAAATTTTATATGGCCACTATTTCTCAAAACATTTTTTTTGGTGGGATTTGCTACTCCATGGAGTTGCTGTTTTTCTAGTTAACAATTTCCATCCTTTTCTTAAATGTTTTCGCCCAGTGGGCTTTAATTGAGAAGTCTTCGAAATGACTTCCCATGGGCCTATCCGTGAGAATCTCCGGTTTGTATAATTCAATTCCATAAATAGTTAAATAATCCTAAATAATTAATATTTCAGCTTCAGCAGTATGAACCACCACAAGAGGAAGCAACAGAGTAGCAGCTGTCAATCAAACTCACTCAGAAAGACATCTCCTGTAAATATATGAACTACTCAACTCAGGGTGCAGCATAGGGGTTTAAGATCTACTAAGACTGGATGCATTGTGATGTGACATCTAAATTATATGCTTGTTTATTTTAAAACTCACTGGACATTGTTCAGCTGTCCAGGACTTTATGTCGCATCCTGACTTAACTGGGATGTGACATCTAAAGTTTATGCTTGTTTATTTCAAAACTCACTGGACATTGTTCAGCTGTCTAGCGCTTTATGTCGCATCCTGACTTAACTGGGACCAGATAGAAAGTTAAAAAGATTGAGGTAATAAATGGGGTATACATTGTAAATGACTGAAATGGAGAGAGTGGTCAAGAATCTGTTGTTTATGTAAAAATGATTTGCTCTTTTGTAAATAGGTGGCAACATTGGTGTTCACTGTTCAATGGAACATGTTGTACAATATGTTGTACAGAATTTATAAAATATACGATGTATGAGTTGTAACATTCATTTAGTTAAATTATAATTTAATGATTTGCAAGCCAAACAAATGCAAAATATTTAGTTGTGACATTAGAATTCATTTCCTGGAGCTCCATTTTCTCATTTATATTTTCAAGACTGTATGTGTAAATAATATGTGTTTTGGACTATGTTTTCTCGTAAATGATACAAACTTCCTAAATCTTTTTTAATCAAGAATGCTAAAATTATCAAGTTTTTATGAGACTCCTATAAGTAAACAGTATTACATGTATTATTCTATACCGTTTCACTGGAGTCAATATTCAGTTAACCTTTTAACTTAATATTTTAAGCAATAAAAAGGTTGCATAATTACTGTACAATCTTAAAACTACACTTTTCATGAGTTCAAAATATATGAAATGTAAAATATATCAATTGTTTTTTGTTCTATATGACAGCTAAGTAATAAGGTAAAAAAGGTCAAACAAGGGGTTTGTCCTAGCCTTAGGAGGATTGAACAGCCTTACTTAACATGCAATTAATTTAGGATCTTAAGTCTGTTAGTCCAATACACCATGAGCTGAGCTTTCTAAAACCCAGTAAGCATATTTACTGATCAAAGAAGATTTTAAGTACAGTAAACCTTTTTAATCCAAACGCCTCTGGGACCAGCTGAATGTCTTTGGATTAGTTGTGTTCACATTTCAAGGTTTTATTCTTGGTAGTGTAAATTACCAAGAGAAAATAAATTTTGGATTGAGAAAAGGTGTTTACATTGAGAGGTGTTCAGATATTCAAGTTTTGCTGTATAACTTCTAGCACTGTCAACAGATATTCATTTATATGGATAGGCTCCATAATTGCTAACTTTCCATTAAGACTACTCAAAAGTTGAGTAGGATGATGCACCATAGGGGTTCCCTTGAGAGTTGTGTAAAATGGTTCTACTTACAAGCAGTTGTATTCTATTTTCCTGGATTAACATGGTTTAACAAAGTTAATCCAGGTTTTATTTTTTGCGTTGATAAAAAAGTGATAACTATTAAGTGATAGGAAAATAATATTTGCAAAATTGATAATCATGTACAGTATGTAAACGGGTAATGCTATTGTCATGATTGTATTACAGAAGTCTCTTTGTTTTTTATAATTCCCAAATGTGATTTACTATTGACCATAATAATATCTCATAAAGCCAATCTATATTTTCGAAGATACGAAGTAAAGAGAATTCAACAAAATGTATGCAACCTATATCTATAGGTCAGAATGACCTACTTTGTGTTTTTTAGCCAATGCTATGTTGCAGCTCTTGGGGTTTAAGTCAATGGGTGAAACAGAACCTTCCCACAATCCCGCTCTATCTACTGTTTAATATATGGTTTGAATCTCAGGTGAAAGTAACATTGTGTGTGAAGTACTGCTATACTAAAAGCTCGGACTAGAGACGTTTATACTCGCCCTAAGGTTATTTAGTGACTGATTTATTTATCATTTACTCTTGTCATAGGGATTTTCTTAGCCTTGTCCAAGTTGATATTTTTTACTTATCTGATCTTTAATTATTACTTAAATCTAGATAAGAAAAAGAGACCGATTTGGGCAAGTCTAGGACCTTCTCAAAAACTCAAAATGTATCAAAATATGATTTACATGGGGTTCGCTTTCGAATTTGATGTAGAAAGGATTCACACTTCAAGTTCAGATGTTAACATGGAAGTTACTGAAAAGTGAAATGTTCACGTTAGAGAGGTGTTCACATTGAACAGTGTTCACATTAGAGAGGTGTTCATATAAGAGAGGTTTTCAGATAAGAGAGGTGTTCACATTAGAGAGGTGTTCTGATGACCCCAAATAATACCCTTATCCTAATCTCAATTTTCAAATTAATGTTCACCATTTTTCTAGAGTTGATTCGATCACTTATTCAATTAATATATGTGTTGATATTGTGAATTTCGGGACAATCGTTATGTTACAACCTGTAAACGTTGAATATAGGCGAAGATAGAAACAATGTCATCGATGTATAAGCCGGACAGCTGGGATATTATTACAATTAATATATAACGAACAGCAAACTTGCAGAATCGGAGAGAGGATTGTATATATGGTGAAGCAATATATACAACAAAAAGCAATTTGTACCTCATAATAAACAACTAAGTCCTTCAAATTGTTCCATGAGGAAAAGAGGAAATAATCAATTTAGACTTGTCTCTGAAATTGCAAGCAACAATTGATTAGTCTGATAAATGTATGTTATACCATAGACATATAAATAGCATCGGATCTATTATGACGAATAGCATTCATTTAACCAAAAAGCTAGTCACAAGAATGAAACGATATACTAGACATGGGTTCATTAAAATAGTTTTATCGACAATTTTCATTATCGGATCCTTTTACGCGTTTGGATTTTGGACACGATACAAAGGAAATGGAATAACGAAGCCGATATTTTGCCTAACAGATAGAGATTATGATGCTACGAGTGACGATTTACAAGTTGTTGGATATAACGGAACTTCAGGGAATTGTAATCTTCGCCCGTGTGATTTGAACATGGGCAGAGAGCCACCTATAATTCGTAAAGTAAAGCACAACGATTTCTACAGTGTTGAGAAATTAGTGACATTAATAGTAAAAACTGCAAACAGATTGGATTCTGTTGAAAGGCTTTTGGATTCATTATGGAAATATTACCCAAATATGAATGCAATAATCATTGATGATTTTAATCCCAATTTAGAGCAAGATCCTCAAACCATGGCCATATTACGTTCGAAGAAAGTTACATATCTTCAAACACTTCCAAACTCTGGGATATCATACGGACGTAATATTGCCCTCAAGTTATGCAACACGAAATATTTTATGCAACTTGATGATGATATTGTATTTCACTCAGAGTCAAGTATTGAAAAACTGATTGCACCTTTGGATGAATCTGATCTTACTGTTGCTGCCTTCCACGTGGATGGAGCAAGGAGTATCGAAGGTGTGTTTAGAATATACGAAGACCCCAAAGGCTTGAGGCATATTATACAATACCCAGGAGTTGCATATCAGGCTGTGCCCTGCCACCCCCATTGCTACATGGTCGACTCAACGTTGAATTATTTCGTAGGAAAAACTGCTGAGGTACGCGAAGCTGGAGGTTGGGAGAATGGACTTCCGGTCATGGAACATCTGGATTTCTTTATGAACCTTAGATTGCATAAATTGAAAGTTGCAGTTTGTATGGATAGCTTGGTAGAGCACAGACCAGCCAAAGATGATCCTGTAAGGAAGCATAGATTCCAAGTGAAGCCAATGTATGTAGAAAAATGCTTAAGAAAATGGGGCTTGCAGTCAAGAGTGGAATGCCCAGCTGACCAGTATGAAAGCATTCAGATTTGTGATGAACCAAAATTATTCGGTGAACTACCTTCTTATTGAAAGATTGAGAAAAGCCGGGGATGATTTGCAGTCTGTCAACAGAACGTGTAGAACGCAAGCCAAGGAAATAAATATGATTAATATTTACTTTTTGTTATTTTGAAAACATGTATTGAAATTGCATTTTGTACGGTAGTCTGTTGCTGTCTCTTGTAGTCATAATGATGTTCGACTTGCCTATAGTTGGAATCATCTAGGTATCAATTCAATATATCTACAGGTACGTGACTGCCATATGCATCGATTATGAAGGTTTTCGGTCATCCGAAATACATGTCATGTACAGTATGTGCAATTTTAAATTCATGATATATTCTCCTGTTAAAAGTCACTTCTTGGACTAAATTATTATAAAGATCGAGGTATAATTATACAATATGTTGGAATAAAAGGGATGATTTATAGATTTTATATCATATTATTATATACCTCAAATGTATTCTAGATGCTCATTAGCTTATTCATGGTCACATGACATGGAATAGATGAACTAATTCCCTGGAAAGTCCTAAATCCCTGCTTTCAGGGAAGATGAATTGTACTAATCACCAGTTAGGTCATGTGACCAGTCAATAGTACATTTTATCTTCCCCCAAATCTGAGATTATAGGAGTTAAAAGGTAAAATGCCTTTAAATGCCAATAAGAACCTGTGAACATTTGATATTGAAATGAAAATACTTCTCATTTTGTTTTTGTTTACAGAGTACTTATCAGGTATATAATAAAACAAATAGTGACTGCCACATTTTCGGGAAATAGTGTAAAAATTTTCCTCTCGGGAATATCCTGTCCACTGACTTGTTCCCTCGGCCTGCAGCCTCGGGAACATGTCAGTGGACAGGATATTCCCTTGAGGAAAATATTTTGCACTATTTCCCTCAATGGCAGTCACTATTTGTACACTACAGGGTGTCCAATAAATAAGGTGAAAGATGTTGTAACTTTCTCAATTTTGCACCAATCTTGATGAAATTTTCAGGGTTTGTAGCCCAAACCTTTTTACCTTTATTCTGTGAATTTAAAGCGTCTTCTATTTGATTGGCCAGAGTTGTGGTTGCTACAGCAACCAAAACAACAAAAAGGCGGGGCAAGTTTGTTTACGTCACAACTTTCCAAAACATATTTATTCTTTCTGATAGCTTAATTCATACCCCCATGTCTATTACTACCACCAATATAAAACCAGTCCTCATGTCCCTTTGTTATGAAAACAAGCTATTCAACATAATGTCCATCTCTAACTATACACTTTTTATGCTTATTCACCCACTCTCTAAACACACTTTCAAACCCATTCATGCCCATTTCCCGAAGTCTTGCTAAGATATGTGATCTGACTTCATCAGTTCTTCCAAATTTATTTCCTCTCAAGTCACGCTGAGTTCTGCATATAAGTAAAAGTCATTGGGTGCAAGGTCTGGGGAAAATAGAGAGTGTCCAAGTAGGGGTAGCCCCAGTACCCTAATAGTTTCACTAGTGAACAGAGCTGTGTGTGAACTCAGATCACATGTCTTAGCAAGACTTCAGAAAATGGGCAAGAATGGGTTTGAAAGTGTGTTTAGAGAGTGGGTGAATAGGTATAAAAAGTGTATGGTTAGAGATGGACATTATGTTGAATAGCTTGTTTTCATAACAATGGGACTTTAAGACTGTTTTTATATTGTATTTGTGGTAGTAATAGACCTGGGAGTATGAATAAAGCTATCAGAAAGAATAAATATGTTTTGGAAAGTTGTGACGTAAACAAACTTGCCCCGCCTTTTTGTTGTTTCGGTTGCTATAGCAACCACAATTCTGGCCAATCAAATAGAAGACCCTTTAAATTCACAGACTAAAGGTAAAAAGGTTTGGGTTACAAACTCTGAAAGTTTCAGCAAGATTGGTGCAATATTAAGTAAGTAACAATATCTTTCACCTTATTTATTGGACACCCTGTATATCGCGATCTCATGTACGACGTTGCAACAGTGAAAATAATGCTAAAACGAAACGGCCGCCAGTTGATGCTTTGATATGAGGTGTCTTCAATTGTCGTTAAATCCAAATAAAGTAAACATTGTCTTGTGTAGATTTAGAAACGGGCTTTCAGATCGTATATGCATTTTAGTCATAAAAATTAATAAGAACGCTAGATTATACGTGTTACCATGGTTACTGGGGTAACAAATTGAAATTAGGTACCACATCGATGGTATTTACAATGTTTTTTGATATATTATAAAAAGTGATTTAATGGTTAAAGGTCTCTTCTACAATAACAGGTGCATAGCAATAAAAATGTACAGTTTAATGAGCATCAGTATTTTACACTACCCTAAAATCGTATAGCAAACTGGGACAAACACCCCATTGATAAACTTATTCGTGCTTTGCTACGATACTTTTATCTGAAAAGGCGTAGAAATTAACTATTAAGGGGTTGATACAAACTGATTTCACTTTGATAATTCTGATTTTGCCATATTTCCCATAAGAGTATCACAATTTTTCAAAATTCAAATTCAACAGCAACAAAAATGGTATTGTAAGTAAAATTTCCTCAGAACATCCAGCCAGAACTGGTTGAACACCCAGTTAATTGTGGAAGTCGGGTTGCCAAACTTTTGAGGGGAGTGTAACTTGGCCTGTAGTATGAAGAAACTTTAAGAATTCACTGGCTAATGTTTTTCTTCATTCCGAGTTTTTAACAGATATGCGTGTCTTCATGTCCATGTAAATAAATGAAAATATGTTCATGAGAAATGATATGATCATGAGAAAATAAAGTTTTAGGCTTTGTATTTTTTATAAAGATGTCTCTCATTCGAATCCGAAAGTGGACTCTTGTGAAAGGGATATTTGAAGTCCCGGGAATAGCATAATCTGTACTAAACGAAAACACAATGGTCACATGACCTGTCAATCAAGTGATTGGTTACCAAGTGGTTGTTTACACATGTGGGAAATATGCCAGATTTAAGGTTTCAAATGACACGAAACTCGCGCTAATTATAAGTCGTTTTCAATAGTAAGTGACTGGAAACCTCAGTAAAAGTCATACTTTTTGGATACATGATGTTTTGAAGAATCAATTTGCAAAAATTGGAATTGTATAGAAGTACTGAACAGTAAAAGGACGGAAAGTAACTTTTCAAAAGTTTTCGAAAGTTTTCAACTTTTCAGAAAATGGCTACTGGAATGGTCGAACCTGCCAGAGGTCAATCAGGGAGTCCTAAAGGCAACAAAATGTTTAACTTACCACAGATAGAGCATCCCATGACCCGTATGGGTACCAAGGATGAATTAAACATTAGAGGAGAGTCTAGGAGTAACTCTCGGACTGGTTCAAGAATAGGGAATCCGATGCGAAGAGAGCAAACATTTGTAGCAATGGGAAACAGTGGTAAACTACACCTTGGGCTTGATAGATCTAATCTACCCCCACTGGGAGGTGGCATGACTTCTCCAAGGGACAATCAGGCATTGAAAAGCCACCAGAGGATATTAACATGGCCTCCAGGTAGAGTACACAGCTTTTTCTGACACAATGATTGATATATGATATCCTTATAGGATCTCTTGTTTAAAATACAGAGTGTAAATTGCTGGGTACAGACTGTGTTTGTTGCTGTTTTATACCAAGTGGGTTTGTAGTGTATCAGAGACATGGAAGAGGGGTACTAATGAATGGCGGATAGGCAGAGGCAAAATGTAGTAGTTTTACATTCTATGTCTTGTTTCATCAGTAATGTTAGAAGTAATCAACTTTACAATTAAAGTACCAGGTACAACTGTACAATATACTTTAGACCCCTTGCATCTCAACTTGATATACATATATCAGGACCTCAAACGTGCCACTTAAAGTGTCATCTAATATGCATACACTCTAGCTGAACTTGAATAAAGAGTCATATACTGTAGGTTCTATGTTCAATCATAATTTTATTGTACAGCATTTCTTTTTGTGCTTTATTCATAATGTCTATCTTTACAATTATAGAATATTTGGCAGATGGCAAATCAGAACGGAATGTTGTTAAACCAAAGATGACATCAGAGGAAGTGAGTATTAAACATCAAAACAGATGCAAATAACAGTAACTTTACTGTATATGTATTGGTAGAATTTACTCCCAGCACATTCACTTTATACTTGATTTATTGTGTATCTTTTCCATATATAGTTCTGTCCCAATATAAGAGTTATAAATCAAGCCTAATATCAGTATGTGTTATCTGCTCACCCTATTATGAACAACCTGTTTTCTGTTTAAATCAATTGCGTTTGTCAAGGACTTTATCTAAGTGAATACAAGGTTAGATGCTTTTATTGAAGTACTATGTAAATATTGGAACAATGGTTTTGATGATATTGGCCCAAGGATTATTGACAAAAATGTAATTGATCTCAGGGCATTGTTATAAACACAATGTTTTGCCAATTACTAGATTAAAGCAAAGTTTTTTTTATGGTCTACTTAAGGCTTATACACTTTCATGAGCTATTTTCTCCATTTTTTGCAATTAGATAAATTGATTGTCATTGCCCTTGAGACACTTACTTCCTTCGTGAACTGCATTAAGTGTCAATCTGACTCCAATAATTATTAGGCATCAGGGCAATTTTGAAATTGGACTAATTTTCTCAAAATGAGAACCCGAGGGTACTAGTTTTGAAAATGAACCCCAAAATAAGGCCTATTTTTCCAAATTTGTTTTTAAAATTGTAATAATTAATCACATTGTATTGTTTGTATACTTTTCAGCTTGAAGACACATTACATGAGAAACTTGCCACTGGTTACTATGGAGTAAGGCAACTTTTCAAAGCAAATGACCCTACATGTCAAGGCACTGTGACAAAGTAAGTGCTTTATTGTTTTCTTTTGTGGAATATTTAACTATTGATAATTGTATTACACATGATGCACAATTTACAAGTTTAAAAGTAACAATAAGTAAACATAAGTGAAAAACTCAACTATCATTCCAACTAGAAACATCCATCAATAAAAGTCATAAAACATAGAGACTTTTTAGATGACCTGGTATGATTTTAAACCATTTTCCCATTTACTAGCATAGAATTGGTTCAATAATCATATCCAGTGTATCGAAATGAGATATACTGTATACTTCTCCAGGAATATGTGACAATGCAATGTAATTCAGTAATAAAGTTATTTTAGGAGGGGAGGGGGTAATTGATGATTTTATAAGTGAAGAATGTTGATTTTTTGAATATTCAAGTGAATGACAATTCAACATTTTAAAATTTCATTAAATGGATATGATGGAGAGGGTCAAACCATAATGAAACTAACTGCGTTTTTCCATGAATTTTGATAATTGGAAACCATTCCCTTATGTAATGTTTTAACCAATTCTCTTCAGGGAGGCTTTGTTGCGTATCCTATTCACACTGTGTGGCTACATAACCCCTGGCCAGTATAACAGATTCCTTCGGTTTGTGGGCCTTGAGGGCAAAAGGAACATTTCCTTCGAAGACTTTATCAACTGCTTTAGAGACCCTGAGGTAAACATCCACAAATTATTTTTAGTAAAGAGTATTATGTTTGTTTTTAAAATTTTGGGATGTGGCACTATTAAACAACAATTATGAAAATAAAGATTTTTTGCTTAATTCATAGTGCAACAAGTAGAAGTTGCACAGTGTAGTTATTGTTCCACTTTCCACTTAATCAGTCAATAATTTGAACAAGCCACAACAGCTCAAGCAAAGACTATGTCAATCCTCAGAATTTCACACTTTATTTATTAATTACAAAAAGAAAATATATCAACATCATTTATCACATTTTTATGCCTTTTCAATCTAAACCATCACTCAAAAATTTTGTTTATCAATAATTATAGGAGAAAGATAAACGTGAATGGGTGAGTCCATATAAACAGAAAGAAGTTATGAGATCTGAGGTTCTGCGGGAGTTGGAGGCAAGCAATAAGACATCAGGAATGTCAGCCGTCTATTGCGCTGCTATGTTGAGGCGCAAAGCAGAATCTAAGTATGTCAATATTTTTTTATTTACAAATGTCTTTGATATGATTTGGAAAGTTCAATCTTTGGCAAAAATGTAGTATTGATGCTGAACATTCAGAAATAGTATTTTGAATCCAAGTTCAATGATAATGTACATGTAAGACTGATTCCAAGTTTTAAAGAAACTTCTCACATCAAAAAGTCAGCAAGTCATTCACTCTTGCTGCCCACCTACTGGTATTAAAGTGTATGACTCAGTCAAATGGTCCTTATTTCAGGCTTTTTCATTTATTATGATAGATCGTAGATTCTTATGTTGTTACCATGGTCAAATAGGCTGAATTTCTTCACAATCTAATATTTGATTTTCCTTTCAGGAATTTTGATCTTAGTGCTATCCTGCCAGGCACATGTTTTGAGTATGATGGTATAATTGTACCTCCACAACTGCGTGAAGCAATGGCACACATCGGCATGAAGCTCACAGATCAAGAATTCAAAAAGTTCTGGGATAAGTAAGTAATCTTGAAACCTCTTTAAAAGGCTTTGTATAAAAAACCTCCTACCCACGTACCCTCGTACCCACGTACGTGGGTCCTGACCCAGTCTTTAAAGAGTTAAATCTTTAACATTTTTTAAACATTATTCTGTCTCAATGTATGCTTAATTATGGATGAATTTATGTACCCATATGCCTTTATTTCTAGATCGGACATCTGTCTCGTCATAAAATAAAGCCGGCATTGCATAATGTTCATTTAAGATATTTGAGTGTTGTTTTTATATCGAAGCGATTTTTTGTTGATCGGGCAGTCTTACAGTGTACAACCAATCTATTGCTTGGCGCAAATTGGCCACATGGGGCATGTGTTGTAAAGTGCTGAAGTTTTTGACTCCATGAGCAGAATATGGTCAAACTTTCACAACAAAATTCACATTGAATGACCTGAATGATTCTGGATTGACGAAGTTATTCAACTTTTCATCGGTCCTGTTTTTTAACACCCTGTAGTTTCGATTTTTATCACATATACTTTTTATTCTTTTAAACGATATTACAAGTATTCATTGTTTGCACGACAGATTTGAACTATACGTGTAATTTGTCTTATGTCTTTTATTTAATTTAACATCAGAATTGGAGATACAAAGTGATAGAGTGATCAATTCACACGATCTCAAGGAATAATAAAGGCTGCATTTCTGTTTAACCGTGGCGCAATTGAATAACGAAATATTTGAAAAGTAGAAGGATTCGCTATATTCGTTTTAAATCGCTTTTTGGCACAATTTAAGGATAATTGTGCGCACTAGTTCAGTGAATCATTTAGATGGAGTTAAAAGTTAGAGTTGCCAAACTTATGCAGGGGAGTGTTAGTTTGGTTTTGTAAACTTCGACATTATTCATGGCCGTTTGATCCATAATTAGGTAATATGAAGAGTAGAGTTTTATTTTGACAATGATTTGATGTAAAACTGGTTTGAATGATAAAAGTTCAGCTTTGTAGTTTCTAGCTTTTTGCGCGTAAAACGTGAATACAATGGACAACAACGACACCAAATCTTTGACTAACATACGTTAATAACGTATAATATTCGTAAGAATGAATTCTAATAACATTTGAAATAAACATCTAATAAAATGTGGTGAATTTAATTGGTTGGAAACTCTAAGAAATATATTTTTAAAAAGATGTCAACTTTTGGACAAGGGTAAACTTCCCGGGACATTTACAATCTGCATGAGGTAACAGGAGGCACGGATTGCACTGAACGAAGGCTAGGATATTGCTAAGGGTCAAGATTGCAGTAAAAAATCCCATTGACGACCATTATAACGTTTCATTTCATAATATATTCATGGGCACGGATCTAGCTCAGCGAAACAGTGCCCAGTGTTCATTGGAGTCTTATCTAGCTTGCCGTTACAAAATAAGCATACGGTGACCACACCGTTTTTGAGATAACTGAATCTGGAGAGAGCTACCACCGTAAAGCTACCTGTTTCAGAAAATTATTCTGCTCTACATGGTCTCAAAAATCACTCCGCCATCTATAAAAATTCTGTTTCTAACCAAACTTGTAAATGTTTCCTGATAGATTAGTACTTACCCTATCGAGAATAAACCTAGATTCATTTATCAAACACTAGATGGCGCTGCGACGGGACAGAAAAGGAGAAAAAGCTTTTTTATACAGAAACCAAGTAACCGCTAGTATCCCTACTCCGGACTATATTCTAATCAGCACTGGTGTCTATGGCGGATCCGGGGGGGGGGGGCCCATGGGGCCCGGGCCCCCCCCCCCCTAAGGTTGGCCCAAAAAAAAAAGAAGTTGGGCCCAAAAAATTTTTAGGCCAAAAAAGGCCTTAAGGCCCCAAAAAGTGGGCCTTTTGGTCATTATTAGGCCTTCTAAGGCCTTATTTTTTTAATTTAGGCCAAATTTTGAAGAAAATGGGCCTCAAATTTTCAAAATTTGGGCCCACTTTTTCGGTTTTAGGGGCCCAAAAATTTTTTCAGCGCAAGCGCGGAGGTTTTTTCTGTATTCTCAAATTTGGGCCCCCCACCCTTGTTGCTTCCTGGATCCGCCACTGGGTGTGTTATACAGGTAAGACTGCCCGATCAACAAAAAACATTTCGACATATCAAAAACATAAATCAAATAGCTCAAAAATAATGAACATTTATGCAATTCCGGCTTTATTTTATTTTACTAGAGAGATGTCAGACCTATAAATAAAGGCATATGGATGCATAAATTCATCTATAATTCAGGATAAACTGAGATTGAATAATGTTTTAAACATTTAAAAAATTAACTCTTTAAAGACTGGGTCAGGACCCACGTACGTGGGTACGAGGGTACGTGGGTAGGAGGTTTTTTATACAAAGCCTCTTTAAAATCTATGGTACTACAAAACTATATTAACTATGTTTATATGTAAGGGCATGTGTTACTATGATTTGAAAAAGCTTGTCTTTTGAGAATCTTTAAAAGTACAAATCTATTTCTATTTTAGCTGGACTTTGAGATTTATTTTATTTATGAACTTTTTTAATCTATATTTGCACTTTTTGAAAATTTGTGTTAGAGTCCCCATATAAAGTTTAAACCACTTTGGCTTATATTGTAGTCTTACCCAATGTTATCAAAGTGTGATATGTGAAACTTTTTTTTTAATTTCAAAAAGTGGTTTTTGAAAGACTTTTTGTTCCAAAATTTGTGAATTTATTTAAAACTAACTCTTAGAGGTCACACATATCTTTTAATAAGCCACAATTCATACCAACTTATCAGTGCATGAAAATGGTTCCGAGAAAAATGCATTTCAAAATTTTTGTTCTCATAGAAACCAATGGTACAATGATATCTAAAACATAATATATTCTTCCTTCTAACCTGGTTAGACAATCAACATTGGTTAATTATTGAAGTCTAGCATATTTAGAAAAGATTGATATAGAAAAAAAAATTCAATTTTTTTCAAAAAGTTTTTGCCACCTTAGTGACATCACTAATGTTTCAAAATATTTTGATATGCTAAAACATTGAAGTGGCCCATTAAATATGGCATTTTATTATTGAAATAGTGTGTCCTTTGTTCAATCTTTGCATTGGTGTTAAAAAATAATCTTTTTTGAAATGCATTAAGAAATATTTGATGATTAAAAAAGATTCAACTTTTTTAGAAAAATGGCGGAAAATTTGAATATTTGAGAAATGAAACACTCACAACATTTTTTACAACATTTTTTTTTCAAAAATCTCTAAAATAACTTTTTAAGTCATGACATATAGTAAATGAATGATAAAAAAATATTTTCAAACCTTAAGACAGGGACTTTAAAAGATTTTCACTCTGTTTAGATGGAAGTGCATGTTTTTCTATGAAAATGATTTTTAGAGTTGAGGTTTTGTAACTTTAAGTTCAAACATGTCTTTCCATTTTGATCCATCATAATCCAATAGAGAAACTATTGAGAATTCTCTGACATGTAAATGTAAGTCCTACTTATATTGTTCCCTGGAACAGCACGTTCTAAGGCCCGTCACCATGATTAAAATCATTGCCAAATATCTTTGTTAAGTATTAAATAACTGTATTCAGGATACAAGACCTCATGAATATCAAGTTTCACAAATATATTGTTGAAATTACACAATGATCAATGGTCATTGTTGGGATATTTGCATTAGCAATGTCATTAATGAGGTGTTTGAGGTCCCTTTCTAGCCCATGTACCTTTATAGCAATCACTAGAAGGAATGATACAAACTAAAATCTTTACCTCAACTGTGATGCTTTGACATGAAATTTCATATGTGACCAATTAATGTTCTAATACAACAAACATCAAGTTCACCTTTTAAACGTATTTACTTTCTCTAGTTGCTTTCCAAAGAGTATTAAATGACCACCATTTCATTATTTGTATGGGAACAAATCCAATAAATGAAAATATTGATTTTTTGCTCTTTGAATAAGATTAGTTAATCCTAGATACAAGAAGTGAACAATATTATTTCCTGGTTATATAGTGTAATAAATCAATCCAAGGTATTATTGAAATGTTAATATTTGATTTGAGTACTATTGTACTTTTGAGCAGGGTCCATGACTATTATGTTGAAAACATGATTGCCCATTTTAACATATTGCCATTCAATCTATTGCCCAATCGGCAATATTGTTTGTCCAAGTTTGGCCAGAGTGAAAAGTGATTAAACTAAACCATTTAATTGAATATGAATATTAAAATAACAGGACATAGCTTATAGTATGATAATAATTCCATGAAATTACATTCACAAAATGAATGCTAAAGCCTGAATTAATCTTGTTGTTAATGAAAACATAGACTGGAATCCTATGCTTAGGGCTGCTGTAAAAAAGTCAGTCCACCTCAGTGGACAGGCCCGTAGCCCTGGCCAAAAATTCTTTCAAAATTGTGCAGTTGTTCACCATTTTGAGCACTTCTCAATTGATTTTAGCCCAGAAACTGACCCCACCCCCCCCCCCCCCCTTTGGCAAATCCTGGCTACGGGCCAACGGGTGAAATATATAAATCATTTTGCCACTCTTTAAATCTTGAGGAATCTTTTACCCTTTCAAGGAATACAATATGTCTTCAACAACTTTACTTACATGTTTACAAAATTTAAGCTTCTTTATGCTCCATCGATGGTCAATCAAAAGATGCAGAATTATATTTTATGTTCATCAAGTTTGCTATAGGTATATCTCTTCCATTTATTAGAATTCTATACTTCTTTTAAAACAAACGTTTTACTTTCAGGCTTGACCTAGAAGGATCTGGTGCACTACGTACAATCAACCTTTGTAGTATGTTAGGGTTAGAGAAAAGTGGACGTCACAAAAGCTTTAACTACAGAAGATCCAAAAGAAACTCAGAAAAGGTTCAGGAGGAACAAATTGAGGAACAAGAAAATAATGAACCTAGTGTTGAAGAGAGATTACAAGATGATATGGCTGAAGAAATAAATAATAATGAATCTGTTGAGGACACTATTAGAGTGAATATTGAGAATAAACCTATGCTAGAAGAAGAGGAAGAGGAGGAGTTGTCAAGTAAAAAGAAGAGAAGAGTTCGAAAAAGTCGTCGAAAAAATCCACGACTTGAGAGCATTGTAGATTGCTTACATTTTAAGGTTTGTTTTGTTAGCTTGTTTTGATGGGACGTTGGGTTAAACAATGATATTCATTTCAACTTGATCAGATTCAAATAAAAGAAGAGAATGAGAAATAGGATTATAAATATTGAATTAATAGTTTTAGAGATATTTTTTGCATCATTAATTTAATGCAGTCTTTAATCAATTATTAAATGTTATATGGTTTATTTCTAGTTTGAAGAGCCTTACAATGCTATGATGATGGCATTTCAACAGTTTGACATACAGAAAGATGGTTTGGTTTCGCGCATTGACTTCCGTAGAATCCTCAAAGAGTTTGGCTTCCCATTGGCTGCAACAGAGCTAGAATATTTTTTGTCAAAGTAAGTTGAGTTTGAAATTGGAAAGATTCAGGTTATGTTACTCAATACTCATATACCATGTATTTCACACTCAAACTACATATAACTGTCATACATGTAAGTTACACATTTCATATTCATATTTGTTTATTCTACATACATCATAACTCAACTAACACTAAAACTCATACTACTATGGAATTCCGGTTAAACAACACACTCCTTATACAACACACTTATACTGCATAAACTGTATAATACCACTACTTAAAACTCATAAAACATTCTGGGCATATCTTCTATTTACACTTTTACAATACAGTTGTACTACGCTCAGCCAGTTCACTTCATCAAAAGTACACTCTTAGTATTATTACAAGGATGTGACCCTTTTGTGATGTTATTAACGTTATTATATTTTGATCATACAGGTGTGGTCAACGAAGTATCAGAGGACAGGTGAACTACAAAGAATTCCTGACAAAGTACCAAAACAGATCTGAGCAGGGGCTTGTAAATAGAATAGTGACCAGTCAGTTCCATTTGTTTGGCCAGGATTACTTGCCCCCAGTTGACGGGGAGACTCTAAGCACTGAAGAATTGGAGGCAAGGCTGGTGGACTTCTATCATGGGGACTTTTTACACCTATTAGGTGCCTTACAGTAAGTATTTTATTTGATATTATCAAGAGCAGAAATAATGTTTTATGTCCTGCTTCTTCTTTCATTTCGTTGTCTTCTTGAGATTATTTCTCCTCTCAATGGTATATTTACTCGCCTGAATGAGTATGGGGAAAACATTTGTTATTAGGTGTAAAGAAAAAACAATTGTTAGATGACATGAATCGATCACTGGAGAATCTCAAGTTCTCTTAAAAACATGGAGCTTAATCTCCCTATTAAATACCATTATTGTGTTGATCTCACTGAACTACATGTACATGCACTTTACCAATAAGTATTGTATTATTTTCAGAATCTGTGACAACTATGACATAGGAGTGGTGACACAATTTGAGTTCAGGGACTGTATAGAGAAGACCCTTGGCTACACCATGTCAGAGAAACAGTGGAAAGTGTTGCTCAATGAAGTAGGGGTGGACAAGGAAGGACTTCTATTGTATGCTAAGTTCATGGAAAGATTTAATATCATGTGAGTAATCTCATAAGTATTTATGTATGTTGGCATGTGGTATAGTTGACTTTAACATCCACAGATATCACTACTTCTGAAAAATAAGATGTCATTTTCAGTTACGTATGTTTATACTTTTTTTACTTTTAATGATCCATGGCACCTTTTTGTTTTGAAATCAACCTCGCTTCACCAATTTATAAAAGAAATTCTGGAATAGACTTTAATACATTTTATTCATGATTCAATTAACGCGCACCCAAACTGACGATAATTTACAGGAACCGTTTTCGGAAGTCGAAGTTATCGCTGCTATAGATAGATTGAGATTAAATAAAGCACCGGGGCACGATCTTGTCACCCCAGAGCATATAAGGTACGGTGGTACAAGGTTAATCTCGGTCTTAACGTATCTATTCAATGCTATAATCGAAAATGAGTTCTTTCCGGATTCTTTTAAAATAGGGGTCTTAATAACGTTATTCAAAGGAGGGAACAAAGATATTTTAGAAAAAGATAACCATAGGGGTATCACGTTAATGACCATATTTAGCAAACTATTTGAAAATTTATACATAGCACGAGTTAAGGCCGATAATAACATTGAACCGATACATTGTCTGCAAGGGGCAGCAATAGATGGTACTTCTTGTATCCACACATCGATGGTCGTGCGGGAGACTGTCGCGCATAATGCGGACAGGGGTAGTGATACATATATAGCATCATTGGACATTAAAAAATGTTATGATTCTGTCTGGATAGATGGGTTGTTGTATACACTCTTTAACCAAGGTTTCAAGGGGAAAATATGGAGAATTTTGAAAATTTGGTATTCGGATTATCAATGCAGGGTTAGAGTGGGAAAATCTATGTCTGATCCTTTCTTCGTTAACCAGGGAGTCCATCAGGGGGGTGTCTGTAGTTTGATGCTCTATATGCGTTTCACAAATAGCCTCTTAAAGGAACTCGAACAAAGCAATGCTGGATGCAGAATCGGCAATATTAATGTAACCTCACCCACATACGCCGATGACCTGATCCTCATGGCTGTGTTCCCAAGGTCCTTACAAACATTACTGGACATAGCATATCGTTTCAGTACGCGATGGCGTTTCACCTTCCACCCTGGGAAGTCAAAAACGTTGATGGTTTGCACTAAAGAGAGACAGGGCCGCAAAGACTTGTGTTTTTACCTTGGACCAGATAAAATGGATCATGTCAGAGAATGTACACATGTGGGTCTCATTTTAAATACAAATGGTAACTTGAAACAACATATTGATAATGCAATGGGAAAGGCTAGAAGGGCTATCAACGCGGGAGTGGGGCTTCTCAGCAGTGACTCCTTCGAATACAATCCACTGACGGCCTCTATTTTATATTGGTCCATATCGGTACCATCCATGACATACGGTATGGATATCCTGCCATTGAAACAATGTGATTATGATACCCTTGAATTGACACATAGACAAATAGCAAAACGTATTCAACAATTGCCATGTAATGTGCATAACGAAGCTTCCTTGGCACAACTGGGCTGGTCGAGGATTCGTGCGGTCATAGATACAAAAAAGTTAATGTTTCTGTGGTGTATCCTAAATCTACCAACCACATGTGTGTATAAAATGATTTTTATAATTGAGTTCTTTAGATGGAAGTCAATTTCTGAACATTCAAAGTTGTATAGCAACTATTCAGTAATAAATGCAGTTTTGAACCTTGTGACAAGATACAATTTATGGCGATATATTGATGAATATTTTTTGAATTATGACCTGATGCCCAAATGTGCGTGGAAACGGATTGTTAAAGCACGCATAATGCAGTATGAAGAAGACAGATGGCACTTGTTATGTAACATATCTTACAGACTTAGCGTTTATAGAACGATACAAGTTACGATAAAACCATGCGTATGGTGGAGAATCTGTCAATCGAATTGTAAATATATAGGGATGTGTAGGGATATGGTAAAACTGCTAACAGGTGCTTTCCCACTCAACTATGACACTATTTGTCCTCTGTGTGGGATGACAAATGAAACGACAAGGCATTTTCTCTTAGATTGCCTTGAACTTCATGAAAGTAGGAGTGACTTGTTGGCAGTTTTAAGTGACAGAATATTTGATGGATATAATATGGTTGAAAAAATGGAGGTCTTACTAGGAAAAAATGAAGCATTAGACTACAGAATGTATGTGAAGATAATGTTAAGTGTCAAACACATGTTAAAAACAAGAGCTGCAGCTATAGCTCTATAAACTATTAAATCAACACAGTTTGCGTTGTAAATATATATATTTTTATTTTTATATTTTTAATATTGCCACATTAACTTTATAATTATTATGTACTCATCTGCATAGGTGGAAATAAAGATACATAAACATAAACATAAACATAATCTTTAATCTGTTTCAGTCCAGGGAGTTGGAATAAACGTTTGGATGGTGGTCACCTTGTTACACTTGTGAATCAGAGAGACTTGGAGACACCAGTAGAAGTTGAGAATCTACGTGAGGCTCGTAGACTTGAAGATGAGAAACGCAGGCTACGTGAGGAAGGTATAATACTGATACTGAACTGAAGTTGACCATGTTTACAGTATACATGTTGCAAAGGATAGATTCATTTAGCAGATTTGTGCCTTGAGCCCTATGTATTTCCACATTTCACTTGATCTTGAGCTTGTTTACATTTGGTGCCATGATTATAAAACCCCTGCATGCTTTCACCTACCCATCCAAACAATTTATGAGTAAAACTACCTGCACTACTGTAACTTTATACCATGTACGAGGGTTGTCCCAGAAGTAATGCACTATATGCTCTAACTTTATCAATAATTGATATTTTTCCATGAAATGTTCAGTAAATGTTCCTTAGATACATTTTGATTATTCTACAAATTTTCATGTTGACTGATAAAACTATATTGATGTTATAATAAAATCAAGTTGGTGAGTTTGGGTAGGGCGGGGCAGGTTATACAGTCACGTCAAAAGGAATAAAAAATTGAAAATATGAAATAATTAATCAACAAATACCATTTTGTGTAGCTATAAGAAGTATTCTCAAAAATACATTTTAAGATACTAAATTACTATGAGAACATCCAAGATTTAATGGATGTATATTGCACAGTGTCCCATTTCACATTTTCTCAAAATATTGCCCTTTGCATATTATATACTTTTGATCCCTGTCAGGTCAAACACTCTCGGCAATTTCTTCCACTGTGACTTGTGGAGTTTTTGCCTCCCATGTTTGGAGTTGTCATACAGGGACAAATCGTCTCTTTTAAATCTCTTCTGCCACCCCATAATTTTAGTTCTATCTGGTATATACTCCTTATATACTTTCTTCATGGTAGCATTGTTTTGCGTGGCTGTGAGTCCAAGTGAAGTATGAAATTAGGCCACCAAACGCAAGGCCTTCTGTTATCAGGTGAGAATTGCAGCTATTTTTGCAATTTCTTGACTGTGACTGTATTTGAATTCGAGACTATTGAAATGTGGTATTATGACATCACAGTGCTAAATGTCATTATTCGTACTTGGTTAACATCGTGCTGAATAATTTTAACAATTTCCCAAACATTTTGACCATTTAAAGGAAAGAAATACTAATAAAATAACACTTTAGATCTTTTCATAATTAGAAAAATTGGTACCTGCCCCGCCCACCCCTACCCCCATGTTGTTATAGCAACCATATTAAGACTTAATATTAATGTTGGATGCTTAAACTTCAGGATATAATAGATAAAACTTCAATTGTTATATACACAAAATTTCAGCTGAATTGAAGAATATTAAAGAAAGTTAGAGCATATAGTGCATTACTTCTGGGACAACCCTCGTATATACAGTAGAACCTGTATAAGTGGAACACTTTTTGTACCTCTAAAGTGTTCCACTAAAGGTGTCTGTTTTATCCTACCATAATAATATATAAGTATAAAACATATAAGTAAGAGAACTTTTACACCCCCACCAGGTCCTGCTAAGCCTATAGAAGCAGACATTCAGACCATTCAGGTTGAGGAGACTTTTCCCAAACCACCCACTGATGACTGCCTCTCTTTGGACGAACTGAATCTAATCCTACAGGAATTGTTTAGACATCGCTTCCACACCATAGATAAGGTAGATAAGGTTCTACACTATTTATTTTGCACCTGCACATTCATGTAAATGTAAGACATGTGGAGACTTTCTGAGTATATAGCCTGATCCCCATAGTGGAAAATCTGGTGATTTCACCATGTGGATAGATTTTAAAAACCACAATGGTCATCTTTGGCATTCTATTATAATAAATGATTGGAAGCTTGCATTTATAATACAATCGAGTGTATCTCAATCTGCTGTATCTCATTTGTATATCAGAACAGCTAATACAGCTTAGACAAATGAAAAATTGTATTCTTTTATTTTAGCTGTTTAAAGACAAGATGGACAGGAAGTCGACTGGGAGAATTAGCAAGAATCAGTTCGCTCAGCTTTTACACGCGTAAGTTTATTTGTATAAGTGATAGACATGACATTTATCCCAACTGAGATAAATTGTATCCACTTGGTGCATATTTGAAACATGTTTATTCAGTTGTCATAAATCCCTATTCATCATGTTCATGTGTGATACTATAAATTCAGATGTGATAAAATATATTCACAAGTGACATATTTTTATTTAGGTCAGAATTAATGTACTGTACAGACAACTCTGTATTCAGGTGTGATAATATATATTCACAAGTGATGTATTATAATCAGGTCAGGAATGATGTACACATCTGGTACTCAGATATGATAATATGTTTTCAAATGTGATAATCCTATTTAGATGTGATAATATGTATTCAAATGTGATAACTCTATATTCAGGTGTGATGTAACTCTGAAGAATGCTGAGATAGAAAAGTTATGGAAGTCATTCAAGACCTCTTCTGATGGCATGTACAGCTTCAGGCAACTTCTTATGAAGTTTTGCACTGGAGCTGATGGACAGCTAAAGATGAATGGTAAGTGAAATTGAGATCTGAAATGGAACATTCTAAAACAATATAGATGAGTGTGGAAGAGACTATTCTTATAAATATTTTCAACAAATTGTATTTTTGTTGGTGAAAAATATTAATGCTTCTTACATGTACTTTGTATCATGAAAAGCCATGGTTGCATTTTTAATAAGTAATTGGTTGCATTTCCTTGACTTATATGTACATGGATATCAAAGAGTATTCTTTGAATTAATTGCAGAACCCGACCCAGTCGCTGATACAGTTCTGAGAAGATCTAAGACCACTGCATTCAAAGAGACTGAGCAACCTAGTCCAGTACTAGTCAAGGGCTACACCGGTGGAGCTGCCAGTGGTAGTATGAAGGACAGATTGAAATATGATGTGCTAAAGAACTGGTCCAATCTGAAGGACATGTTCAGACATATTGATTTGTCTGGTTTTGCAAGCGTCCATAAGGATGAGGCAATGGTAAGGGTCCTATATATCATTTATAGGTTATCAATTATACTGATATACCGCAATGTAAAATATGTTATATATATGTATATAGTACATAAAGAGATTATCCTATATACATGATATAAGTTATTTGAATGGGGCTGGGGGCAAATATGTGTACTTCAACATAACAATGTTTTATAATTGCCAAATTTAAATTTACCGAATCTGATTTATATTTTGTAATTGGTAAATTAAATGGCACGGCAAATTTTAGCACCTACAGAATTGTGAATCTATCCACTATAGGATAATCTGTTTATCCAATTACCCCTATGTGTTGTTTCTACATACATTTGGAGAATAGTTCTGCTAAGTCAGAATAGGGGCTAAAGTCTTTTTTTTCATATTTTGCTTCTCATGTAACATCTATAGCCATTTTATTTCATTTAATCATTTCATATTTTGCATCATCTGCCAAATAATATTATTCTGTGGATTCAAATTACTATCTACATTTATACATGGTACCACTATTTATTTACCTAATCTTTATTTTTACATGGTCTGCAAATATTATTAATTTATCTTATGTTTTCTTTACAGGGTGTCCTACAGACGTTACAGTTTAGCCTCACTGAGAATGAAGTGGATTCGTTAATGGCCAAGTATGACTTAAACAAAGATGGGATGTTCCATTACATGCCCTTCCTGGAACAATTCACATCCCAACCTTCCACAAATAATCTAGTCGGTAACAAATACTCCCGCCAGATGGAAGCACAGGTATGTATGTCTTCAGGTGAAGGCAATGCACATAGGCATCGAACACTTTTAATTGGAATTTTAAAATAACGGTTTTTATACACTTTACTTTTTGTGTGCACTTTTAATTGCTAATAATATTGATTCTCTGATAATTAAGGATTTATTGCATGCATTTTAATTCTCTTGTTTTATCTCACAAAATGATATTAATCAACAATTATTCTTATATTTTGGTTTCTTGCATCAAGTCCTTGTATTCCTCCACAGCACTCATTTCTACACAAAGAATGATTTGCAAAGTTAAGTAAAGTTATGAGTGATGAAGGGACCTGAAGCAAGATGCAGTAAGAACACTCCCTTCCAAAAGTTTGGCAACCCGCCTGATTCCCTATTGAATAACATGTTAAAACCTGTTTTGTTTGAATTTAACATATACCATATACAATCTACACTCCCCTCCAAAACTATAGCAAGTGTGATATTCCCCTTCAAATTCCCAGTTATTAATGCCTGTTTGGGTATGAAAGAGTTGTGTTCCAAACTTTTACAATGTATAATGTTGCACTTTTTTATGTGATGTTTGTTTTATTTTAACCCTAACAGCAATCCAGCAAATTCACAGAAATCAAAACTCTTGAGCAATGTTTAGGCACAACAAAGAAAGAGGTAATGCTATGATTGATATGTAATTACATTTATATCTTTAAGGTAGGCTTGATAGAAGTATTTGGATGCATGAACAATTTTGTATATAATATGAAAGGACGTTTTGTAAAGGGTGCCACCAAGGCTATGTTGCAATTTTCCCCATAAGTGCCCACTATTTTGAGAGTACAAAGACATGTCATTCTTTGCCACCATTAGTTATTCTTGTATTCTACAGGACTAATGCCAGACCTATTTTCATGTTTCCAACATTTTCATGAATTGAAACATTGCATACTTCCTTACTAGTGAGAATGTCACGACTGGAGAAAAACTCAATGTAAGAACATAGATTAAGCTTTGTATCATCTTATTGCAGTTGGTTAAAGACTGGAAAAGTATACGAAGGGCATTCAAGAAGTTTGATACTGCAAATGAGGGTTACCTAAATGTTGCTGATTTCCGAAAAGTTCTAGAAAGCTGCAAAGTGAAGGCTACTAAAGAAGACATGTACCATATTCTTGCTCAATTTGATACGAATATGGATGGTAGAATCTCATATGAGGAATTCCTGGGCTCATTGTTGAGTTAACTGGTTTTTCACATCTGATCAGAATCTCAGCCATATTTTAAATGCCAAGAACATTATACTGAGTATAAGCTATTGTAATTGTTATATTAGTGTGTTGTACAGGGTGGCCCAACAGTAGGTTTACAGTTTACTGAAAGAGATTGTTGGATAACTGTCAACCTACTTTTGGGGCACTCAGTACATTGGAGGTTTCACAATCTCAGCATATAGGAGTTTATAATAATGAGCCATTACTTTACAATAAACCATAAAATGGCATGCCCTTGATGAGATACATTCATGTAGGCATACACATCATTTAATAATGATATTGATATTATATAAAAATGAGATTTCAATTCTGCCCTGATGACTGCAATGTAACAGAATTGCACAGAACCGTCCCATGTTTTATCTGCTTAAATTTTTGCCAATTTTCTGCACAGATCTGTTATATATTATGATCTATGTATACAATGCCACGTATCCTTACCTATGTCTTTTGCACATATGTATTATCACAAGGTGAGCACTTTCAGGTCCATAGCCAGGATTTGACAAGGGGGGGGGGGTCAATTTTCAAAAATTTCCAGGGGGGTTCACATTTGACAATTTTGCCCCAAATATGGCTAAAATCACTTGAGAAGTGCTCAAAATGGTGAAAACTGCATTATTTTGAAAGAATTTTTGGTCCTGCGAACCCCCTGGCTACGGGCCTGACTTTTTATGATTGTAAATTATGTTGTACAGTAAGTGCTTTCAAGCCTTGCATTTTTGAGAAGAGACATTTCATTTATATTTTATATGTAAATCCGAGGCAAATCATACTGTTATTAAAGCTTGCTTTTATGCAAGATTTGTATTGTAAATAGTTATTTATCTATACAAATATTTTGATAATTGTATCATTGTATAACAGTTTTCCAATTGTATTGTATAACATAATTTTATAAACGACTTAACCAGTAGTTTTCAATGGAAGGCACAGTACATTACATTCATGTACATACGTCTTATTCTGAAATAATATGCATTTATATGTACATATTTTATACACAGCATTTAGCAGAATCATTATTTAACTGAATGACATTTTGTATTAAAACTTTATTTTTCAAATAAATATGATTTGTACTTGAAACATTGTTTTTTGTACGATATCTGGAAGATTAAAGAAAATGGTTGTTACGACCGATAGGCATAAACATAACTTAGTTTTGAATGTTGTCACATGATGTTATCTTTCTTATATTTATTTTTATGAGAAAAACTAAAAACAATGCCTAGTATGAAACAAAGTTTAGTATACCCTATTTCAAGTCCATCTCTCTTTAGTGTCCTGTTGTTTTCTCTCATGTCAAGCTATGCACAACCAAATTCAAAATATCCCTCATTGAAATGCAAATGTCGTCCCTGAATATACCATATTGATACTGAAGGTGAATGGGACCTATTTGAAAGATATATTTGGCGTCCATTAATGCAAATCATTCCTACAAATACTGAGGTTTAAATCCACTTCAAAAACTAAAATATGGAATCAAGTGCTGGCGTTTTGCATTTGCTCCATGATTATGCATGGCAAAAGTCATCCTCGAATACCGTAAAAGATGATTAGCCCCTAAATGCTGAAGCGTGGAAGCCAAAGAAGAAATATTGCTTGCCGTCCTTTCGTGCATCTCTGAGGTCTTTAAGTGGGTCTGGGTGTGTAGCATGAAACCTAGAAGAAAAGCAATATGTGGCTCTTTTATATCAGACAAGGATTCAATTCGCTGTATGTTGAATCACTCTACTAATAAAATAAAAAGTCGCAAGTCAAGTACACATGTAAGTTCAATCAAATTACAACAATGCTAATGCAATAATAACTAAATGGTATTAATAATATGAAACCAGAACCTATTATATGGGGAATTGCATGTTTTAAATCACAGTACAACCATGTCGAACTTAATTTGGCTTAGTGTTTTCTTTTAATTGGAAAAATACTAACTTACCTTTTGTGGGCTGCAGACTTGAACCTCACTCCTAGTTTGTCGACGATTCTCTCGCGTGGTTTCGGTTTTCGGCAAGAATCAGAAGATACGTTGCTCCCCGGTTGGTCCTCTTCTGTCATACTGTCATACATGAGGTAGTCAATAGGAACTGGAAGTTGTACGCCGTTCAACTCCTTCAACTGCGTTCGCGTTGTTTGCATCGCTTTACGTGACGGTCGAATATGGTCAATCATGGCTTGAGTTTGCAGCTTTCCTGTGCTTGTATTCAAACATGTATTGTTAAGGTATTCATCTTTCTCTTTCATATCACTTGGCACGAAACACTTTCCTTTGAACAGTTTGCCAGAATTTTCCTTTGCTGGTTCGGTCTTGTCCGCATCATTGCTTTGTTGATCTTTAAAAGGCGTTGGAGGCCGCTTGGTACGTTTAGTTGGCATCGGTGTGTCGGTGATATTGATGTTGGCAAAACTGACCGATTTTGACGTTTTAATCAAATTGCAGCAACATTCTGGACTGTATGCGCTGCGTAAGGCAGGTGGAAATTTCGGCAGGTTAATTCCATTGAGCTTTGCTGTTTTCAGATCGATTTTATAACTCAAACTTGGAGGCCAACAGGGCGTTACCCCTGGTTTTTCAGGCTTTAGAGTGCCATCTTTCGGTGGAGTTGCATCGTGTATAGGGCAGAAGTGCTTTTTAATCAATATACTCTTAAGAGTAGGACCTTTCTCATTGGGGTCCACAGTTTCTTTATCATCTCTATCATTTGCATTCGGTAAAGCATCACGCGCCTCATCAATTTTTGGATACTTTTCTTTGATCATATTATGTCTAGTATTGGCCAATTGTTTTTGTTTTGCAGCGCGTTCTTTCACAATCGATCGTATGTAGTTGGTGTGGTCCTGATACGTCTGCTGGTATTTGCATGTTTGGTATAGGTCGCGGTTGATCTCGTTTAATGCGTCCCGTGTCGCTCCCGTCAATGGTGAATTTCCTATAAAGTATAATCCTGGGCTTAAGAAGTAATTGATATCTGGCTGCTCATTTGCTCTTTGTGTTTCACATGACACTACTATACTGTAAAATTATATGCAAATCAGTTGCCATATTTTCTAATCCAAAATTAAACGTTTGCCATATTTTCTAATGCAAAGCAGTGGCTATATGTTGTAATGCAAAGTACTTGCCATATTTTCGAATGCAAAATAGTTTTAATTTAGTTTAGTCATATTTTCTAACTCAATGAAAATGCCCATAAGAAATCGAAACGTACCGAGAGAATCGTTTCTGTTAGGATCATTTCTTGGGAATACATGTGATGTGTATGGTCTTCCTTCTGTCGGCGCATCTTTTAACTTCATTGCCGGGCTTAAAATAACAAATGAAAGCAAAGAAGCGCTGGCAAGACGTTAGAATTTTGTAATCTAGTTTTTTCCTTTCACCTCTTTTTAAAACGAATGTCAAACTAAAAAGAAATTATGAAAAGAAAGTTTGCCTAGTTATGCTAGATTTTGACATGCTCTAGAGACACCTTGATCTGTTGATATAGAGATTTGGTCTGACCAGGGCCTTAAATACAATACAGCGCAGTGTATCATTTGTGTTGGTCATACCCAAACTTGGGGGACAACATGACGCTACGATGTTACACTTGCTTTCTCATCAGATAACATCAGCCAAGATCTCATTCAATTGAATATGAAATTTACATTTTTAAAAGAACATTCTAAACGCTACTTACTCTAAAGGCGTGTCAAAAGGCTTTGGCAACCTAAACAGAAAATGTACAATTGCGAATGGAGTCAAAAATAATGCAGAACAGTATTACAATATTGATTTTATCACTAGATTTGTCTCTGATTTCATTATTTTGTTTATCTGAGATCGGTTAGCGATATATGATATGATTCTTGATATCCGTTGTATAACGCTTGTAAAAATTCTGCTATTAATAATTATATGGTGGAGCTGCCATACTATTTCTCCCATAGAAGTTGCCAATTCACTCACACTTGATCATTAAGACGGCAACCACTTTTTAGCAATGATGTAATCTGGGTGGGTTGAACCCTTGTTTGGTATCTACAGAATCCGCTACCATAATGTCGATGGCTCCTAGCTACATGAAGATCTCTGACGCGAGTTTCACCTCTAAAGGGCAAACGCCCAATTCCTCCGTAGCATGTTATGTTCTCGGCCCATGACTGATCACCTGGCTCGCTGACCTTCACTGGCTGTACACTAACAGAGAGCGGTTTTATTATTCCAACAATAATTAGAATTTTGAATTTAAATTCGATTGACAATTTATAACAAGCATGTAATTCCGAAAATGAATAGTTTAGAACAACGAATTATGAATTACCCTATAATAGGAATGGTTGCTCTGTCTTTTTGTGATGGCGTGAACAGATCTGTCGAGATCATGTTCGCTGATATAGGAACAAACCCTGGGAGAACTGCACTCTCCATTTCTTTCAACTGTTCTTTACCACGAAATAATCTTTTGTATTTCAAATTCGACGTGGTTTCATAGCCTTTGCTATTTTAATCCGCTTGAACGGTTTTGTTTCTCCCCTCCCCACCCCGATGCAAGAAATATGATTTCATCTCTTTGGCGACAAGCCGGAAGTGATTTCACAAGAAATAGATGACATCACAGGCCAGCTATTTTGTTTAGAATATAGGATGTTAATAATTCTAAGAGCATGGGCGTGAATTCAAAGTGACAATTTTGTTGCATTATTAAGTTTGTTGTTTTTAAAACAAAATAGTAACCGCGTGACGTCTTATAAAGCAGATAAACGTCACATAGTCCCATGTTATGTTGACGTCATCGAATTTCAAATAATTTATTTGAACTTATTATGACGTAATTTCATATTCACTTCACAACTATGATATGTTGGAGACATCTAAAAACAAATAAAAATATTTCAAATGCAAAAATCATCATTCAAATTGACTCTGTTTCAATTAATTTATATTTCAATTGCGGTAAATATAAACTTTTTAATGAAATATAGTCTAAAGCCTAAGTCTAGTTGACAATAGGATTTTGATTCCCAGATCGTTTAAACATTACAATAACTAAAATTGTATTATTGTATGCTCAACAAAACCGTGAAATCATGGAGATATTGCTTGGTAGAGGTGCTTGAGTTGTTCAATCAATAAGTACGAAAATGGTACATCTTTTACATTTCACCCCCCCCCCCCCCCCTTCAATAATAACAACCCATATGGGACAAGATCATGTAGTAACCCGAATAATACGATAAACTATCAAAAAGTAAATATGTAAACTATATCAGAAAGTAAATATCTAACTATATGGGAGAAGAATGCAAAAGACGTGCCATTTCGCACGAAGCGTCTGTATTATATATTTACAATACAAATAAACTATTTATCGGAATTGCATTCTCTCTATTATCGAATCGATTTTTATCAAAATCAAATATATTGAAGGAGATGAATAGGTACTGAGCTTACATTGTCATATTCTATAAGATTGGACGGTCTGCTCTGTACTCAATGGTTAATCAATATGGTACTTCTACTCTAAGTTAAATTGGTTCTTGGATGTCTCTATTCAAACATTTACAAATCTAATTTATGTGAATGATACGTTTCTTTACAAAAGTGAAGTGCAAGACATTTGTAAAGAGATTTAGAAAAGGTGTATAGAAACACTAAATATAACACTGCGACTGTATGTTAAATATAAACACTATCAACGAACTTAAACTCCCTGAGAGACAACCATAGTTAGAGTAATAGTGTACGAAATGGAATCATATGCGCCTTGTAATCAATGTAAAATCAAATTTTAATGTTGGTCCAAATATACGGATAATATTTACACGAAACTTTATTACAAGGGAATCATAGTCGTCAATAAAAGAACTGAAGTTTTTCCTTCACAACGACGTCATGTACACCACAAACATTTACGAATACCAGGCTCCTGTTAATATGTCTATCTACATTGATCCAATGCCAGAGAAAATAAACGAGACATTCGTACTAAAGGGCGAGAATGCGACACCAAGAGATGATACGATGGCTCCAAAACTTGACAAACTTCAAGGCAATCATAATGGAATTAGCGAAACCGTAGGTGAAGACATTAAAACTGTGACGGGGGATATAACGGACAGAACTGATCTACCATTTGCTGAATCTGATGATAATGACACACAAGGTCAGATGCAAAATGCGAGGTCATATAACTCACTGTTAAACTTCAGTAGGATAACACCAAGAGAATCACATTCTGTTAGTTCAGAGGATGTGAGAAAGTTATTTCAATATGGAGTTAAAACGCCTGCTTTGACAAACGAGTCTCGTCCCGTAACCTTGACTTCCAGGCGCTGTGTCACCCAAGGAAACAATTTTAAACGGAATAAATCGAAAGATGCAATTACGACTATAACGGAGACGCAAGTCCAAGACAATGTCCACGAAAAAATGCCTCCTACTCCAAACAATGTTGTCAACGAGTTGATGGATGACCTACATATGAATACGCATGAATTGCCCGCAAATGGTAGGGTAACAACTAACACACCTCATCAAGGATCACGAACGGATAATTTTAAGTACTATAACAAAAACGATTCCAAAGTCTCAACACCTAATCGTGTAAAGTTTAAGGTTAGTGGGAGAGTATTTGAGTTGGAACCACCGCGTCCAACAACCGTGGACCCGTTCCCAAAACTAAGAGGATACCAGGGGTACACTTGGATGACATCACAGATTAAGGCCACCATAGTAACGGATGCCGTTGACGTACCTTACAAAAATACATATGGACATTCAGAATCCCGCACAAATCGCCTCGATTTATCCCTACCGAAGGTTAATCAAAAGCGACCGTGGACAGTTGGGGAGGGTGACGTATCTAGGCGGTTCAAGAAACAGTCCCAGCGCGCTAGTAGGAATGCACAGAGACTCGAAGCCATACGCCTTACTGACTTAGTCAGAGTTAAAGACCCTGTTAAAGACAACAGTTCAACTGGGAGACATCCTATTTTGTATGGTGGGAATAACGATCAAAGATCAGAACTAGTCGGTGATCAAGGATGTCTACACGCCCATCTCAAACAATCCATAGACCGCCTAAGCCCTTCACCTACAGCAGGTAAAAGACGGCCTTCCGGATCAACAGGGTCTAGGTTAGAATCTGGAGCAACAATCGAAAGGCCAATGAAGCAAGAAAAAGGACGGTATCGACCTATTTCAAATCTTGATGTACACAATGTTAATCTAAACAGACTCAATGCTATAGATGAAAACTCCGAACGTGATTATAAATCCACCGATGTATTCAGAGAACACTTGCACTCAACATACGGGAGAGCAGACAATCAAGCCCCAAAACGTTATGGCACACCAAACAGCGAAGATAATAACATGGGCAACAATGAGGGAAATAAGATCATGATAACACCGAACAATCACGGAGATCACGATGACAACAAAAAGGTCGTTATGCCTCAATGGGCTTTAACAGATCAAAATGAAGAGACCATGGACGCGCATCAAGATGAGGCAAACGTCACAGAACATGTTATGCCAACGAACGCCGAAGCTCAACTAGACATTGAAATTTCTGTTAAAACTCCAAATACGAGAAATGTCGGTTCTTCTGTTAGCAGATCCAACAACGTTAGCAACACTCTGGACATTGACAAAAACATTGATGTTACAAATACAAAGAGTGAAGTTTTGTAACCAATATGGAAAAAATAAATGCAAAATTGCTATTTGAAAAAGTTAGTTATTCTTCAATATTTTAATATTCTTGTTCCTAAAAAGTAAATAGGTGATGCCATTAGGGGACAGCGGTGCAAAACGGGCCCTAAAATGAATTTCTGAATCGTAAATGTTCCTCGGAGCAAGGAGGGCCATTCTATCAGAAACCTTCTTTGCATTATAGGTTTATTTTAAAACCGCAAAATAACTGATGGCCCGTCATGCCCATTGGCCCTTACCCCGCTGTTCCCTAGTTTATACAAGTGGATGTCACTCAATTCCACGCAACTTTTTAAAGCATTTCTACCTCAAATATCTTGACCTTCTACACTAGGGAAAGGTAAGGGAAAGATTCCTTCAACTCTTCTCTATTCTTTGTTGGCACATATCAATAGAATAATAATCTAGACATTCTAAATTGGCATTTGAGATTATGTAGTAATGATTTGAGACATTCGATTTTAACTTGAAACAGGGGTTGAACAGGGCTAGATTGTACATAAATCCCCAAGATCCCATTTTAATGGGAGTGTATAAAATTCTCAAAAAATTCAATCCAAAAGGAAGTTTTGACAACAAACTAAAACATTTATTAGGGATGGTGCCAAGATGTCAATAGTTGAGGAAGAACAGAATTAAGTTCAATTTAATATTAACCCTAACCCTTACCTCAAATTTGGACTTTTCCCTTGACCCCTTTTCCACATCTGTCAACATCTTGACAACATCCCTTGGAGTAAAAAGACATTTATTAAGATGTGCGTTGAGGTGTTTATTTACTTAGTATTCTTATCCCTTACATGTTTGGACATATAATCACATGTACAATTCATGAATTCACTTACAATGTTTCTATGGATTATGGTAGACTTTTCCACTGGATCTTCATACCCATTGAAGGGAACAAAAATCATTGAATAAGCGATTGTTGAAAAAGTCCAGTTTTGATGGATTCACCTCCATAATACATGTTTAGCATGATGCTTCAAATCATTTGCAATATTAATATCCATGGTATGGTGTCAGATCTGGCCATGTCCTCTTGAATGTTCAGATGGCAAATGTATACACTCAGAAAATCTTTCCAACAGAAGTTCACTCAAATTGGTCAGCCGAGACCTGCATCATTCCATGATCAGTTATGCCTTGATCGATTGAAATTCAATATTAGACCGAGAGTGATGGTTTAAATCAGTCCATTTGGGTGTGCAATTATTCAGTTATTCACATCAACTTTATCCCGCCGTCCGACAATCCCAAAGACCAAACCTTGCATACTTTCAGTTGGTCAAAAGATCACATCATTAACCATGTAGCATGTACATTTAACTGGTCTTCACCTCAGACCTACTGAGGGGATTTATTTATATCAATTTGGTCTAATTTCTCCTCTAGTCATCTTAATCCCACACGTGTCGCCAAACCAGATGCATGGTCCATGGCATGGATATTTACTAAAATTTTTGTGTACTGGCGAATCAAATCCCTGAAAAAAATGAAGAAAAAACTATTAAACAAACCTTACAAATGAGGTTTATTATGACAAAGCTTAGTCACAAAATAAAGTTCTTCAACCTAAGTTTAGATGAGATTTGAATATCAGATTGTTTTGAAAAATATATGCATGTACATGTTCACAAATATTGTAATACCCACTGTGACCAGTAAATGAGATTTAACCAAATAAAACAATATAAATTAAAATATGCCTTGTACGACCTCTGACATACTGTATTAGCACTAATTAATATATGATATAATCAGGCGTACTTTTCAGTCAAAACAGATGTATTAATTAGATATGGCTTGACAAGTTTAAGTTTTAGAATCAAATATAAGTCAGCTCAAAATATATGGTGTATTATGTTTTTTTCTTAAATGAAAATGGTGTACCTGTTTTTATCATTTTCATTATTCTGCAATAGTGAGGTTACAGCAGTTACGATATATCTGCACAAATTCTCCAATTGGGGTAGAGTACTATCTCCTTGCAGGTCAACAAACCAATCTTTAGGGAACATTACACAGATCTGAAACATGGAATATTAGTAAATTAAAATCAGAGAATGAAATCCTAAGGGCTGGTGTGAAAACATTATTTCAAAGTTGAAAGTTTATTGGCTTATAGAGCCTAGATACACATTAATTCTGCGTTGATCTTCAGGACTTATAAATGACTTCTTATTCTTCCACATGCTACAATGTGACCTCCATGTGATGGTACTGGTATATACACGTATATGTAAGTAATAGTATTACCTGTTGACATTTTTCCAGGCTTTCTTGATTGACCTCGGAGTTAGCGAAAGCCAAGAGTAGATACCTATAATATAAACAAATTATGTAATGTAGTACATCGAGCACTCTAATTGAACAACAGTGTTCCACTTATTAGGATTTTGACTTGTAAAAGTTCATAATACAAAATCAATGGGTCAATATTATTACAGATTCCAGGATTTGTTGTATGTTTGGGCATATCTCTATATGTCATTTGAAGAATGTAATCCTATTTTCTTTACTTTATTACTATTCTTACTGTTATTGAAAATTGTATATCGGATGTACGTTTGGCCCTAAAAGGGCATCAGTACTAATAAAACCATATTATATCTCTGACCACTAGTATAAGAACGCATTAACATGCAGAATTTCACTATACACCATCGACAAAAAAAGTTGGAGATTATAAGAATGTCACCACTTGTGTTGGTAATATGAGCCAATAAAAAGCAATATGTGTATTTACCTATTGAGTACGCCATATAGTGAAAGCTCCTGCACTAGTTCAGTGGACAATATACCCTGCCAGCATAGAATATTACCCATCAGCTGAAAATACATGACAGTTACATACATGTATATAACATTTCCAGGGCACTTGGCTAACATTCATATAGTTCATTTAAACATTTAAAGATGTCACTACGAAAGAACTTGTTTTAAAACAGGCCATTCTGATTAATAAACTACATATTATTAAAACTCCTAGGGGACTTGGCTAACAATACTTGCAGTATTTTTATAGTTCCTTTAGACATTTAAAGATGTCACTAGGAATGCTTGTAAAAGATGCTGTTCTAATAAATAAACGTGCAGATATTTATGTCATTTTCACAAAGGGATGGTGTCAGTTACATTCATAAATACATAAGACAATGTAGATTTTCACACATGGGGGATAAAAATATTTAACATTGTATAAATTATATCATATGACAAAATTCCATAAAACTGCTTTATCAGGCAATAGGTTCATGAGGGGTGTGTAAATAAATTGAACAGCCATTCTATTGCAACTATATCCAATACAAACATACTTATCTGAACTGAAGTATTGGGTTTGCCTGTGAATAAAATGTAAATTCGGTTTTGGGTTATCTCTAGGAAAAAAATTAATCGAGAAAAATGTGGAACAAAAAATACTCAGAAATTCAAAACAATATTTAAATCTATTACAATATATCTATGAGAGGAAAATAAGCATGTAAAGGCAAAAACAATATTGAATAGCTCGGTATGATTCATAGTGTTTTGATAAGCTAAACTCAATAGGTATAAATTCCCCTCATAAATCTGGATGAGCCACGGCTAGTTGGGTCTCAGGTTAGAGCCTAAAGCTACCCTTCTCCTGCCCCACTATGGCAGACCTTCGTCACAACGCGTTGGTTTGTCGGGGCACCCCAGCTAGCTAATTCGACACTCATCTTTTGTGATTATAAGTGATAAAATGTTACTATTTTGGAAATATGAGCGATTTTATGTCAGAGATTATTGGAGTTGAGAGTTCAAAGGTTCAAATCCAGGTGTAGTCTAATATTAAGTTTTTGTTTTCTATTTTTGTTGTCAAGTGTATTTTGGTGTGTTATTCACATTCATTGTGGTCTGCTGTTATCTAACCCAAATTAGCCTGCTGGTGGTGAAACTACCTACTGGCACCTTAGAAATTCTGTTTATTGTATTCCTTCTTTTTTCCGCATTTTATCAATTTTTTTTTCATTTAGCTTTTTGAAAATTACCCACACTTTAAACTTTAACATGATATTGCAATTTTGTAGTCAGGTTAAGACATTCTTTTAAACTGAAATAACTGGATTTTTAGTGTAGCGGTTTTGTAGATTTAGATTTATCTTTTATACTGAACTTATAATATTTTCATCAGGAAGAATTAGAAGAAGAAATATTTGAAAATTTTCTAAACTTAAAGGTGTAAACTTGTGAAGTCTTGGAGCATTAACAGCAGGAATGGCAACTCATGTCTCTAATTATTCAACGTTTGTCTCTGATAATTGAAATATGTCATATTACATATGTGTGCAAAGGCACATTTCAGCATCATACAAGTACTACTTTTACATCAAGCAATATTTCCAAAGCACAATGCAGCCACTAAGACTAACTCTGGCTTACCTTTATAAGTGACCAGAACTGTCTGTGGAAGAAGACTGAGGCCCCGGACATCCTATTCTCCAACATGCTGAAATAACAAATATACATACCACGTTGATATTGTATTCTTATTAATACTTACAGCATATAAGTACATGTAGTATTAATTAAAGTCTTGTGGTTGAAGAAATTTCTAATTATTCACAAATATTATTCTTAGTTTCAGATGTAAACAATTTCTAAAGTACATGGCTTACTAAATGGATATGTGAACAAAATAATAATTTTCATCAACTGAATGAGCTGGGAACAGTTTAACTGAATTGATTATACAGTAAAACACCTTTTTATGTGAATGTAATGTGATAATCTTTTATTGGAATCAATTTCCATAACCTGTAAATTAACAATTTTCGAAAATGTGATCATTTAAAACTTGTACCAAGCTGGTTCTAGTGTAAAATCACTTAGGCAACGTAACTTACGTTTTAGGGTATAGTGGCATAAATACATCTTCATCAAGGGATTTTCTTATACGTTGGACTACTGATCTATAGAGAGTCTGCAACAGAATATATGATAAACACATGAATTGGATGTACATCTTATTCAATTCTTGTCCAAGCCCGTCTTTGATATCTAGCTTTTAGCACCTAATTTTCATATTTTCTCCCACATCCACCCCGAGCTTAACAATTGAAGAGACTAACAGCTCTAATATCATTCAAATTTTGAAAAATATTTAGACTTTTCAACATACCTGTGCATTTTTATTTTCTCCACTAGCAGTGGGGTATTCCTCGCTTATATTCCTCACAACACTAACCAACTGTACAGTTTGCGATGTTGATAAGGGGTCCCAAACACCACTTACATATTCTGCAAGAAAAATCACGTAGCTGATCTAAATAACAATTAATTCCATTCCAATTCATTCATTCATACATTCACATCGTGTATAATCATCGTGTTTATAGAGAATCATCTGTGAGTTTTCAATAATATACAACTTTAATTTACAAAGTTTAATCTACATTGTACATGTATGTATACAACAGATATCTTGATCTATACAACATGACTGAAAATCATCTTTGTGATTTTATGTTTAATTCTAACCTGTTATTTTTGACATGATGACTTTTTCTATAATGCTTGGTACAAGTTTCATATCTTGCTCATCACTAGGTGTCTCTACTCCTTCTCGAAAACCAAAGAACATCAAAGCTTCATACCATCCCATTTCTTCAAAGTTGCGACAGGTTGCCTGAAAAATGCACTAGATGCTTTTACATCATAAACTGTGAAACATATTTTCTATGTAATGAAATCATGCAGGATTCAATATCCACATTTGTACAGGCCTATTCGGGTGACGTGAATTCCAAGTATATTCACAAGTGTACAATAAATACAGAATATCACATCATTTTGAGTGATATCATTTTTATCGCCGAGTTGATATCAAATATCAACACGAGTGAGCGAAGCGAATCAGTGTTGATATTTGATATCTACGAGGCGATAAAATGATATCACGAGAAATTATGTGATATTGGGTTTATCCCATGATTACAATCACCTTGTGATGTTCTGATCCAATTTCCAGGACACTGGCAGACCTATTTTCTCAAAAGAGAATAAATTATCTGACCTAATTTCCAACAATATTGTGGCGCGAAATACAAATGTGATATCACACGGATATGCGTGAGATAAACGATATCACACGCATATGAGTTTGATAAACGATTTTCTGGAAAATATCACACGGATTTCAATTATATCAGAAATATCAATAGCTGTTATTGTACAGATAACACATTAATCGTGGGATAAATATATATATAATATGCGAAGCACAGAGTTCTGAGAAAACATCACAAATTAACTAATTGTCAGATATAAATGAAAGACAAATGTGCATTATCAAAAATAACATATCTGATGAAATCCAAACTTACATCTAATGGAGACCAATGTATAAGATTAAGTCGCACAAGGGGAGTAAATAACTTAGGCAGACAGAGGGAGATATATGCCTCTGTGTAGGAGTCCCCATACTCATATTTCCATCTCTCAAATCTGCTTTTCATAGGTTTAAACTTGTAGAAATCATCCATCACATCCTCAAATATCTTCTTAGATTCTTCCATAATGCGTTCTGAAAATATATCTCATGTGATACTTACAATTTAAAAAATGAATTATTATTTCAAAAAAGATCAATGTGATAAAAAGTATAACTTACAACAATCAGAAATTTTGTATTCCACAGTCTCAATGATATTTCCTTGCTCAGAATGATTTTTTTACTTTCTATTTCATTGTCATATAACATAAGGTAAAATACTTAAAATAATTCCCAGATATCTTATATGAAGTATTATGTTTAGCTTTGTTAAGAAATTTATTCATTAATTATCTAAATATTTTATCATTTAATCTTTAGCAATTGTACCTTTCTCAGCAGAGAATCTGCCAGCATCGCCATGGTTATCCTCATCATCTGTTGACATTCCGTCTCTATGGTTACTTGCAGATGACAGGTCATTGCGTTGTCTTGCATGACGCCTTCTTGCTCTAATAGTGAAAATTGTTTTTAAAACTGAGTTCTCTATGTTGAAGATACTAGTATAGTATATCATGGCTATTGAGCAAGGGGTGAAAAATACCTATTGAATCAACAAAAAACATTGCTTTTGAGATAGATGAGCATTGACACCACACACCATTTGATGAACCTAGTTATTGCAGTGAATTTTGAAATCATTTTTTATTTATGGTTAACTAGGCCATATAATGGAAAATTGTTAAATTGATTTCCTGGTGCCATGTTATTTGGAGGTCAGATTTTTAGATTACTGTACGAAGGGACATTTCTTCAAGAAAAGTTTGTTTAAATAACTTTAAACTGACAAACCTTCTAGCCTCCCTCTCTGCTGCTCTTCGCTTCTTGTTCTCTGAGAGTTCTTGTATATTGCCAGTCAGGTGAGGGGCAGACACTGCCTTACCTACATGGATAATTAAATGTACACAGCATTTTCAATTATTTATTGATTAAAACATTATAAAAAGATGTAATGTAAATTAAATTGAGATGGTTATTCATTTTTCTTTTTGAAAATAGGTCAAGTTGCAAAGTAGGTCAAAACAAAGAGTAGTTGAAACATAAATGAATATATGATGGACAAAGAACCTGATCACCGAATTAACTCATTATAAAATCAGGAGCCTACATTGTATACCATTGCAAAATTATTATCAGTAACCTTTTGCAAAGTTTAACTTTCAATTCTATACAACTTATATTTACAATTTTCATGATTTCAACTTGAAAGAACTAGATTTTCAACTGATTGATGCACCAATATCACCAATATGCAATGAAGCTTGGAACATGTTTGCTTTGAAAAGACTTACTAGAAGAATAAATATCAGATTCATCTTTGATATCTTGCTGTCGTCTTTTCACCAGTTTTTCTGCTTGCTCCTTCAGCATCGTCATCATGGCTTGTTCTAGGCCTTGGATCTGAGGGACCTACATTATGGGAGAGAAAATACACAAAGTTAGCTTAAATCATAACATCATGGCTTACTCTAATGACTGTTTGGAGTAGTTAAGATACTTATATCTGAAAGCATTCCAACAAGATGACATTTTCTTTTAAAACACCATGGTAATATATCTTTCTTTTTTGAATACAGCATGCACATTAAATTTGATAAAATAGATTGTTTAATGGGAAATCATCAACATTTTGAGTATGAATTCAATTAGTTCAATACGTTCATGAACATTCTAGAATGTCCAATAATAATATAAAAAAAACGTCCTTGTACTCTGCATCTTAAAAACTGTTTCTGCAAACATGGATATGATTATAAAACACAGTTAACTTTCATATTATTGAATATAAAATATAACATACTTTGTACTATGTATGCTTGCTGGTATTCAGCATATGTAAAAATTGACTTATAATCAATTGCACATCCCTCGCTGTGTTAAAGCCTATAGAATTGTACAATATGTCACGAAAAATTGAAACAAAATATTTGAAATTAACTGAACTAAAATTAGCTTTTGACACAGCATATAATGACCTCCCCTCGGAGCATTACGCCCCTGCACAAGATAACACATCAAAGGCCCCTGCTGTGATGACAAGACACAAAACAAGACCCCTGCACAATACACACAATAGCATGACCCGCCCCTAATGCCCCTTTATGTAAATGATCAACCCACCTTTTCGTTAAAGCATTCAACTATGTCGCGAACATACCCCCTCATTTCTTGGTAAAACCGATATTGGTTTTCCAAGTTTTGAACATTTCCATCCATCTTTGTGATGCTTGTTTGCGTTTCCTCCAGTCTTTCTTCCATATCATCTCTCTCGTGTAAATGAACCCTGTGTACCTGACCCAAATTGTCCAACCTGAAACATAACAAAGAATTGTAATTACTTCAGGAATACTAAATGCACAATATAGAAAAGTGAATTTACTCATTTTTATAGCAATTGAATTGTACAATTTGAGAGAAACTCATTTCATGAATTCTTTTCTAATATCCAACTGACTCGACACAGAAAACTGGCTAAATGGAAAATCTGCATATCTAACATGACTTTGAAAAAGTGTTCCAATTATGGAGGCGTTTTTAGAGATATGCTCCACTTTATAGGCTTAACTGTAATTTACCTTTCTTTTAATTTATTTCTGATCTGCGCCACAGACAGAGTAGGAAGATCAGCTTCAGAAGGCCCCTTGGCTGCACTAGTATCAACATCCATAGGAATTGCCTCTATACTGCCTGGTTGTGGGGCATAGTCTGTGGAGGGCTGGTTTGTGAATATGCCAGGGGGTCTCTGTGTGTTGAAAGCTGAGTAAGCATTACTGTCAGGCATGGTTGGGCAGGGTCCCGGTTGAGATGTCAGAACCTAGAAAATAGGTAGGGAAGAAAACCATAGATGATTTTCCTAAACTGTAGATTTCTGAAACAGAGCGCTTTACTGTTTATCGTCCAATGTTAAAAAGGACAACTTTTGATTATTAATCCCTTGTAAGAATACAAAATGAATAATTAATTGAAAGCTTCAGCATTCAACCATTTTACATTAAATTCATTATTTTCAATGTGGGCAATGATAAGTAATTGACAATGAACATCCACTATGAAGAAACATGTTTCAAAAATGAACATTATGTTTTTTAATAATTCTAGTTTTTAATACAAAGGTGAAAGAAAGCAAAAACTCTGGAAGCTTTCCTGTCATTTAAGATTTTGCTTTTAAGAAGTCATATTTTTCTTTGATTTATATCACTAAGCAGTGCAGTAAGTCATACCTTGGGTATACTGGTTCCCTTACGTATTTGTTGTTCGATCCATTGATCATGATCATGATCACTTTCATCACTCCCTAGCAACACATAGCAATGGTTACCATGGTAACAAATCACAATATTGAACAGTCAAATTGATTAAAAGTAGTATCCTAACTATGAACATGCCAAAATTTATAAACTATGAAAATAGTTTTAAGGGACTTTACTACCACTTCATGTAGTATAAATGAAAATATTCTTTAAAAATCAAAATGTTGAAGATTTAGGTGGTAGTTTTATGTTTGTTAGCTTAGAGCCCACCTTCTTCTGCCATCATGATTGTGTCATGAATCCTACGTCTCTCCTGGTCTCTGTCTTTCTTAAGGCTCATACTGACCCTCTCTTCATCTTCAGACAGGTCATTGTCATCTTCCCTAAAACAATGAATAAGAGCTTTATGAAATGAAACATCATATTTGTACAATTAGAGATCATTTGCATTAATAGGAGTGAGCGGAATAGCCTTGAAATTGAATTTCTGGGACACTTGAATCCAAGAATACAATCAAAATTTATTGTACACAATCCTCTAACACTCAAGTCTACTTTATGTAAAAGCAGGGGTTTCGTTTATAATTTTAACAAAGAAACACAAAATAACAGGTAATATTGGTAAAACCAACTGAAGAACATTGACTTTTACCTGTTACTAATGACTAGTAATGAGACCCATGTCTTGTAAAAAATCATTTATGATGCATTGGTAATACCTTATCAATCTTGAATTATCTTTCTCCACTTTTTCTGTATCCTCTAATGGAATGAATTCACCACCTAGTTCTCGTGCCTGTTGACGTTTCTTTCTGGCTAAATGTATCATCTTTGCATCTGGGATAACTCCAGCTGGCAAACAAATCAATATCAATTACAACTGTAAACATTTACTCAGAATTTTTGTTCTTATTTTTAAGAATCAAATTTCATTTTTCATCTATTCATTAATAAAATGTAAAAATCACGCCTGTACATGACGCAGGATTGAACTTGAATTATGTAACACTAACCAATTTTAACACTGTTTAAAATAATTGCAGAATCCATCAACCATTAGGTGATTAGTTATTTATGACATGAGTTCTAAAACATGCAGAAGTCTCATAAACTCACCTTCCAAAACATCATTGAATGTTGGACCTTTAGGAGGCTGAACCTTCTCATCTTCAGAATCACCTGAGAATGGAGATGGCGTCCTAATTCTTGGACCAAAGTCTTGCTCCTTTGTACCATTTTGTTCGCCCTTCAGTTTCTGGAAAACACATGGAAGAGTGGTGATTCTTAATCAGAATTTCATGATACAGAAAAACAATTCTTGTTTCTATCAAACACAAGGTTTAAGATGTCAGTCCACCCCAATGGGGAATAAACATTTTAATTCTTGTTTCTGCCAAACACAAGGATATTTAGTATTACAGTATTAAGAATACGAAAATCAGTTATACATTTGGAGTGTCCAATAATAATGGCAATAATTGGCAAGTCAATTAGAGTTGTCATAATGTTCTGCACTAACCTGTATATTTTCAAGAGAATATGCTCCTGTTGCAGACACTTGGGTGTTAACCTTCTCCTTTTCTTCTTTCTCTTTCTTTGTCTCACGCTTCAGTTGTTTTGCGATTCTCTTACTGTGACTGGACTTCTTAATCTTAAACACTTCCTCTTCTGAAAATGCATCAAGGCAGACATACAAAATGGATTATCATACTTCTCTTGAGTTGATCCTGAGGTGAACAAGTGTCACGCTTTCAGAGGAGGGCTGTCTTGACCGCTTCTACCTGGGATAGACGTACTCAGATAGATTTCTCCCCTACAGAATGTTTGGTGTTAGGGTCTTCCATCAAAATTTAATGTAGGGGGTAATATTGTAATGTGGGTATTTCAACATTGGTTTATACTTATATAATCTATGCGATCGAAAACTCCAATGGGTAAGATCTTAATCTAAGATGGCTAAACCCGCAAATCAGAATTACCAACCACGGGACAAGGTAACCCCATCCATCAAGTCCCCTTACTTTATCCCGTGCGAGGACTATAGTCCTGCGAACGTCTTATTCTTTTACCTGTACGATTACAACATGGGAGAATTTTCTACGCTTCTTACACTTAAGATATCCATTTCAATAGATTCCTTGGTATTTTGGCATTCTTTTCGTGTAGTTGAATCCAGAATTGTCTGGGTTTATCGGCAGAACAAAGAAATTTTTGTTTTTAATCACAATATTTGCGTGTAATATTTAACTTATTTCAACCATCAAATTCCTCCATTTATTGGTTCTTCCGGGCTACATCCGGGTCAGTCGAACGGGGAGTCCCCTTTTAAATCCAACCGCCATCTTGGAAATTGATGGAATATCTCTCGATGAAAAAGAAAATGTTCCCGTTCTGCCGATATACCCAGGACAATTGTGGATTCAACTAGACGAAAAGAATGCTAAAATTAATACCCAGGAATCTATTGAAGTAGGTATCTTAAGTGTAAGGGGCGTAGATAATTCTCCCAAATTGTAATCGTACAGGCAAAAGAAAGTGCTCAATGCAGGACTATAGTCCTGGCACGGGATAACCCCTACTGAGAGTGAGATATGACACAATTCTAAAATAGCCAATCAGTTTAGCCAACTCTTTCAAGAGCTGGACTGATCTGACTGCTTCAAAAGAATGCTAAAATACCAAGGAATCTATTGAAGTAGGTATCTTAAGTGCAAGAGGCGTAGAAAATTCTCCCATGTTGTAATCGTACAGGCAAAAGATTGAGACGTTTCAGGACTAAAGTCCTGCCACGGGATAACAATGGGTCATCATTATTGAGTATACAAGCTAAAGGTTTTCTTTAAATCAAATGGTCGCATCCATAGGTTGTATCTATCAATGATAGTGTTAAATGTTTCCATTGAAAATATCTGAATGTCGTTTGAAAAACGTTACCTTCTTCTTCATCATGATGATGGAAACTGACTGGATTTTTTTTGTCCAATTTTTCTTTTTCCTTCTTTTTCTTCTTCTTTTTCTCTTTAATTTCGGACGCTATATCATTGATATTGGTACCATTGGATTCTTCGGGTGTTGCACCATCATCCGCCACTGTAGAATTTTCTTCATCTGAGTCGATCACTTCTATTTTCTTCCTGAAATTGCGTTTAGGTTTTCGAAACAAACTCATGTTGAAAATGGCGATTACAGCAAGCGCCACCTTTCGAAGATCGTCTTAGCCAATCAGAACTAGCGTTACTAAATCTTCGGCTAGACACTTCCGGATTGGATAAAAATCCACAAAATGTTGGAATGTTTCTCAATTAGTGACCTTATTAGCTTGTTTTGAACCTCGCCGACACAGCAAAATAAGGAAAAATATGCAGGCTACCAAAATATGAAAGAATATGGGTTCTCAAGAGGAATTTGTTGAAGAAATTGACCATCAAGAATTGGAATTCCAAGAGGTTTGTTTATTAAAATTCCATCCATATCCATAAACTTTCAATATTCATCATTAAAAAATCTCACATACACCTAGATAAATGTATTTATGCTATTTCATGTCTATCTTTGTGTCCTTGTTGTGGGGATTTCCTATTCTGACAGAACACCCCATTCGAGTCTAAAAAGGTACAGTCGGAAACATAGGCCCCGGGAACATGTATAAAATAGCGAGTCGACAGTAGTAATACAGATGTCAAACCTCAACCATCAAAAGTTGTCACAATGATCTAAATTCTAAGTTTCATGTCTCAAACTCTCCCAAGCAGTAGAAAAATATTCCCGTTCACTCTAAATAGCACAATATATGAATCCAAAGCTTCATACCTGCAAATGATGGATAAATTCCTACCAAATCGAACAAATGTTTGATTGACTCCCAGAATGCAACATCAGTTAACCTTCTTTACTCGTGACAGCTTTCAAAATGGCGGAATGGCATTTTGAAAGCTGATACGTGTCATGTTGCATTCTGGGAGCCAATCCTCCTTGTGGCGTAATCGTGCTCCAAAATCACCTCAATATTTGAAGAAGAGTTGGCATTAACATGTGAATATCACTTCAAATTTTTAAGTTCCTATTTGTCATTATGGACACAAATTCCACTATATTTGTACGTTTCGGGACAGAGAAAATAGACAAGTACTAACTTTTGTATATTTCAGATAGTTATAATGTATAGTATTCAGATAGTATAATATGCAGCAAAACTGTGGCCTTTTGTAATTAGGGAGTTGAATTAGAGACAGCTTCAAGTCTTTACCATTACCTTTGGGAGAAAGTGGCAAATAAAATTTGAAACCAGTTGAGGACGGTACATCTAAGCACCAAACAATGGTTTTATGATCAGTTTTAAACCATAATTCAATGAATTCCTTCACTGTAAGTTGTTATTGATCTGCATAATTCCAGGTTGTAGGAAAAGGTGCATTTGGCGTTGTCAGTCGTGCAATATGGTGGAGTCCTGGGAGAGGTCATGGCATTCAAGTTGCTGTGAAAAGAATAGAAACAGAGTCAGAAAAACAAGCATTCAAGACAGAGTTGAAGCAGCTCTCTAGAGTGTCACATCCAAATATTGTGCATCTGTATGGAGCATGTACACTCAGTGAGCCAGTAAGTAAATAATTCAATTATCGGATATCTTTTGCCATTTGCAATATAATACATATAAAGCATGTACCATGAAGGCAGTTCATACATGCGGTACATGTACCACACATGGCTTTCATTTAAGTGCCTTCTAGACTCTGTTTGCATCAACTGCATTCCCTTCTTCCATTGTATTTTTAGTGACTTCTAATTTTACCTTTTTTGAAAAGAAATGTCTGAAACTAAATATTTCTCAAATTGCCAATTGTTGTTCCCCATCCTATGTTTCACACAAATTCAATGCTGGAGAAATCACTTAAAATTGCTTCTTGTTTCAAGGTATGCCTCGTGATGGAATATGCAGAAGGTGGTTCCCTATATAATGTTTTACATGGTCATGAGCCGCAGCAGATCTACAGTACAGCCCATGCCATAAGCTGGTGCCTACAGTGTGCTCTGGGGGTAGAGTATTTACATGGAATGAAACCTAAACCTCTTATACACAGAGATTTGAAACCTCCAAAGTAAGTGCATTTACAAGTAAAACCTTTGTACAGTAAGTGGAATGCATTTGGAAACTCTTAAATGTTCCACTTACAGAAGTTCAATTTGATGGGTTAGAAGATTAGAAATCAAAATATTCTTAAATGTCTATATTTAATAGTGAGACATGCCAGTGAGACATTGAATAATTGGAACAGGTGCCTACTTGCTTGAACTTCTGATAGCCTAATGACCAAGGATGACAGGTTGTTACCATAGACCACATGCTTCAAAATCTTGCGGTCTACCCAGACTCCAGAGTGGCAAGATTTCTCGTCACCTCAGAAATGACCTTGAAAGCCTTAGAGACGAGATAATCTGTCACAAAATTTTTCACTAAAATTGCTCTTATTTGAACAATTTTCATCCTATTTACACAAAAATGGTTATAAAATGTATAGAAATGATGTTGTCTAATTTTGCTAAATTGAGCATTGTATATGTATCTAGTAAAATGTCAAAAGCTGGCAAAAATGAAAAATTCTCTGGGTTCAACCGATTTTAGAACCTTGGATTCTAGAGGTTTAAGAGTAAAGGACATTACAGACTTTCATACCCTTTCTGCCCAATCAGATCCACCTTTAGTTAATTTGCTTCATGTGGCAATATATAAATACCATGTAAACCTAGTATTTCCAATTTAGTTTACTGCTGATCAATGGGGGAACAGTCCTTAAGATCTGTGACTTTGGGACAGCTTGTGCCATTCAGACACACATGACCAACAATAAAGGGAGTGCAGCTTGGATGGCCCCTGAGGTCTTTGAAGGTAGGCACCATTTAGTAGTTACTTATCAAAGCATTCTTCTGTTTTCATGTCACCACCAAAAAGTGGTGACATATTGTTATGGTCTCCATTATTTGTGATGGTGGTTGGCGTCTGTAACAAATAGTGGTGACATTTTGAATGTTAATGCCTTGTTTAAGTGTTCATATTACCATTTACTAGGCTTGGTGTCTCTATTAATCTATGGATGTCTTGTCTCTAAAACTGCTACAAATATCAGCTTCAACTTTCACTAATAAAACTTACATTTGTGAACAGTAAAACCTATTTGAATTGAATGCCACTGGGACTGGCCAAAATTGTTTAAATTGGCATCTGTTCTTAATTTGTAGTTTCCTAAAGTTAACATCAAGAGATGTTCAGATTAGACAGGTGTTTAAATATAAAGGTTTAACTGTATTTTGGTCTCAATTAAGTAATATGTTATTTTCTTACAGGGAGCAACTACAGTGAGAAGTGTGACGTGTTCAGCTGGGGAATCATCCTATGGGAAGTCATCACTCGGAGGAAGCCCTTTGATGAAGTTGGGGGTGGAGCATTTAGAATCATGTGGGCTGTTCACAATGGTATAGAACTTATTTGATTAGCTTTGTACATGTGTTATAATACATACATACACTCATAGGAAGCCCTTTGATGAAGTTGGGGGTGGAGCATTTAGAATCATGTGGGCTGTTCACAATGGTATAGAACTTAATATTTGATGTGTTATAATACATGCACATACACTCATAGGAAGCCCTTTGATGAAGTTGGGGGGTGGAGCATTTAGAATCATTTGGGCTGTTCACAATGTATAGAGCTTAATATTTGATGTGTTATAATACAAACATACACTCATAGGAAGCCCATTGATGAAGTTGGGGGTGGAGCATTTAGATTCATGTGGGCTGTTCACAATGTATAGAGCTTAATATTTGATGTGTTATAATACATACATACACTCATAAGAAGCCCATTGATGAAGTTGGGGGTGGAGCATTTAGAATCATGTGGGCTGTTCACAATGGTATAAAACTTGATGATTATCTTTAAACATGTGTTATAATACATACATACACTCATAGGAAGCCCTTTGATGAAGTTGGGGGTGGAGCACTTAGAATCATGTGGGCTGTTCACAATGGTATAAAACTTGATGATTATCTTTAAACATGTGTTATAATACATACATACACTCATAGGAAGCCCTTTGATGAAGTTAGGGTGGAGCATTTAGAATCATGTGGGCTGTTCACAATGGTATAAAACTTGATGATTATCTTTAAACATGTGTTATAATACATACATACACTCATAGGAAGCCCTTTGATGAAGTTGGGGGTGGAGCATTTAGAATCATGTGGGCTGTTCACAATGGTATAGAACTTGATGATTATCTTTAAACATGTGTTATAATACATACATACACTCATAGGAAGCCCTTTGATGAAGTTGGGGGTGGAGCACTTAGAATCATGTGGGCTGTTCACAATGGTATAAAACTTGATGATTATCTTTAAACATGTGTTATAATACATACATACACTCATAGGAAGCCCTTTGATGAAGTTGGGGGTGGAGCATTTAGAATCATGTGGGCCGTTCACAATGGTATAGAACTTATTTGATTAGCTTTGTACATGTGTTATAATACATACAAAACCATGTACATACACTTTTATGTGCAGTTTTACTGAACTCAAATATTATATTATTATTGCAAATGTACAATACTCAAATATTATATTATTATTGCAAATATACGATACTCAAATATTATATTATTATTGCAAATGTACAATTAATCAGTCTGATTTATCAGAGTCCCTTTTCAATGCCTAAGTATTCCAAGGATAGTACAGGCTGTGCATTCCACAATGCATAAATCATAAAAAACATAACCGATTTTACATGTACAGCTTGTCAATCCTAAGCAGTCAAGACAATTGATCTCATACATCATTTTTGAAGGTGAACACATTTAAGTGTAGATGTACTCCTATTTGTCTTTTAGGTACAAGGCCTCCTATGGTAAAAAATCTCCCTGAGCCTTTAAAGTCATTAATGACAAAGTAAGTGATTTATGTATCAGCAATGTCAAATAGTCTCATTTAAGGGGGTTTTAACTAAATAATTAGTGATTGACAACCAAAGTGAGACTCATTGCTATGCTTCCTAGTCAACTCGTACCCAAGACAACTGGTACCCAAGACAACTCACACCCAAGACAACTCGTACCCAAGACAACTCGTACCAAGATTATTTTCAGTATTATGGGTGCATATTAGGGAAAAAATTGAGTCTGTAATGCTTTCATGTAATAATGTGAATCAAATAAGCCTCAATATTCATATATTTTTTTGAATTTAGAAGACATTTTTCTCAATGGATCAGTAAAGCATTTTTAAATAAAAGAAGTGCTTGAAGCGCTTGTTCTCAACATTATTTTGTCAAACATATATATAAATAAATATAATTACAACATTAGATCTGACACTTGTTCCAAACACTCATAAACATACAATATTTTGAAAAATGATTATGAATATGTGGAATAAACATATGTCTCTTCACTCGAACTTCCTGAATCTGTGACCAATATAAAATGATAGCCAATATGAATTGACACTCAGTTCAAAATGTCACAAAATTAAATCAATATCTTCCAAAAATTCTTCTTCAAACTTTAAACTATTCTGAACAGTACATGTATGTTACAATTATAATATGTACCATGGTATATCTATTCACATTCCCAGTCCAACGCTTGATTCAAAACAAAATATATACTTGGGTACGAGTTGTCTTGGGTACGACTTGTCTTGGGTACGAGTTGACCAGTTACCATTGCTGTGGTAATGTACACTTAGAAAAAATGAATCTCATAATTATTAAGTATATTATTATCCCAAGTAACAAGGTTTAATAATTTTGAAGTAACTTAACTATGTAAATACCTTTGCATAATCCTAATATGAACTTTTTTTTGCATTTGAAGAAATAGTTTATTAGGGAATTGTGATGAAAATTTTTATTTTATGTAGACGTTACATTTCAGTGACATTGTATTCAGGTTATATATTTGGTATTTGGAACAAACATTTTAGAAAGGAAGAGTGCTGAAAATGTAATTTCATTTAGATGTTGGCTTAAGAACCCTGCAGAGAGGCCATCAATGGCAGAAGTTGTGCGAGTCATGACTCATCTCATGCAGTTCTTTGAAGGTGCAAGTGACCCACTCTACTACCCTGAAGAACCAGAGGACCCTGAAACAGGTTAGTGCCTTTTTCTGGATCTCCTTTTCTGCCCCCGCCCCTCATTGAATTAAATTAAAGGCATCCAAGTACCTTACTCTTTAATTTTGACACCCCAAGTAGAATCCTTACCATGTCCATAGAGCATCAAAACTCAAGAACCTCTCATGCCTCTGGTTTTTAATAGCCTTTAAACTACCACAGGATTAAACCTGCTCATAATTTACACCCCTAGTTTAAGTTGCCCTGTAAAGCCAGAAGTTTTTTAGACAGTTTTCATTTTTTGACTATAAGAATTTCACTGCTTCAGGATTTGACCATCAATTAAAAATGAGTGAATTGAATAATAAATACAAATCTAGAAAACCTGATAATAGTGTAAATATACCCTGAACGACTGTAGAAGAGACCTTATTGAAAAAAATTATTAAACTTTTTGAGGAATTTTGTGAAAGAAATTTTAGATAGCAAACTTTGAATAGAGTTAAGAGCAATAATTATAGATTTTTGGAAATTGTGAGAAAACAAATTACAATTAATCATTTTACGTCTATTAATGATTATATTTTGACATTATTTTATAGTGGTAACTCCAGTCGCTAACACTATAGATGTCGCCAATATGTTTGACAAATCACCTGGCTCTGTGGCCCCTGGACATGGTACACATACTATAAGAGATACTGTTAGAGCAATGATTGGAGAACCTGTCCCTATTTTCTCTACGCTTACAGCCCAAAGACCAGGCCCAGAACATGTTGTAGTAGAAGTACAGGTATGTACACTCCCCTCTGTAGGTTTGGCAACTGTATGTTACAATTAATGTTAATGTGTTCAAAAGTTTTTATTTTTTGCACCAAAGTTTTGATGGGACGATCATAATAACTGAACCTTTAAGCCAAGCCTATATGTTTATTTTGCCAGGAGGATTCTACACAAGCCCCAAGGAGAACAAGTGCCCCTGCCTCGCTTGCTGCTAGCAGGGAGAACCTCATTGAAGGGAAGAATTCACGTTCAAGCACACCTTCTGTTGATAGCAAACGCTTCTCAGCTGATTTATCTAAATTAGATGAAATTGATATAATGTCACAAGGTGGTAGTAGTAGTACTGGCTCAACAGGTAAGAAACTATCATTTTTTTCATTTAATTTTGATTTGTACTGCATTTCAGTTGTGGCCATGCTAAAATCACCTATTGAGATCATGACTGTTTACTGTGAGATACAAACCTTTTTAGCTGTCCTACTACATATCTTTGTTCTCTAACTACACCATTTAACTATTTCAGTATTACTGTTGTTATAGTTATTAAGCTATCTGTTTGAACTTATTGATGAACCTTTGTGTTTGATATTACCCGGAATAGCAAATCTTTTCACTAAATCCTACCCTCTGTGAAAAGCTATGAAAATAAGTTTTTAGGATTCAAGATGTAATATTACTGGTAAGATTACAGGAACACATCAAACAGGATATGCCTTGTCATGAATCTTGCTAAAAACAAAATTTTTCGTCGGTGCAGCTAAATATGGTAGGACTTATGAGAAAGGTCTGCTATGAGATGAAATGAAATGCTAAATTGATTTGGTCCTAATGTATCTCTTCGAATTACCCCTGCTATGTGATTGCCCCTGTCTTAACTATTTGATTTGATGAAATACTGACTACTAATAGCATGTCTTCTATTGCACTGTGTAACTGTAGTGTCTGGAGGAATGGGACACAGAAGGAGTGGCTCCACAGGGGCAACAATTATTCTCCCTGCCCCCATACCTGCAGGTGAGCCTGTGTTTAACATAGATGGTGACATGGCTTCAGGTTTAACATTGAGACACACATGGCTTCAGGTTTAACATTTAGACACACATGGCTTCAGGTTTAACATTTAGACACACATAGCTTCAGGTTTAACATTGAGACACACATGGCTTCAGGTTTAACATTGAGACACACATGGCTTCAGGTTTAACATTGAGACACACATGGCTTCAGGTTTACATTGAGACACACATGGCTCCAGGTTTAACATTGAGACACACATGGCTTCAGGTTTAACATTGAAACACACATGGCTTCAGGTTTAACATTGAGACACACATGGCTTCAGGTTTAACATTGAGACACACATGGCTTCAGGTTTTACATTGAGACACACATGGCTTCAGGCTTTACACTGAGACACACATGGCTTTAGGTTTCACATCGAGACACACATGGCTTTAGGTTTTACATTGAGACACACATGGCTTTAGGTTTAACATTGAGACACACGTGGCTTCAGGTTTAACATTGACACACACATGGCTTTAGGTTTAACATTGAGACACACATGGCTTCAGGTTTAACATTGAGGCACACATGGCTTCAGGTTTTACATTGAGACACACATGGCTTTAGGTTTAACATTGAGACACACATGGCTTCAGGTTTAACATTGACACACACATGGCTTCAGGTTTAACATTGAGACACACATGGCTTCAGGTTTTACATTGAGACACACATGGCTTCAGGTTTTACATTGAGACACACATGGCTTTAGGTTAAACATTGAAGGTCCCAGCTTTGATGTTAGAAGTTTTGCTTTTACCAATGACCCAAGCTTGAGAAAATATAGGACCAGGTTTAACATTAATGGCTTTACCTTAATCGGCTGCATTGAATGGCTTGTTTCTAACATTGAATGTTTTGCCCTTAGATTACAGCCCCAGTTTTAACACACAATCTTAAAATGCATCCATTTAACACCAGAGCATATTCCTTTACCAGTGTGAAGTCCTTTGATCACCACCTCTTGGGGTCTTCCTTTGAAACTTCATTGCTTTTCTGCTTGCTTCCGTAGAGCTGATAATGCCAAATGTTTTATGCATATTCAGCTGTACTCTACAGTGAAACCTGTTTACCATAAGATCGTAGTTTCTGATATGAACACCTCTCAATGTGAACACTTTCTGGTCAGATTTGTTTAATCTGACTTCCATGTGAAAAGCCTTGTGAACACCTGGCAATTTGGTCAGTCCCAATGGCATTTGGAAGACAGGTTTTTCTGTAGATTTGTGTGGCTGTATAGCCTTTTTAATTTGGAATAAAATGATTGATTTTCAAAATAACAATACTGCTTTTATTCTATTTAAAATATTTACCATTTTAATAGCTTTTTAAAGTTAATTGAAACTTTGCTTAAGTTGCATTAGGAGTTTTATGCTTCATTTTAATAGTTTAGTATTAATTTAAACAATTAGTGACCATTTAGTAATTGCAACATAAATATTGTATCTTTTCACACAGCACAAAGAGCATGAAAGGACCACGAGTTGTTTGTACAATGAATCTCGGGAGCATTAATGTTGTTCAAAAGCGACTGTAATAATGATTCCCAGCCCTCTGAAGTTTGAAAAATTACAATACCTGGGTGTTAATCCATAGATAATCCTTGAAAATGAGAAATATATGGTGCAATCTTATAGTCAATAAAATGTTTTAAAGTGTATTGATGTTTTTTAGATGAAAAACACAAGCGAAATGCATGAAAAAGCTCCCCAGATTCATTCTACAAACAACTCGTGGTCCTTTAGTTGGTCTGACTATGCTTTCTACCTTTCTGGATATTTTCATCAAATGTATGAATATATTTTGCCTTTGTTAAGCCTGTTGCATGAGTGTGCTTCTTTCTATGTGTTTCTAGTACATGGTCATCGCAGATCAGGTTCCTATGGCAACTCACCTGTAGTAAATGCTACAAGCTCGCCACCTATAGTCACCGTGAGCTCTCCTTTTGGCGTGCAAGGACATCCCGCAATGCATCATGCGATCACTGCCCCAGCTGATTTGTCACAAATGTCACAAACACCCCAAAGTGCGACTCATCGAAGTGTATCTTGGTCACCCAGTGGCCAAGGTGTACAAGCCATGCCACGTAAGCTTGCTTCAAATAGATTAATTGAAAAAGAGACATGGCGGAATACCCGTACTTTGGGTTCCTCCATTTTTATGCTTCAGGGGTGATTTAGGGCAATTTAAATATTTGATAAAGGTCAATATATCGGAAAAGAGGACATGATGCATCCCCCAATTAATACATTAGATTGTTGTGTAGAATATACTTGTAAATTATGCTTATTTTTTATACATTATAAAGAATATCTTGCACTCATCACACAGACTTTTTGTCTCTTAGGTTTTATTTGCTTGTATATACTCGAATGCTTTATAGAAACCAGACAGTAAGGGTTGCCATAGACATTTGTTTTTATGTATCTTACAAAATAATCAGATCCACATCTATAAATGAGATGCATTCCTTCCATCTTTTGCTCCAAGCAAGTAATTTATTTAACAATTTTATTTCTATGAAAGCTGTGCATGCTGCCTCTGAGTATTCACTGACTCAATACACATCACTTCTGTGTTTGCTTGTTTTCAATTCACTTGTCATCTTGCCTGTGTTGTTTGCACATACGTGTAACATGTGGAACTTATGATCTTTAAAGTGAAATAGTCTCAAATATATGTCAATTTCTAACAAAATTGAGACTGGTGATATGCCTGTGTTACTACTCCTTTGTGTTAAGTGGCCAGAAAATGACAGTTAAGAACTTATACATTAAACATTAATAATGCACATGTTTTTTCTGCACTTCCAGAGAGGCCCGTGTCAGGTGGGGAAGATGTAGATGCTGCAGCTGCTGCCATGGCGATAAACCTTGCCCACATGAACTTTTATGAAACTCCACTGCCCCCAGATTTACAGGTTTGTCAAAGTCTCCAACTTTTTTGTGACGGCAGTTGGCATTTGTCTGTAACAAAATTCTTCCAACAAATTCTTACAACTTCCAATAACTTAACAAATACTGATGAGACTGACTTCAAGTTATTCTACAATCGTCTGCAAGTTCTCAGAAGTTCAAATCTGACTTTATATCTGACCTTCAATGACCTGCTCAAGGTCAAAAAAGGTTGTAAAGGTCTTTTTTTAATATGGTTCTCAGAAATTCAAATCTCACTTTAGATTTGACCTCCAATGACCTTTTCAAGGTAAAAATGTCCTTTTTTCAACTTGCTTCAAATTAACCAATACTTTTGTAAAATCATCTACAAGTTCTCAGAAGTTCAAGTCTGACTTTAGATGTGTCATTTGACCTTCAATGTCAAAGGTCCAAAGGTTATTTTTCAACTTGCTTCAAGTTGACTTTTTTCAGCTACATGTTCTTAGAAGTTCAAATCTGACTTGATTTTTTATTCATAATATTATGAGCAACTAGGTGGTGACATTTTTAATGATAATGCCTTGTTAATAGTATATCCTTACTTGTAAATATTTAGGATTCCACATGTTAATCCACTTTAATCCACGATAATAGTGTTACCCAATTTACAAATGTTTGGCTTGTTGCATTGCCTTTCTTCCAAGCATTCATGTTTTCAAATGTTTTTTGCCATGAAATTGGGTCCTTATTGTTTAACCCTTCTCTTCAACATTCAGATTTTTCATTCTTTAATGTGTTGTAGATCAAGTTTCCAAAATCCATGTAGTTTCAAATACATCACAAAAATTGTGACAAATATAAATGGTTAACATGAATAGAAAATGAAATTTAACAAAAATGTAGAAAAATAGAATGGGCGTGGTTATGTAACCAATGTTTTAACAACACAACCCTTTAAATTTCTTGGAAAACAACCTGCTTAATTTTAATGTGTGCAGTTTAAGAAGTTCATTGTAAATTCAAGGCAATCAGGCCTGTATTGTTTCTTTGCTAGAGTTACACACATTTAGTAGCACTCTTGATAGAGCTTGTCAACTGGACAGAGATATTTTACTGACATTGATTTTAACCAGTTACACTTATCACTTTCTTATACATTTGTATTTGTCAAATTTGTTTTGCAGCCACTAGCACCTGCCAGGCACAGCCAGGAGTCCATGGATATACAGAGCCCACTGTCAGGTGACTGATGAGTACTTGAAGACTAGGGCGGAGCTTAATTTATTGACAGCTAGAAAGTAAGTCAGTGTATACTCCTTACATATATTAATTTTCAGGCCTTTGAGTGTACCTTATACTGTAAAAGCCCAAATTTTCAAGGTGCCCTAATTTCCGCTATATATATACAAGGGGTGATCAATAAGTTGAGGACGCTTTTTTACATGGATGCTTTTTGTAGACCAATACCTTCGATTTTCTTACTAGTGATAAATCAAAGGGATTGGTCCCTAAAAAGTATCTGTGTAAAAAAGCGTCCATTACTTATTGATCACCTCTCGTATATTATTCTAAAATTGTAGGAATGACATGATGAAGGAGTTGAAAGAAGATGAAAAGGAAGAGAAGCAAACCAAGACCTATGCAGAGGAATACCAGCAGCTAATAAGTGAAAATGTAAGGCTCGGAAACTTTCATAAAAAACAACAATGTTTATTCCACAAACATATACTAGTAGAGAATCTGTTCATCCATTTTGTCCATTTGGCCATAGGTATGTCTGTTAAGGCAATAACCCAAATTCTGGTGGATGGATTTGGTTTACATTTTATGTGCTGATGACTAAGGGACATAGGACCTCTGCTCTGATAGCCACCAGCTTTAATATGGCCACTCAATTCAAAATGGCAACAATTTTCACCATGGTCTAGATTATATCTTTCAATATGAGTGATTTGATAACAAGGAGTTGATGTTTTGCTAGTTTTGTCTGTGGCTCTCTTATGCCACTCTTCTCATTTGACGAAACGTTCTTCTCTTTTTAAGTATAGGAGCTTGAAACATGAGATTAAAATGTCACAGAAGAGTCTTAAGTAATGTTTAGTGATATTTAAGAGCTTCAAATTCTTTCTACTTTCAGGAGGCCCTAGAGTTACTCTATGCAAATCTCAAGAGACAAGTTACTGCAATACGATCAAAGCAACCAAATATTGGAGCAGGTACATGATATCCCAGCATACCTAGGTCTTGTTCTGCAGTTAGTTGTTATCCCAGCTTACCTTGGACTTGTATAGTAGATAGCTGATGTCCCAACATAATTATGAATATTTGGATTGGCAGATATCCTAGCCAACCTTGTACTGATAAAGCAGGGAGTTGATATCCCAGCATACCTACGACTTGTAAAGCAGGTAGTTGATATCCCAGCATACCTACGACTTGTAAAGCAGGGAGTTGATATCCCAGCATACCTACAACTTGTATTGCAGGTAGTTGATATCCCAGTATACCCACAACTTGTATTGCAGGTAGTTGATATCCCAGTATACCCACAACTTGTGAAGCAGGTAGTTGATATCCCAGTATACCTGCAACTTGTAAAGCAGGTAGTTGATATCCCAGCATACCTACGACTTGTAAAGCAGGGAGTTGATATCCCAGCATACCTACAACTTGTATTGCAGGTAGTTGATATCCCAGTATACCCACAACTTGTAAAGCAGGTAGTTGATATCCCAGTATACCTCCAACGTGTAAAGCAGGTAGTTGATATCCCAGTATACCTATGATTTGTAAAGCAGGTATCCCAGCATACTTACAATTTCCCATATAACATCTACAAGTAAGAGCATGTACCTGCTATGCCAGCATATCAGAGATCCCTTCCTAGAATGCATTTTCACTGTACATATAGTACCAACATATTCAAAGGAAACTGATAACCCAGCATAACAATTTGTATGCGTTCACTCATGGCTCAAATGGGTCACAGATATACATGTGCAATCTAAATTATAATACATTAATAGTGAAATATTGCATCTTTGGTCAGTGTACATCCTCCCTCCTAAGTAGGTGTCCAGAATCCGTACCTCCTTCTTTTACCCTGCTATAACCAATTTGGTAGCGCCCGATTAAACTGAGTCACGTGATCTAATTATGCACCAATGACGTACACATAATCGCTGTTGAGACAGCGAATCAAATTGCGAGTTCTTAATCGGGGAAATGCTAACTGCTTATAGCAGGGGGTAAAAAGAAAGAAGATATTCTGGACTTTAAAGCCCTGTGATCGGAGGATTGTCAGCGTAAGGTATTATTTCGGTTTGTAGAAGTTTTCAGATTGTCAGATTGTCGTAACACATGCTTTGCTGTAAATATGGTTCACTTTTAAAAAGAGCGAAACCTATGTATATCTTGTACACCCTTTCCATGGGCTAAAATTATCACAGAGAACCGGGTAAAATAGCTGTTCCTTAGAGATTGGTGACTCATCAGACAAGTTCTCTAGATCTCGGTTTCCACTTTCTTTATAGGTCATGTTATATTACCAAACTATTGCAATTGATTTCATTTGCAGACTGTCCTTCTAGCATTGCTAATTGAGCCTTAAAAGTGGTCAGCTTTCAACTAATGTAAGCCAAGCGTACTACTTGAATGCATTATTTACAGCGTTTTAATTGCTTTTGAACCACTTTGACCAAGCATGGGAAATAGTATTAAGAGTATTAAAGTGCTCCCTGGAGCACATTTTACTTCATCGGGATTTCACTTAAAGGATGAAGTACTTTCGAATTATGCAATTTGGTTTATTGTTTTTCTCATTACAAAGTATACTGTCGAAAATTTCCCTATTGAAGAGTCTCTTGGGACATTAATCCTTTTGGTAAACCCACTTTTATTTCTAAAACATTAGCATAATGTTTTGAATAGCAGGTCACAATAACTATTTAATATAGAGGGTGTCCATAATGTCACTTACACTCACGCTCTACTATACCTTGCAGCAACCCATTTGGCTTAATAGTATTGATTAGGTTATTTGTTTTTATTTGTCTATTCCTTATTAATGGTTTATCGGATGACGTTAGATGTTAATGAATCATTTGCTGTACCTGATATGGTGATGGGCAATATTGCCAACCCAGATATTTAAAATTGGTCAACATTTCCTCCATACAGCTTGTACTGCCATCTATTCTTATTGTTTTCATATAACGTGTTCAACATAAGTACAATAATACTAGCCAATAATATATATAATTTGAAAATCAGCTATTGCTTCTTTCAAGTAGACATTGTCTGTTAATTGGCTTTTTACCTGTAAATAAATCCCTGTGGAATAAAATTAAATGATCTGTAACCATACTATCAATATCAGTGGCGTATATTTCGCACCTTATTTCCTGAAAACATCAAATTATGAACCAGGTCTAGCGAGTGTGAGACTGAGAGGGTTTCGTGAATTCTATTTGATGTGTGTCAGTTATTATATTTTAAAAGGGAACATTGATTGTTTTAGGTCAGCAGCTTTCAATGTTTAATAATCATAGAAAAGTTTTTTATTGGTGATTGAAATAATGATGTATTTGACGATAAGTGTTTATAGGCATTGTCCATTTAATGTAATTTCTATAAAGCTTATTCAAACATTTAAACACTACTGTACTTAGCAACCTATAATTGAATACAGTTCCATTTTTATGAAACATATTTCAATCTCATCAATATTTCTAGGGAATTGCACTGTTTTACAGCTGGATGACTCTAACTGCAGTTAACTTCATTTAAGATGGCTGCGGTAATTCTTTCGTTTTCGATAAACCCCCGGATTTCAGCGAAACTAAGTTGAATCTGGATTCCAAATGTTTCGCCATGCAAATTAATAAAGCTACGATGGTAAATAACCACAAATGAATGCTGAAACAACCGCGATATTGGAGAAATTTCTTTAAAATTCTCTAATATTGCGGGCGTTTGGCATTCATTTGTGGTTGAATGCAATCGTAGTTTTATTAATTTGCATGGCGAAACATTTGGAATCCAGATTCTACTTAGTTTAGATGAAATCGGAGGTTTATCGAAAACGAAAGAATCTCGGCAACCATCTTGAATGAAGTTAACTGCAGTTAGAGTCATCCAGCTGTGGAACAGTGAATTATGCCATATTGTTAAGTTCTTTATTTGACTGTATGATGAAGACATGAGACGTTTGTATATAGAATTTTAGTATTATATTTTAAATATGTTCATGTAGATAATCTAAGTACATGATGTACATATGTACAGTTTATTGGTATACAAATAAAAAAAACATTAAAAAGAGAAAATGTTTATTGTCTATTTTACATCTGTCATTTTGAAGTGTTTATAATTTCAGTTTGATCCAATGTTGCATATCTTGACTTATTTAGAATGGATCATATTAAGCAAATATTATTTCAGCACCACTAATTTCTCTAGCTTTGTAGGGTTGATTTAACACAGATGGGGGTGATAGGCCTACATCATTCTTTGGGAAGTCACCCATAGCCATTTTAACCTAAAATATCTTAATTGTGATCGAACCCAGGTACCAGTTTCTCAAATGACATGTGGGTTGTAGAATTATGATTCATTATCATGTGGTATTTTCAAAATTAGAATTTAGTAAATATTCACTCGATGAAAAGTAAGTGATTATGCTTTTCATAATTTATTGTATTGGTATAAGGTTTTGATCTAATTCTTAGAAACTCTGGCTTTCATCTGTCAATTCCTACATGTAGCTTTGTGTTGTTATTCAATGGAATATCAAAGATCACCTCCAATTGGCAATAAGCCTTCGTTTTTCATCCCACCACTGGTGAGATATGTCGTCATGGTGGCAGCGTGGTAGGTGTCGTGATTGGCGTCCTACTTATTTCTGAACGTGTGCTCGTTTGCGTCATGTACCTTGTTCAGAGTTAGAGTTCAATGGAGTCGAAATTGTGAAATAATTTCCCAAGCAAGCATATTGTTAATTTAAAAAGTAAGAAAATAAAAAAGACCCGGAGGCGCCATGAAAACTAGACTGATATGAATTATGATTGAATATCGACTCAATATATAGATCCAAGGCACAATATGATATTGATGTGTTTAGTGTTCGTATATAATTTGAATACGTTTGAGGGCGGGCGTACGACGCTTGAATTTATAAACAAAACGTATATCTGTCCTAGGAACAAGGCCTTGTCCTAGGAATGGACAAAATATTACTTTTTACTACCATACGTCAATTCTTGAAAATAAAACTTTAAAATCCAGTAACATTCTTGAGGGAACAGATATAATTAATAATGTTTTGAGACAACATTCACATGGTTTTCCAGTGACACGTTTCTTATTCAAGATTCCTTTTAACTAAATCCTTTGCCAAAGATATAATTTTAATTATCATTGTTGTAGAACATAAAGGATAGAGTTATAAAAGAAAATATCAACAGGATCGAACTTCTAGATTTTGAAACCATGCAGACGTCCGTCCGTTCGTCTGTCCATGTTCGATTTTTCAACTGATTGAACAGAATCAGTAAAGAAGGCTAGTATTGATGTCCTATACACGGTATATCACATACCGATACCTGAAAATGACAGTTCAATAGTCAGAAAAAATCCATTTTTAATAATCTATTTCGTCCAATACATCATTTTTACAATTTGACTTTGTGGAAAGTAGAAAATTGGTAATTTACCAAAATATGAAGCAAGCAATGGAACTGCAACGAGTACCCTCTTAAGCTAGAATCGAATGACTTAAACATCAACATCATCCTGGGAAACTGAATCCATGTTGCTCGATGGACATCTGACCTTGTGTAACAACGAGAATGATAAACTGCATAGTGCGTGATTGAACTCATTACTATAGTCTAGTAGGAAGGAATGGGTCCCGTCCACCCACGCTAATCTTTAATTAAACGTTTATATCCCAACAAGGTATCTACTTGAAGAAGATTTTTTAACTTTAATGATGCGATGATATAGTGGGGTGTGGCAATCATGGACCAATCGCAAAGGGGGTTCATTTTGACATGAAGATGTTTTCATCTTTTAATTCTGTCTTTTTCTCCCTCTTGTGTAACCAATAAATACACGATGAAGAAGGACGTATGATGTATAGTAAATCTTACTTCTTTACTGTAGTGGTAACATAAAATGACAAAAATCATATTTGTGATTTCAACACGGGACTACTAACCCCTTCTATAACATTTATTCTACAATTGGTATGATAATAGAATATCATTCTATAGATTCAGCACATATCCATGTACATTGTTGTAACCTTATAACTAAATAAATATTTCATCACTGTATTGTACATTCAAAGGATAACACAATCGACTAATGGGAAAATATATCAACGATTTAGTACATTATTAGTACATTATTGACCAATTCCGGTTAACATGCACATTCAACAGTGAATCATTTACAAACAAAGGAAGCATGAATTCGAATTTGAAAACATTTTTACTGGATTTACATACATTACGCCTTGCCTTTTTGACTTTATAGAAAAGCCATGTAGAAGGCAGCTGTGATTAAGCCTAGGGGAAAATCAATGCATTCGAAATATTAACACTTCCTTGTTTTTTCTATTTTAGATTTCATAAAAGGAAGTACTCTTAAATGTAAATAGTGAAAATGTTGAACGCATCTCATTACCTGATTACCAATAAGAAAAAAATATATTCGAGCTCGAAGACAAGTTTATTGAAAATATAGATATATACTAATATGGTGTTTCTAATATATAGCTAACAGTAATATCCACTTTCATAACCTATTTATAGTTTACACATTTTTAGCAATTTATGAAATATTAATAGTACCATGGGCTTTCAATTTCTAGTTGAAAGCCCATGATAGTACACATTACATTTGTCATAGTTTAGAATGAAGAATAGTTTATTATGAGATACAAACGGCATAAATTGTAAATATTCTTTCTGATGTAGTGAATATACATGATTTGTCATGCCAGTGCTTAACGACAACTTCAGCATCATTTTTTCTCACTGGCACTGTCTCTTTATTGCTAATAAAAACAACTCACTCATATGATAAGTGTTTCTTTTGGGCCTTCTCGCTCATGTTTTGCCGGATAACCATCCTAAATTCAAAATGTGGTACCATATCAAAACATAACTTAGCTAACCAGATTTCAAGTCAGATTATTTAGATCATTGTCCCTAGAATAGCAACTAAGTGAAAATACAAGTATGGGAAAGATGCTTTCACGTGACAACTCTAATTTCAGCTAATATGGTTGATTCAGGCGAGGCCGTGATAACATTTTTAAGTGGCTACATCATCTATATTCCATTGTCTCTCAGAAGGAGCCCCTTGGTCACTGTTATGAAACAAAATGTGTTGTAGTGTTGAACGTGACTAGTAGAGTTATACATCATACGCCATTTACGAAGCAACTACTAATATACAATTCCACAGGGATAAACGTAATTCATGTAGACCTAAATGAACATGGCAATATTTCTTCGAAATGGCTATCAAAGATATACAATATTTATCTAAAGACTGGCTTGTCACAGGCTTTATGAAACCGTAATTTATTTTTGAATTATAAACGACTATGACCACGATTGCATGTTTGCATTTTCCCATTCTGATATTCATCGCATCTTGTTATTTCTAATAACTTTGATAATAATTAAATGTGATTCCTTATCATGGCGATCTCCTCCATTTTAATGCTATCCACATTTTCCAAATGGTCGTCGTTTTTGTGTGCAAAGCAGCCTTGCGTGATACCAAGACACTATGAAGATAATTTGGTAATGAAATATTGATATTTATGAAACATCGAATGACGAGAAAGCCATCAACGAGTCGACGCTCGCCAGATTTGAATTACGATCGAATATATTCTTTGATGCATTTCATCATCGTGATTATTTAATATTTATTGTAATATTGTATCTTACGAGGAATTGAAAATTAATAAGAGACAATGAAAAAGTCATTGAACTACAGCTGGTGACATACCATGCTTGGTTTATTTATTTTCTCTGCTCCAAATGTTTATCCAGAATAAAGACTCTAGACTAAGTTGCATTATAAAGAAACGATGACAGTGTTCGGCGCCATTTTTTTGTATCAATCATTTCAAAGATTTAATAATGGCTTATAGTTTTCGTAATATTCTACTGTAACCAAAATAAAAATATTAGATCTACTTTCATGATGATTTCACAAATGTCAATGAGTTTTCGTAACTGCAGCTAGTCAAAGACTCGCCAGTCTTAAAAATTATGTTGCCAACTGTAATGTCAAAATATCAGATATCTCAGAAATTGACATTTTTGGCCAACTCTGCACATCGGTTAACCATTACGTCACTGGTGAGGTGACTTTTATCATCGTGTCATCTTAGAACATTTCATGAATGATAGAAATCGAACTATATCAATTTATATTTTTGATAAACAAGTTGGGGTGATGCAATTTAACGAAATAATATATACAGGTATAGCATGCACATGAACTCAAATAACACTGTCAGTTGAAAAGGTTCACCTAAATTACAAAACATTTCTTCCAGTCATCTCAGCTCATGGCTCTTCAAATACTCTCCATATTTATTTGTGACAGATAAGGAACACAACATTACTCAAAACACATAAAAGTATAACAATCTAATCGATTGGCTTTCACCAATTTTGTATTTGAGGTAGTACGTACCAATAATTAAGTACTTTTGAAACGATAATAAATAATAATTTGTACATCAGTCTTAATTGTCGAGTTAAGTAACCGTTGGAGGTCAGTCACTTGCCGCACATCTTTCTGGAAGTCGCAATCAATTCTAATATTGCTTGGAATCTCTCCATCTAATACAAAAGGGAAATGAACCAATAAGGCCCTGTGATGTCATAACATGAAGTCTTATCAAGGAGAAACCTTTGGGCCTCCAGTAATGAAAGAGTGATGAGTTATTTCCGCTCCCTGGAATCGCGGAATTGTCAGTTGCTAATAATTAATACGGACATAGCAACAAGCGTAATTATGTGATGTCTCTCCGGGGTAACCGGAAGATCATAAATCATTCGTTCCATATGGTACTCTGTCCCGATCCATCTCATTGTCAACAGATGTAACTTGGTGAAGCATCTTCAATGAGGATATATGTTACACCCCCACCGCGACATTTGCGACCGGAAGTCTCAAATGAATGGCGTGTGTAGGGAAGCGTGAAGCTTGCCGGTGTTCAAATTTGATTTTTTACAATAAGTCTGAAACATAAAACAAAGCTGGATTTTTGCAAATCGACTTTAGAGTTTCCAAATTCTAGAGGGGCGTGCATATCACATAGTTACAGGCCTAGTGCCAATGACTCGGCAGTTGGATCACGTCTTGCCAGTCCTTTCGAATGGTTTAGCCTAATCATGGAGGACCACAAATCGGAAGTCATTTGTCAAGATAGACATCACCTTTTTGTTTGGGCTATTTTTGATTGTACCGTGTAATTCCCCTTGGGTTCAAGTCTGTAACAACAACTCTGGTATCATTAGCTTCACTTTAGATGCAAAACACGAAGGAATTAATCAACGGTAGAGGTCCGAATGACTTTCTATATGCTATCCCTTTGAGCTTTGGAGACTTCATTAAGCTTGGCATAATTATGTAACCGCACGAACGTATTATGAAACCATAAAGAATGAGTGAATAATATATGGTTCAAGATGATATGAATTCATATCATGGTCGAAATTATTCATATTGTACGAAAGATACAGAAGTTATTTTGCCTACATTTATGATAATATATTGCTATAATCCCCTTGCCAAAATTACAGTTGTAGCTGTTTCAACATTTACATTTTTAGATTTTGTGCATCTTATACTCTTTTAAATGATGCCAGCTCATTGAGAATTTTATCCATTTTGACATCGATGTTTTCCAATTTTTCTTCAATGTGGTTGACTTTAAGTTCCACTGCTTCTTGGCGCATGTTGAATCCGATAAGTGCGTTGTTGATGTAGTTCTGCGCGCGCATCATTTCCACGAGTGTCACGGCGTTGTCCAACAGTCGTCTTTGTTCTTGCTTCACCTCCCGGATCGTGTAGATGGCTTTCAAAAGCTTTCGCTGATGCGTTCGTATAGTGCCTTCCGCGGTACCCTTCTTCCTGTTTTTGTAAACAAACCAACCCTCTTTAAGAATATTAGCAGCCGCGTGTTTGTGACGTTTATCCAGTTCAACGTCGATTACAAAGTTATGAACGTATTTTTCAGCTCTCGAAAGTTCGAGTTTTCTCGAAAGAATTGCAACAATTAATGCTGTGCAGCCTGCCCCGAACATACCAGTCATAACACAGATTCCCCGACCGCAGTAAGAATTTGGGACTATGTCGCCGTACCCGACAGACAGGAAGGTGATGGTAATTAGCCAGGTCGAGTTGAAGAAGTTGGAATGAACATCGTCGTGATACATCTCGCAGGCGCGTAACATCCAACTCGCTATCGCGCAACCTAACACCATGATCACACACAACGTATAAGCAGGATTCATGCTCATCAACGACTTGAAGATGAATTTGAAATTGAAGTGGATTCGATTTAACGCACCAAGACTCTGCGAAGAGGCGTCTGTGAATAGCTTACTATGGAGCATCATGACTCTCCCGAGTAAGTGTAGACGCAGGAACATAGGCAAGGAGAGGATAACATCGACGGGTACTGTAACAGTTGTAGGCGGTTCCAAGCTCTCAATCTTTTGGGTTGTCCAAGGGAAAGATGACGTGCCAGGTATAGGGTGAATAGCATAGATAAGGAGCTCGAGTATTATCTTGAGTACCCGTGTACGTCCCATGGCCAGTTTCCAGTCCTCCATGCCGTTATCGATCATAAAGAGCTTAATATCTAAGGAATGGTACCAGACGGTGAATCCGAGCAGAGTAACGGTTGACATTGTGATAAAGAATTTAACAATATTTGAATAAATTGAATCTTTTCCATAAATCTTATTCATACACATTTCATTCTCAACTATCATGAGAATGATACCAAAGACGGCGAATCCAAGAGCGAAATCACATATGATTTTTCTCTTTTGAAAAAGTTCCTTTCGTGCCGCCAATCGTTGACCTACATTTTCAAACCTGAGGGGTTTTGGCTTTGGCTTATGGTATTTAGGCTTAACAGTTTTAGCAGACATATTATCATCACTAGTTGGACTGGGCGTTCCTGAATAAAATTGAATGTTCCCATTCCTTCCAACGAGTGGGATAGCCGGGTCTTCGATGATTGTACTCATTGCGGCAGTGACCTTGTGACCTTGACCTTTAGCAGCAGACGATAAGTTTTCAATCCATGGCAGTTATTTTCACCTGGAAATACAATATAAAATCGTGAGTATATTTTTCTACAAGAAGATATTCGCTGGAAATTGGAAAGTCGGGGTGATGTCACAGTTGACATAAATCACTGATCACCTTGAAGACATGTTTTGCATCCCACAAAATATTTAAAAAAAGTTTATGTCCATTTTTAATGTGGCGACTGGGGATAATTTCTACAAATAAGATCTTCAATACTTTCCAGATTTGATTTGAAATATAAACAGATAATATAAATATCTTTCTCGAATAATAAAATCACAAGTGCAAGGAAACACTGGCATGCTTTTTCAACAGATTGCGTCCATCATTTTACACTCTCTATTCTTTGTCACGTTTAAACATACTAATAAATTATCATTGAGGGTTCAGATGTGTCGACTCATTGTTATATAACTTAATTACATCCGCCTTCGTATCATTACGACTGATACTTTGGAGTTGCAACCATTCAGACTCTGGAGCAAAACATGTTGTTTTGTTAATTTAATAGAAATAAATAAGGAAAAATGATCCTGCTTATTATTTTAGATGAGTGAGGGATAAACGTGATGTAGTGAATTACTTTATAGAGCCTCTGATTCTATTAATTGAATTACAGGGTGTGCTGCCCTAAAAGGTATTACAAAGGATAGGTACGAGTTAAGATAAATTAGGAAAATCGTAACAATTCTATCATACTTTTCGCTCCTTTCTTGTCATGCTTATTTTCCTCATCTGTTTTGATTTATTATTTGGCAATATTTATGAAAAAGAAGACTCCACGTTTCAATTCTAACGTATTAAGTAAGACATTGAACTGCGTCTTGCATCGTTAACAATTTCAATAATTTAATAGTTTGACAGAGATGCAAGGGCAAGGAGACCCAGAGAAGTATATTGGTTCAAACATTTAACACATCATATCTTTTGCTGCATCTTTAAGTACGTGAACTATACAGCGATGTTTCAAAAACTAAAAGTAGAACTAAAAGGGGTGGAATAATTTGATTTTGAGCCGTCCAATTTCAAAGAAATTAGATTTAAAGATCGAAGGCTTTATTTCCCACTGGAATACAATCACAAGTGCATCCTTTTCCATTATAGTTCTTCTGAATATGATGAACTTTTATTCAAACAGCCCCACATGGGGCAAGATTCCACAATACATCCTAATTCTGTTACAATAATATACCACAGGGAACGCGATGTGAAGAAACGCCGAATGCTTTGAATATTTTTTTGTATGCAATGACATCAAAGCTCTATTACGAAACGTTTTATTTATTTATGTCTTCTTTGAAGATTAATATTTTTATATCCATGACAGTATAAATTCCACAATTAATCATATTATTCAGACAGCATACTGTGCACTCTATGTCACGATTTATATGTGACAGTATACGTGTAGGGGCAAATTTACGATAACTGATATTTTCAAAATCAGTTGGTCTACTAAAGCCTGCATCGTGTGTGTTGATAGCAACGCCATTTAATGTGTGCTAATTTGATGTCATCAGCACAACTGGTTATCATAATCATGCGATGTATACTAAAAATATTGCTTATCATTTCTCAAAAACCGCTTAGATTATGATTTTTGTCAAAAAACAAAGTTTTGTTTTGTCTGTGGTGATACAAACCCGGATTAAAGCACATACAGAGCATCGATTGGGTTGAAATTTTCCAAACTATGTAAAAGATATGTTTGACATCAGCTCTTAAAAGGGCGGTGTTGGATGTGTTGCCCATGAAATGAAATATATTTTGTGCATATACCATTTGTCTAATATTTTGTATCGTCCAAAACACTGGATAAATTAAAATCGCTGATGCATCATTGGTTGAGGGTTTCGCTAGAAAGTGCCCTTAAGGGTTACCTCTTAAATGACAGACAATGAAAACATCAGACAAAATATTGTTACTTTTGTGGTTGATTTAGGTTTTGCTGTCCAATATTTTGTATCCTCCAAACATTAAGATTTCATCAATGCACATAAATGATTTCAAACAATTATTTTCAGAAATGAGACTTATCCAATGTAGTATTTAAATGATTGTTATATAAATTTTCAATTATATCTATTTTTGGTAAATTGAATATGTTGAGCATGTGTTGGAGGATACAAAAATAATGAGTATGAAATATCAAACAACACCTTTTGAAAGCTGGTAGGAAACATATTTTATTAACCAGTTAGAAATTATCGACGGACTTGATGCATAATTTGTTATGTTGTCCGAGTTTCCAAAGCAACATTTGATTTTTGTCAAAAAATCACCATTAAAGCTGCTTTTAAGAAATAATGAGCAGCATTTTCAAAATATAGCGCATGGTCATGGTTAACAGTTGTGTTAACATCAAAATAGCACATAGCACAGTATATCGCAAGTATTCCTTTATATTTGGTAGCAAGTCGGGTCTGGATATTGTTTGTTTAATTGATTGATAATGAGTTTTTAAACCAGAAACATATAAAACAAACCGAGGTCGACAGGCCGTTGGTTTAGATCTAGCAAAAATGAAACTGTACCACTTCTCGCAGACCTTCTTCGGGCGAAGCATTATAAGAGAGAATGTATTTCTGACCATTTTTGATGAGTTCCTGCGTTGCAAAACTAGTTTGATTAAAACGCAAACAAATGCTTTTATGATGTTGATGGAAATTTTGATTCATTTATTTAAATGTCAGACTATACGAATACAAAGAAATCCTACAAGTACTTTAACCACACGTGTATCCTCATTAGACCTGTCCAGAGTAGTAATTTGATCAATAATCTATAATTCATTAATTGTTATAATACCTTTACAGGTAAGTGTCAAAGGTGATAAATTACACTGCTAATTAGTTACTTTTTGTTTTGATGGAAAGTAGAAAACATAAACAGATCGATAGGCGTATATGTATTTAGTGCATATGTTTTTTTGTCAGATTAAAATTCGATTTTATAATGATTTCCTGTCCGAAATGACTAAGCATCAACATGTAATCTATTTGGTTGTGAATGTCTGACTGTGTTTGAAGGCAAGCAAAAACCACATGTGCCAAACATTTTGGAAAGGTGACAAAGTCTTTGTATTCAGACCTTTTGAAGGCAAGCAAACACCATGCGCGCCAACATCTTTTGTATTCAAACACTTTGGAAACAAGCAGGGGACAAAGCCTTTGTATTCAAACCTTTTGGAGGCAAGCAAAGACCATGTGTGCCAAAGTATTTTGTATTCAAACATTTTGGAAACAAGCAGGGGACAAAGCCTTTGTATTCAAACCTTTTGGAGGCAAGCAAAGACCATGTGTGCCAAAGTATTTTGTATTCAAACATTTTGGAAACAAGCAGGGGACAAAGCCTTTGTATTCAAACCTTTTGGAGGCAAGCAAAGACCATGTGTGCCAAAGTATTTTGTATTCAAACATTTTGGAAACAAGCAGGGGACAAAGTCTTTGTATTCAGACCTTTTGGAGGCAAGCAAAGACCATGCGTGCCAAAATCGTTTGTATTCAAACATTTTAGAAACACACTGGGGACAAATTCTTTGTATTTAAACCTTTTGGAGGCAAGAAAAGACCATACAACCATTTTGGAAACAAGCACTTTTGAAGACAAGCGAAGGACATGCGTGCCAATGTATTTTGTATACAAACATTTTAGGAACACACTGGGGAGAAATTCTTTGTATTTAAACCTTTTGGAGGCAAGAAAAGACCATACAACCATTTTGGAAACAAGCACTTTTGAAGGCAAGCGAAGGACATGCGTGCCAAAGTATTTTGTATTCAAACATTTTAGCAACACACATGGGACAAATTATTTGTATTCAAACCTTTTGAAGACAAGCAAAGACCATACAACCATTTTGGAAACGAGCAGGGGACAAAGCCTTTGTATTCAGACCTTTTGAAGGCAGGCGAAGGACATGCGTGTCAGTCTTTTGTATACAAACATTTTAGAAACACACGGGGGACAAATTCTTTGTATTCAAACCTTTTGGAGGCAAGCAAAGACCATACAACCATTTTGGAAACGAGCAGGGGGCAAAGCCTTTGTATTCAGACCTTTTGAAGGCAAGCGAAGGACATGTGTGTCAAAGTCTTTTGTATTCAAACATTTTGGAAAAAACAGGAGACAAAGTCTTTGTATTCAGACCTTTTGGAGGCAAGCGAAGGACATGTGTGCCAAAGTCTTTTGTATTCAACATTTAGAAACACACAGGAGACAAAGTCTTTGTATTCAGACCTTTTGAAGGCAAGCGAAGGACATGTGTGCCAAAATCTTTTGTATTCAAACAGTCTAGAAACACACAGGAGACAAATCCTTTGTATTCAAACCTTTTGGAGGCAAGCAAAGGCCATACAACCATTTTGGAAACAAGCAGGGGACAAAGTCTTTGTATTCAGACCTTTTGAAGGCAAGCGAAGGACATGTGTGTCAAAGTCTTTTGTATTTAAACATTTTGGAAACAAGCAGGGGACAACGTCCTTGTGTCCAGACCTTCCTTTTGAAGTCAAGCGAAGGACATGCGTGCCAATGTCTTTTGTATACAAACATTTTAGGAACACACAGGGGACAAATTCTTTGTATTCAAACCTTTTGGAGGCAAGCAAAGACCATACAACCATTTTGGAAACAAGCAGGGGACAAATTCTTTGTATTCAGACCTTTTGAAGGCAAGTGAAGGACATGTGTGCCAAAGCTTTTTATACCTAAACTTCTCATTGAAGACAAGTAAACGACAGTGTGTGTGTCAGACTACTGTGTGTAGCTTTTGAGAGGAAGCAAATGACATTGGGTGTCAGGGTCATTTTTATTCATACATTTTGAAAACAGGCAAGGGACAAGGTCTTTGAGTTCAGAATCTTTAAAGTCAAGCAACATTTAGTGGAATCTAATATTTTACAGGATTATAATTTGAAATGTATTGTGTTTTCAGTAAAAACCTGAACATATGGCATATCGTATTAATACATTGTTACTGGAATGTTAAAAGTGGACGTACAATCAATTGT